TATTCAAGTACAATATCATTATTACAATACGAGATTCCAAAATCTATTGCTTTTAATTTGTTTTTTAATGCATTTTTTACTGCACAGTAGGTTTCATTAGCCTGTAGCAATAAAACAAGTTTAGGATGATTTATATTATATGCACTGTTATCCGATCCGTTTTAATTCTCTTACATGAATAATATATGGGTATGTAGATGGGTGTTCCATGATTCTTGCTCTATAAAGTGGGCTTTGAGTAAGACGAAGATGCTGATACTTTGAGTACTATCTTTGAGTATCATAAGTATAAACAACAAAACCATGATACGCTCGAACATGGGCTTTATTTTTTCTAAGTTACAGTACTATTTATATCAATTGATTGTTCATGTTATATCATGGAAGCAAGACTTTCAGTTCGCTAATGTATTTTTTTGCTACTGTAAAATTGTTTTTCTTACTTATATTCATTTTTTAATTAGTACTATATGAATAGTCATCTTTTCTGACTAGACTTATGAAAGTTCTTTTCTAATTCTCTTCTGCTTGGCTTGGAATAGGCCTAGGGCTAGGCCGATGTCTAGCCGAGCTTAACGGGCCCTTTCAGGTTTATGGTTGGCAAAAAATTTAAATTTTAGTCAATCTTTTAGTATATTAACCATACTTTGCCATATTATACCAATTTGTAACATTACTATAAAATGACAATTTGTAACCCAAACGACGTTATGATGAAGTGGGTTACTATAACATATCCTTTGGCTTCCCACATGTTCCATTCTCTGTGAATCACTTTTGAGGTCAGATTTGAATCGAAATCGTGCAGGAAGTGAATCTCCGTAATAAAGAGGCAGACGGTTGCCTTTAAATTGTTTACATTACTATTATAATATCCCTCTGTCTTCTTGCGTCCGACCAGTAATTTCGGTTGGTTTTTTAAACTGTTTTAGTTTTTTTTAATTGAGAGTTTATGTAAAATACGTGAGATAAATAAAGGTTTTTCTTATAATAAAAGATAAAGATAAAAAAAGGTCTATTATACTGGTCAAACTTCAAAACTGCAGTCTATATACAGTAACGTAACCAAAAAGTTGTGTAGCTTACAGTTATCGACTGGTTAGGTTTTCAAATGTTTTTTTTCAAAGTCAACCTTAGGACCAGAGTTCTCAGCGGCTTTAGAATTGAAGCTGGTGCAATTCAATTTGAGAATATCCGTTCAAAACGATTGTTTTTTAAAACTTACTGCAGATAGTTTAGAATATTTTTGAGATTACAGTGTAAAATACGGGTAACAGATATAATTTTCTATTAAAAATTCTCTACAATCCACGAAGAATGGCCAACTAAACTACGTGAACTTGAAAAAGAGTGTCAAATCGACCGTTTTTTCTCATTTCCGGTCAGTTTTCAGCTCTTTGTTGTCCATTTTTTTCAAAAAATGTTTGGAATTTTTTATTTTTGAAATTGTTTAAAGCCTAGACGTTGGCTTAAGCAAGCTTCTAAAACTTTTTGAACCTCTATACATCGAAAAATAGTTTTTAACTTTCGAAAAGTTTGAAAAAGTTTAAAATCTAAAGAAACGGTATACGGCAAACATTTCAGTATTACCTTCAGGATTACCTTGATATTTTTGTCGTTTACCGCTCGATAAGCGAGTGCGTATAATATTTGATTACGAACGGCTATTGTCGTATGAATCTCGCCCTCTCCTTCGTATTTACATTACATTTTCTTGTTTGCTTAGAGATTTTTTAAGTATGCCGGTCTTCCGGAAGAATAATATAATAATGAGCGGATATGGGATAGTTGTTGCGCAATAAAGATTTTAATAGGGCAGTAATGTTATTTCGCTCCTTTATTTTGTGATTTCAAAGTTTTAATTGGAAGGAGGGATTTGGGTTAGGTAAATATTGTTTTTAATTCAGGGCTATCTTCAAATTTTGGCTTTTGTGCTAGGGGATGGAGAAGTTTCCTTACTACGCGTCGGCTGTACATTTTTAATTTGACTTTCAGGGTATGTGCAGTTTTTATATTTTTTGTCAAGATTGGGGGGGGGGAAAGCGACTACCATGCCCAGGCTATATATTTTAAAAAACAAACTTAAAGTATTGAGAAAAAACTGATCTTTTGGTCGTTTCAAACCGGGTTTATTCTAAACCAGCAGTCCACTTGACTTTTTCGGCTAGTCCAAACAAATTTTTCAAAATTTTACGAAAATTCGTTCTTCAAGAGTTTGTAAACCAACCAGATGTTTTTTGAGCATTGTTTAATATACGATAGGTTTTGGAGGTTAAAATATATATTTAATTTTTTAATGTGAAATACGCCTTGTTTAATTTGTGTTAGTATGTCTATGTGATCTAGTTGATGCAATTATACAAACCATTATCAATATGACATATCTTATGTGAGCATGCCTGTTATAATCTTCAAAAAGCTTTTGTAGTTTCTTCCTATCTGTTTACTACAGTAAATTGTATTAAAATAGGGAAAATTAAGGTTATAAATAGTATACTATGGGTCCAAGAACATGTGGCACAACATATTTTAGCCTTTGAGAGAATACGATAGTACACCTTCTGCAAACTGCATACATAATTGTAAATAAACGTTCAAAATATTTACTTTGTATACGTACATAACACAATATCAGGTTTCTTACCGTGGCTTAACGATATCTTATCTTGTTAATTCTTTGGACTTTTTCAGCTGTTAGGTACACCTTATGATTAGAAGGTTTATCTTTTTGATTACTATGAGGTGTAGTTTGATAGAGGGGTAAAAAACGTAGAACAAGCTACTATAATATGTTGATATTTAGCTATATCTTTTAATATTGAGATCTTTTTTATCTTTGATCTTTTTCATTTACTTTTTGAGAGTTACAAGCTAAGAACTGGTCAATAAGTAGAAAGAAAATGGCTTGAAATTTGGCTTAAAAACCAGTCAAGCCAAGAACCAAATCTACACTCCATTAAAGCTTGTATAATATGCCGCATCAACACTTCCACAACCTAATATTCGAATAGCACCTTCAGTAATATAACCTTAACCTTGTGCGCGGCTTCTTAAGCCCTACGGTCATTTAATCTGTTTTTCGAACGCAAAAACGGGATTAACCCTCAACTGGCTACACCAAAAACTGTTTCCGTTCGAAACAAAAACCGGTGCGCGCAATCATTCCGACCGGTCTATTACCTGTAGCGTATTTTAGGCTTAGACAGGAATTTTTTAGTTTGAGATTTAAAGAATTTTAAAAAATAAAATTTAAAAAATTTTTAATTTTCAATATTTAAATTTTTTAAAATATTTTAAAATTATAAAAAATTATTTTTGGTTTTTCTAGACTATGACATTTATACTGTACTTGTACTTTTATAAGTTTATTTGATTTAAAACAAGATTCGTTCCCAGATCCGGCTAGAAACCAAACTCTGGAGTGGCGCAGTGATTAGCCGCGGCTAACAATTCATTTACAACTCAAATTAGCATAATCTCTGTTTGTTTTAAAGAGCGCTATAAAGAGTGGCGATTTGATCGAGATCTCTGTTTGTTACTTTTGTGTTTTTGGCGTTGGGGCTCGTACAAGAAATGGCATTTTTCATTTTTAGTTTTATGATTTTTTAAATTTTTTCAATTTAAAAATGACATTTTTTAGCTCAACAATATTTTTTTAAACTTTGTTTTGCCAAAAAGTAAACTTTAATATGCTGACTTTCTTCTTTTACAGCATTTTAAAACTGTAATTAGTGCTTAAAATAACCAAAAAGTAGGATTGTAAAGTTTTGCTAAAACCCCGACAAATTAAAAATCAAAAATATTAAACTTATTTCTAATGTAATTTATATTATTTGTTTCTTTATTATACGCTTTTTTTGGCTTCAACTATACCTACTTTTTGAGATTGTTGTGGTTTAACCTAAATAAACAAAAAAATTGTGTGTCTCGCCACGAAAACCGATAAAATTTATAAATTATAATTTTTCAAAAAAAACTAAGTTTTCCTACTTAAAGCATTAGTGAACGACCTTTGGCCTATACACGTGAAATTAATTTAATTTTGTAGTTTTTTGTCAAGTTCACGACCTTACTATAAGCACTCACCTGAGATTCAAGTGGCCAATTCAAAATCACTTTGAATGCCTTAAGTGCGCGGACTAATTCTTTCAAAATGATTGATATTACTCAGTGATGTGGTTATTATACTGCTATTTGAATTTACTTTTATACCTCAGTTTAAAAAATTTGAATTTTTTAAAGTTTTGAAGATAAAGTCTTACTGTAAGTTTCGGATAATGAAAAAACTAGTCTTATGTAACCATCAGTTTGTAATAGGTTTAACAATTTTAATTATCTCTTCTGTCTATCTTTCTTCTCTACCTTCTCCCTCTCTCTCGTTTATACTCTCTTTGCTCTCTGCCGTCTCTCTCTTTTTCATTCTCTACCTTCCTAACTATATTTTACTTTCTTCCATCAGAACCTGTTTTTCTTCTAAACATACTATTAGGTACGATCACGATTACCTGATATCATGCCCAGTAACCCTCTCGGTTTACTGTGTAATTTGATCAAACGCGGATCTTCTGTCTCTCGCTTCTTTTCGACCGAGAACTGTAAAGCCGGCTGACCGTTTTCGGTCGATTGTTTGAACAGACGTATACAGTCCACAAACCGTTTTTAAATGGCAGAGGAAAAGAAGAACTGGGCAGGGGTAATTAGGGTTTGGATGGGGTGTTGGGGTAGGAGGGGTAGAATGAGGTGTAATGGGTGAGGGAGAAAAGTGTTTTTAAAAAAACTAAAATTTTGTAGAAATTTGAATATTTTAATTTAAAATTTGGTTTTTTAATTAGGAATGACTGCATTTTAACCCTTTTTTACTTTTTTGGTATTTTACAGTATGTTGTCATACGGTACTACTAATGTGATTACATGATACTAGATATACTGTACCATTTGTCGCGATATAATCCATAAATTTAGCTTTGAGTTCTTATACTTAATATATTGCAGAGCACAGAATGACAAGGTGGATGCGGTGGGCATTATGTGCTGTGATAGTACTAAAGATTCAAGCACAACCTCCACAACAAAGCGAAGAATGCCTGAAGGCAAGTAAACAGTGCGAAGAGAACACAGATTGCATCCACAGACTGGCAGTGCTACAAAGTGCTTGGTAAGAGAGGTTTTTGGGGTTTTTATCTGTGAGATAGCTCTTATTTTTTCTAACTGTCGATATTGACTAGGATTTTCTTTTACATTTTTTACTTTACACAGTTTAAAATGGCATTTTTTAATTTTTCATTACCTATTTTAGTGTAACAAACACCTGCCAGCCCCAATGTCGCGAATCCGCCATGAATCTCTACCAAAACCGCGAAGGTCGTCAACTTCTTCGTACTGATGCTTCATGTGTGCCAGGACGTTACGAATTAGAGAAATGTGGTCTTCTACCTCTAAAATCTCCAAAACATTGTAGTATGGCCAAGTTGGTGTGTGAGACTGACCTTCAATGTAACGCCAAATGGGAGGTGTTTGTAAGTGAATGTGAAGGAGAAACCAATCAAGGACGATGTTCTGAACAATGTCGACAACATCTGAATGCTACGCTTAGTACTACGAATGGTGCTGACTTGAGAGAATGTACTTGTACTGATAAGGAGGACCAGCGGTGTTTGCAGCTGAAGGATATTACGCTTAAGACTTGTTTCGAGGAGGTGGGTTTGGCGTTCTTATTGATTTTGGGCAGGGTATTTGAGTAGGGAGACAAAAAAAAACAATTTTTTAAAATGTTGAAAAAAAAATTTTATTTTTCAGTTTTTTTATTTCACTGCACCACCTTGCCTTACTGCATTTCTTATATCAAAACATATTTTCAGGAACGTCCAACCCCTCCACCGTTCGTCGAGACCAATCGTGTCAGCGACGTCGACCCGATTAGTCACGCTGACCCACGCCGACCAGCCAGCTCTGATCCTCGCGACATGCCAGACACGGCTGGCCAAACGGTCCTATCATTAGTGGTCCTCTTCTCGATGCTCGGTCTGATTCAACTGTAGAAATGACAAAATTCACAAATTATTTATATATATCGTTGAGTGCAATTGATACAGCTATGTGTGTATAATAAACCTGTAAAGTTAGTTGTATTTAAGTAAGGGATATGGAACTGGGTTTGGGTTTAAAGGGGAAGGTTTAAATTAGTGACTTTTTAATTTATAAACTTTCTAGCATAATATTATATTATGCTAAGCTTTGATAACTATAAACAATAAGAGCGGCCTAAGACGTTTTGTCTTACCTAGTATTTTGAGGCAATTAGAAATACTCTAACTTATCATATCTTTTAAAAAATTTTTGAAAAACTACAAAAACTTTATTTTTAGTTTAGTTGACGTTCCTTTAAGTTTCAGCAACTTGCTAGTATTGAAAATATTATTATTATTTTAATAATTCTTGACTTTAAAAATTAACTTGCTATTATATAATAGTAAAAATCTTCAGTTTTGACCAAAACTTGTATACTTTTTAAATTTTAAAATCTAATATCTCTCCTTGGTCTTAAAAGTTAAAAAGTCAAAGTTCAAACCACCTTACGCAATATAACTCAACTTTCGCGGTTGATAAAACCAAAGGAAAATTTGAATCCAGAAACAATAAGATTGAAATGCGCACAAAATTAGGCACTTACACCGGTAGACAAAAGTTAATGCGCAGATAACCACCCAGTATAAATATATGGTTTTATCCCTTCATTTTCACAATTTCTTGAGCTTCACGAAAGTCGTGATCAACTGGTCAAAAAAATCTCTTTCAACCGACGGTTTCGAATCGAAATTATGGGAGTCGACAACGTTTGTTCAAGATTTACTGAACAAGACTACGCTATCTTTATCGATGACATTGACAATCAACTTGTCCAGTTTTCAATTGAGTATCCGTTAATGGTACAGAAGAGTTACTGTGAGGAAAAGAGGTAGGTTTTCATGTATTAATAGTTGTTACTGAAAAAGTAATGTTTCTTGTTAATTAGGTATCTGTATGAACATTTGACTTAATAGATATTATTTTTTTATCTATAAGTTTTTTTTTATATTCTTGATATTTTAGATGCTCATCGCTGCCTGTTATGCTGAATTTCTATGGAGAAGGTTGGGAACAGCTAAGGGCTTCAGAACCTAAAAGATTCAACTATGAAGCCACAATTTACGCTGAGGTAAAGACAGACGACGTTAACTTCAAGCCAATTCATGTTGAGTTGGGAAAAAACGTGAGTTTTTGATAGATACATTTACAAATTTGAACATGTACAATACTTGTTAACTATTACAAAAAGTTTATACTTAAAATAACCAACTATAAGTTTTTAAATTCTTATTTTAGACGAGCATTCCGGTTGTTGGTATTCACCACAATTCATCCACAAGCTCCAAAGACGCCTTCAAGACCACCGTGACTGTTAGTGTCGGTAGTCGTTGTATAGGAGTGTTCAACACGGAATCAATTTATGCCGTAGGAAAGCCCCCAAACAAACTCCCTTCGGCTGATCTTGCACTATGGGTCAGAGCTGATGCTTTAATGAACTACGTGCTGAAGTTCAGTAAAAAGAACTTGGCGAAGAGCGATTACAGAGGAATGTCATGGTAAGTCTAGTTTTTAGGTTGACTTTATTTAGATTTTTAAAATTTTTTTGAAATTTTTATATTTTGGTTTTTCAAAATAAATTTTTTGAAATTTTAGGTTTAAAATCCTGATTTTAAACATTTTTTGATTAAATTTGCTGATTTAACTACAGTTTTGCCTTAATTTAACAAGTTTAAAATTATTGAATTTCTAGGTATTTTAATACTGACAATGGTCAACCAGTAGCATCATCATGCAATTGGAAAAACATTAAAATCCAGCGACAGAATGCTGACAATATTTATGAAAATCTGAAGGATGGTGAGATTGTACGACTAGTCTGCGAAGACTACGCTAGTCCTCTTTTGGTAAGGCTGTTTATTGATTTGTATCTTAAATTTTTATTAATTTAATCCTTAAAATAAACTATATTATTGAGTTTCAATTAAAGAATAGTAGAAAAATACGATTTATATAACACACTATAAAGTATAATATAACTTTCTTCAGAAAATAAAAACGACCGTAAAACGAGAACACAACCTAATAATGCAGATGGATAAGGTCGTCTTTGAGCTCGTAGAGGATGTAGATAACGGTCGAAAAGGCCAAGTACTATCGTTTACTGAAAGCGACGTCTTGTACAACAATGCCTACAAGTTCAACTTTATCGACCAGGATTTAGACAAGGACTTTGTGTGTTCTTTAATTGCTATTGATAGTGTGAACTACGCGTTTAAATTGCCAAGAGATGGTGTTATTGTAGAAAATCCTCCAAAGGAAGAGAGATTATTACCTGACGCTGAAGTTAGAAGAAATGTTGAGAATGAAAGAAAGTTGCGTGGACAAGGTTTAGATGAAGTACAACAAGTATTTGTCGGAAGTACTGAATGTGCTGTTAACAAAATGTAAGTAATAACTATATTAATATTAATATTTCTGGAGGGGAATACAGTGTCTAAGACAAGCTCTTAGCCAGTCTGGGTTCTCAGCAACCATTATAATATTTCACTGTAGGTTTAGTGAACGTATAGCAAAGATAAATTTATTGTGATAAAGAAAAGAAGGTTTTAAACTCCAAGAACCTTTTAGAAAACAGAAAACTGCTTTAAAAAAGAATGTTTTGTCACATATCTATATCAATATCTTTCAGATCCAACGACTTAATATCATTCACCATACCAGACCAACATACACTGATAAGCAAAAAGATCAACTTTGAATTCTTCGCCAATGTAGATGGAAGAACATTCGACTTCAGCTTGCCTGTCAGTGTTATCACTAAAAAAGGCATCTTGTTCTGGACACGATTTTCAATCGAAACGACAGTAGAGACGTCATGTTTTGCTAATATGGTTTTTACTTGAGTATCGCATGATTGTAATATTACATTTTATAAAATAAATAGTAAAACTTGATAAATTAGTGTTTGTTGATCTCTAATAAGGTTTTTCCCTCCATAAAGTGTCGGAAGGGTGAGTTAATCTTAAAGAGTGGCCACATGACTGATATAATTTATTTCAAAAAAATATGCGATAAGTTTAGTTGCCTTGCCGAAAACCGAAAAAGAACTCCACGGGCCACAGCATTGTCCTGCAGGTCCTGGTGGTGCTGGTGGGCTTGGAGGACCTGGTGGGCCTGGTGGATCTGGAGCAACAGTGGTAGAGTTATCAAGAGTAAAGAATGGATCACTGTCACTTATACTTGGAAACAAAACAGCTGGCTTTTTGTTGGCATCGTTAGTCCAGTTAGTGTCATCGTCAATGTAAAAGTCTCGACTGAAAAGGTTACGGTACTTTTAATATTGTAATAGGATTTATTATACATTTTAGGTATAAACAGTATTGTAATAGGTTTTATACTTAGTAAGAAAGGGAAACGCTTGCAATATAGTAATCGGCGATAGTACTAAATATATAGTACTATAAATAAAAGTGTACAAAGATAAAAAAAATAATAAAGTAACATACCCAGTGTTCCGATCGTTAACGAAATAAGAACATCGTTGATTCTCCACATCCTTAATACATCCGTTCTCAACTGTACAACAAATGGCATAGACTAGAACGTTCTTGTACAACCTTATTGGGTTGGGACGATCGACGATCTCAGTACGATCTTCTCCTTCAACGTTCACACAGTACGAGTTGCTAGGTAAATTATTCTGAAAAAATAGAAGTTTTGAGTAAGCTATGATGTTAATAATGATAATATAACATTAGATTGTTCAAATAATTCAAAGCCCCCCAACCCCGACAATTTGCTTTGAGAGGGAGCATTGAATTATTTGGACAACCTGACAGTTGCATAGAATTAAAATTAGTATATATTACAAGTTTCCATTACATACCCAACATTTTTCGTGACTCTCTACGATGGCTTTTGGAAGTTTTGAAGAGATATCGGCAAATGATACCATTCGTCGTTGTTTACTAAAATAATGTGAAATACGAATATTTTAATCAAAGATTGAGTAGCGGTAACAGACACGCCCCCGATGAAAGAAGACTGGTCGAAAGGAAGAGAAGGATGAATAATTTTCAGTAGTGTTATAGTTAGTTTTATGATCACCCGGCAATAGAATCTAATATTATTGAACTAATGTTGGATTGTATGTATAAAGAAGGGTAATACACCTAAAATATTACTATTGCATACCTTAAGGTAATATTACTTATCTCCATCCTAATACTAAACAATGTTACCAAAAGAAGAAGCTCTATGCTAGTCTGAAACTAGACTAGTCTTGAAACTAATCTCAACTTACAAATCGGTAATAAGAAGCGGCTTAATTTTTATCACATTTTCCGGATCGACACTCATGTATTCGCTTCCCAGAAAGTAGACACGATCACTGTAGTCTGAATTCAGTCCTGCTAGCGTCCATCGACGCCTTTCGCCACTAAAATCAGCAAACATTGAAAGTTGTCTCTTTAATTTTTAAAACTTTTAAAAAACGAAGAGGTTATAACTGCAGTAGAACTGCTGCATAACGAACTTCTTTGGAGTTTTACTGTAGTTACAAAAAAGTTATTCTGCGAGTAAAATGACATACCTAAACCAGAAGACATTGATCGATGCACCATTAATGTTCGACTTTTCAATCTCGAACATTACTGTCGACAGGTTTCCATTGATACCGTGTGGCTCGCGAATCAACAAAGGTGCGGGGGCTGACTAAACTAATTTTGAGTAATGTATGTATGTAAATAATATATGTAAATTTATAGTAGTAATAAGAAATAGACTTTAGTTTTTTGTGGATTACAGATACATTTAGCTTTGTAAATATAAGAAATTTAGTACTTTATAATGTAACCAATATTATATAATAACATTTTTTGCAGGTTTTATTACTATCTTTGTAAACTTACAGCTGCATAACTCTTTAACTGCGGGGTTTGGGTGAAACTCTTGTCTTTGGTAGCTATAAACAGTATATCATAAGTACAGTAAAGCTTTTAAGGATGAGTTTGCTATATAAAACATTCCTTTATAGTAGACAATATACTAACTAGGAAAGTACTCAACCTGCCCCGCTCTGATTGACTTGATATAGAAGAACATATAAATATAACCCCTTCAGCAAATACTAAATTGGACGTTTTAGGAAATCACGAGAAAATCGAAATCAAAAAATTATGTTTTGAGTTTTACGCCGGATTGGCATTGTGTTTCAAGCTTATAACTTTGCCATTTTTTGACTTTTAATCATTTTTGCTTGATATACTAGTAAAAACCCTCAAATGAACTTAAATTTTTAAATTTATAGGTGTAGCTTGTCTGGAAATTTGAAAAAGTGCTTGAAACACAATGTCAAATTTGCCAAAATTAGCGGGAAATTCAAATATTTTAAAAATTCAACGCACGTACCCAAATTTTTTAATGGCTACTACTAGTGGCGTAAAAAATTCATATAAAAATTTTTTGCTGATTTTGATGAAGCAGGTTATACTTTCCTTTTAAAAAGTATTACGCAGTGAAGCTGGCTATTAGGCCTTCGCTTACAACAAAACCCCTGTCATGGCGAATTTTTAAATCCAATAGAATCTAAATCTAAACACAAAGACAAACACTATCTAGTACAAAAGTAAACTTGACTTACTATGACCAAGATGATACACAACTTCATTATCAAGTGTACCGAGAGCCGACCAATCCTTAAAAGCATTGGCTGGTAGTTTCTCAAACTTAATGTTAGGATACTGTTCTCTAGCGTGGATCAAAATCACTCCAGATGGAGCGTAACATTGCATTGTAGCTACAGTAAGAAACGACAAGAGACAAAACCTAATTGACAACATTGTCGTATGAAATAAAAGCCGCAATAACCTACAGTATATATATATATGTATATATAGTTATATATACATATAAATGTAAATAAATCTATATAGTGATAGAGGATCAATATGTATGTTTATTAGATTTTTTAAATTCAATCAAAATTTATGTGACACTTTTTAATGTTTTGTTAATCGTCACTAAATTATGCATTCAGACTACAATTAGATATCTACAAATCATATACAACAGTATTTTATTCCATTTTTCACAATTAAAAATAATGTGATTGGTGGTAACTAATATGAATATAGCGACTCTATGAATTCTTCAAATTATAATTTGTAAAATTTACAAAATTTTAAATTGCTTTTCAATTTAAATGTACGTTAAAAATAGGCCTTCAATAAATATCGAAAGCCTTGTTGAAAGGTATAAATACATGACATTGCACTAACAAGGAATGTACTCAACCTGCCCCACGCAGAATTAGCTCAATCTTTAGATGCATTTTTTGTATCACTAATAGTACACATAAAAAATTAAGTTTGCCTTTTTGATATTTTAAGATTAAAATACTTTAACTTTCCGCCAATTTGGCTAATTTGACATTATGTTTCAAGCATTTTTTCCGACTTTCCAGACAAGCTACTCTTATAGCTTTTAAAAACGTAGATCCATTATAAGGTTTTCTACTATTATATCATAGAAAAATGATTGAAAGTCAAAAAATAGAAAAGTTATAAGCTTGCAACACAATGCCAATTTGACAAGAAATTCAATAATCGATTTTTTTTGATATTGAGTGAAAAGCGCAATTTAGTAGTTTGCTGAAGATCGAATATTTACATGGCCGTTCTATATAAAAACTTTGAAGTCAGTCAAAGCGAAACAGGTTAGACACTTTCCTTGTAAGTAATGTCTATATCATTATTCAAATTTTATATAAAAATGAATGTAAAACAAAAAACTTATCAAATTTTACTCAAAAAAGGTACTATATTTTACTACCAAACAAAAAAATATATTTATTGACGAATATATTCATCTAGCCAATATAACCCGAATAGTAAGGCCAATGTAGCCGATGAGGTAAACTCCGACAATGTAAAGAGCCATGCATATTTCGTTGAACCACATATTCTGTACATCAAAGTAGAGGTTGTCGATCACTGCCATTCCGTCCTTTTCACAGTACGTTAAGTTCTTGCCGCCGATGCCTTCGCAAGGAATGTCGCCATAGTCCTCGAACTGGTTGATGATCAGAGATTCGTAGCCAAATCGGAACCTGAAATTGTAAAAATAAATTAATTACCAATTAAACAGACTTCATTTTCAAAATTAATTTTAAAATTTCAAATTTAGGCCTACAAAAGTCTAAAATTCGATATTCTCACTCACCAACTCAAGTACTGAATCCACCTGACAAACCAGTGCATTTTAGCAACATTTGTGTACAATCCTCCTACCATCGAGAATACAGTAAGCAAAGGACCGGCTACAGACACAGCTACCGCATAGGACGGTGAGGCCGAGCTGATACTGATGCCAATACTCACAGCCGACCATTGAATAAGTACGGTTGTCATGATGCACTTGAAATAATGTAGAGCTTCTCGTTGGAGACCCATCATCCAGTAGCTGATCGTCACCATTATGATACCATCCAATGTGAAGAGAGGTAGGTAGGCAAGGATCTAAAAGATATATTAATCATCTTTGTAATAGAGAAAAAGGGGACCAAATTTACAAAATTTATTAAAGTTTTGAGGGTTTGACACATATAATATGTCATACGACAAAAATAATTGTAGGGTTACCAAGATTGACTTAGATAACATACCACGGAAACGTAGTAGCACCAAACAGGGTATATACCATCATGGTACTCTCTAGCTAATAGTGGGAATGCTTTAGGTACAAACGATTGAATGCCGAAGATAGTAGCATATGTCAACTCGGCAATGTAGTAGAACAAGGCTCCTTTCAGTGACATTACTCCGTCCTAAAACAATATTGATTTACAGTGCCATGCTCTATTTTATGAAGTAGGGTAATATAAAAAACATTTAGTACAGTAGCTTAAGGTATACTAAGTTTTTTCGGAAATCAAGGTCTAAAAAGTGGTTAACATATACCTTGTAAATTAATATAACATACTCTATATTCTATAATGTATAATAATATATAGTCAATAACATATAATAACACCGTACCTGATTAATATCCGAGTTTAAGTACAGTAATCCCAAAAAAAGTCCCATGAAAACTTTTTGTACTAGTTTGGCCCTAGCTAGGCCTGGATTTCTAAAGACATCTTTGACACATCTCTTCCACAAGGCAAACATGATCATAAAGATAGGTGCTCCAACTTTACCGCGCAATGGTCTAGGGTGTGCTGTACTGTTGGCATCGATCGCTGCTTTAATATCATTGTATGTGTCCGAGTTTAGGTACTGAAAAGAATACTTTGGGCTTTAAAAACACTACTTATTTAACAATTTATGGCTAGTATAATATAGATTCACCACGATTATCATTACTACTCACCAGCATAAACCAAGTTTTTTTCTTTGTGATTAGGTAAGGTATATATAAACTACATAACCTATCGTGTCTTAAACTATGAAGAGACGGTTAGAACATATTTTTCTAATAACAACCATAACAATATTGGTGTTTTAGGTATAAAAACTTACATTTTGACAAATTTTGGCAATAATCTTTTTGGATTCTTCTCGTTTTGCCGGATTTACAGCCAATCGATGAATGATGACATCAGCTGCGTTACAATTCGGTGGTATAATGATGCCGTCTTTACTCGCAAAGTAACCATAGGATCCTTCTGGTGGACCAAGGTATGCCACTTGACCTCCGGCCAGGAACATTACCTATAATTTTAACTGATTTTTTACAAAAAAATATTATTTTATGACACTTTTTGACCCAAATAATAGGTAGCATTAATAATCACAAGAGTTACTGCCTTACTTTATCAAATTTTTCAAAAACTTCGGCAGCTGGAGAGTGGATGGTGCAGATGATCGTCTTCATGCCATTCCTTGCTAAATGATGTAATGTCTGTAAATATATATAATTTATTTATATAACTTAAAAAGAATAGGGTACAATAAGGTAGATACCTTAAAACTCAAAACGTACCGTAACCACTTGTGCGGCCATAAACGAGTCCAGTCCAGTGGTCGGTTCATCGCAAAATAAAATCGACGGATTTGACAAAAGTTCTCCAGCGAATGCCAACCTCTTCGCTTCACCTCCTGAGATACCTTTCTTTACTCCGGTCACGCCAATTACCGAGTTTTCACTGTCTTTTAGGCCTAACTCGACCAACACTTCGTCGACCTTCTTCCTCCTTTGAGCACCAGTACTTCTGGGTATCTTGAGCATGGCTTGTATCATCAAATGTTCTCGTACTGTCAACGTGCCCACGAATATGTCCTCTTGTTGAATATACGAGGATATACAGGTTACACTGCGCTTCAACGCGTGGCCATTACAGAGTATGTCGCCAGTTACTTTGAGGCCTTTGAGGTTACGTTGGAGTAATGTGTTCAGTAGAGTGGTTTTACCGGCGCCACTGAAATTTAAATTACAGTAAGAAAAACATTTATTGAGGAAAAGTAAAGTTTATGATAAAGTAATCCTTGAAAAGCAAAAAGTAACCTAAAAACACACTAAAGTTACAGTAAATGTAAAATTTACAGTACAAAAGATTCTACTTATATTGTCGCCGAAGCCTGTCTAACTCTTACCATTGTTAAAGTAAATCATATAACACCCATCAAAGTTACAGTAACCCAAATACCATTCATCAAGTTACAGCAACTTACCTAGCACCCATCAAAGCCAAAGTCTCTCCTGGCAGCGCGATTCCACTGACATTGTTGAGAATATTTCTACCAGCCTTCGAGGTTACTTTAACATTCTCCCACGTTACAGTAACCGGCTCAATGTCCAGCTCTTGATCATCATCTTCTTCAGGTGTGGACTCAGTCTTCTTCATGACTCGACCGGTATGTTGATAAGCAAATTGAATAGCAAACGGATGCATTTCGATTCTCACATTGAATTTTAAACTTTGCTTCTGAAATTTATGCAAATTTTAATTTTTTAGAGTTTTTGAAATTTGAAATTTTTAACTTGAAAATATAATAAAATTTTTAAAAATTTTCGGAAACCGAAATATTGTTATTCTACCTAGAAATCGAGCCATGAAGTCGGTGGTATTACTTCTTTTGCTCTTCAATCGGGTCAACTCTTTCTTCCACTACAACGAGGACAGTGGAGAAGCTCAGTTCGGTGGCAAACTGGTCTGCGAGTTCATGGATTTTGTCGAGTTGCCAATTGTTGTAGGTTTCATTTTGATAAATTTGGTTAAAAAAGGGTCTTTCGAAAAAATATCCCCGCTCTTACTCAACCCCAGTCAAAAAATCAAAGATGGATAATATAATACTGTTTCCAATAACAAAAGTCTAAAAAAGTAGTGATATGATGCCGTTTTCAATAACAAAATCAAAATTTCAGAAAATGAAGCTATGGGAAAGCGATATGGGGCGTGGCACTCCAATCGATCCGGACGATATGCTTCGCGAAATCGACGTACCAGTTTCTGGAGAATTCGACATTACTGGATTTGAAACAGAATGGCTTGGCACAAAGTTCTACATTGAAATGTGAGTTCATTTTTTATATTGTAGTAGACTTTTGTTATAGGAAACTCATTGAGATAGGGTTTTCGTATTTTATAACTTTTTCATGTTGTTTTAGCTACAGTTTCCTGTAGCGATTTTTTATCTTGAGTAACATCGCACATAAAAGGAATGTTCTGTTGACTTAAAACTAAAATGGCATTGATCATTTCAGTCGCCACATGTGTGATGGTACATGCCGCCGTTTGGACATATACGAAGACCAAATGACAGACGAAATCGAACTGGGAAGTCGAGGAGAAGAAGATACTGGATGTAACACCAAACCCTGGGGAGACAAAGACAATGGCTTCAAGAGAAAACTGTTGGCAAACAGAAGAAGGATCAGACAGATGAAGGAGGAGGAAGAACAGTAGAAGCAACATCTTTTGCTTGATATTTGAATATTTATGAATAAATTTTCAAAAATAGCCTTTGAGTTTTGAAGAATAATTTGCTTTTGGTCGTGTGCTGTTTAGCACGAGCCTACCGTCGTAAAAACGCAAACTTACTGTAAGATTCTGTAATTTTTCCAAAAAAAATGAAATATTTTTATAATTTCAAAATTTTTTAGTTATTTTCAAAAATTAAATTTCAAAAATAAAATTATTTTTAAAAGTAAACTTTAGAAATGAAGTCGGTGGTGTTGCTTCTTTTGCTCTTCAGCCTAGTCAACTCTTACTTTCACTACAACAAAGACAATGGAGAAGCCCAAATCAGTGGCATGTTGACTTGTAAAGCGACAAACTTTGAGGATTTGCCAGTTGTTGTAAGTTTAATTTGATTCATCAATGTATCAATAGATAAATTCAGCCCCTTTGTGTTGCTTATAATACGTTTACAGAACAATAAACGTTGAACTTAACCTCAATCTTTTGTCTTTTTAGAAAATGAAACTATGGGAGGATGATAACGGACGTGGTGCCTACATTGATGGAGACGATTTGTTGGGTGAATTCGACGTAGCTCCAACTGGAGAGTTTGCCATCTTTGGCAGAGAAAAAGAATACTTTGACACCGAGTTTTATATCCAAATGTAAGGTACTTTTAATCTTTATAGGGTCAACGTCTCTATACATATTTGTAAAACAAAATTTGTTTTAACACCCCCAGAAAAAATGCCATCCCAGTACTGATAAGATGCATTACCCAATATACCCATATAAACCATCAAATTTGAACCATTTCAGTCACCACACATGCGGCGGTAAATGCCGTAGTTTGGACGTTTACCAAGATAAAATGGCAAATAACGACGAAATCGAATTGGAAAATCAAGGAGATGTAGATTCTGGGTGTAACACCAAGACCTGGGCGGAAAAAGAAGACATTGATAACGAATCGAAAGCTAATAGTACAAATGAGTGAGCTGTTCTACAATGGCTGTAAGATGACTATAATATCTTCTCTATAATTATCTTGTTATTCATGTCAATGTCGTAAATTTTATTTTCAATAAAAATTTTAATTTTGTGGTTTTCCTACTTTTAGTTTGTAGTAGTTGCCAAAAATTTACTTTGTATTACCTAATTGCTTTATATTGTCTAATATGTTTGATCTACTATATCAGGCATATTTTTCTCCAAACTACGTAGTAGTTTTAACTTAGTACCTTAGAAAATACTCTATGTTTTTCACTCAGTATTTTCCGACCTACACAGTATGTTTACTTCGTATTCCCCAAAAATGCACAATATTCCTACCATGTTATTTACGGCAATCATTTTCCGCGAATATTCTCCTTTCTACTTATTTTGTCGGCCTTCTGGGGGCGTCGTCCCCGGCTATAAAAGACGAACAAGGTCGTGGCTCCACCCCGACCTCCACACACACACAACAACAATAAAAGCGAAGCGGTGTGCCGGATTTCGATTAAATAGTCGGATGTCTTGGCAACAAACCCGGAGCGCCGGACATCCGGTCGGTGGGTCGCTTCTCCCTCCAACTCCACCGTTTCCACGGCGGCTCACTCACGGCACGTTCATGCTCTCCAATTACGACTCACGCAAATTGGATCACATTTGTCAGCGGCTGTGGTCCAGCAAGAAGCAGCACCACGACGGCAACAAGAACAACTTCACCGTCGAGTTCCTGTTGGGAGCGCAGAATGCGTTGTTGGAGAGCGACAAACTGTAAGTTTGAATTAGAAAAAGAAGCTGTTCAAGCCATATTTTTAAATTATTTAGCAAAATTTTTTAATTTTTTAAACCATCAAAATTTAAAAAATTTTAATTTCGAGCCAAAACTCGTTTTAAAAACGGCAAAAATGGTTCTACAACAATATCATAACTCATCACTAGATCCTCTTAAACTTGCACAGCCTACAACAAACCTCAATAGTAGAATAATAAATTTTTGTGAACGAGTACAGTATAATAAAATAATAAAAATTACTGTAAAAACGGTCTTTTGATCTTTGGCACGGGCCGTATCTCGTTAGGACCGCTTAAAGAGTATCCGGTTACTAGGCCAACAGTCATCCACGTCAAGTTTTTTGTTTTCAAACCGAATTCGGGATTCCGAAAAAACAAAAGATCCCCACTGAAAGGGTAATATCCGATTAGTCAATGTGCCCATAAACAGTATCCTTTTCAGTAACGTGTTTTGAATACAGTACTTAGTAGTAAACTAGCCTCAAAAGTACAGTACCTTTATTTAAAATAGTGAAAACTCCTAAAATACCGTAGGATTTTGAGATACTCGTCCTTAAAATCACGGCATTTTTACAGCATGCCCATAAAATACAGTAATCATACAGTACTCTTTATAAAATTGTCTTTTACAGTAATCCATCTCGAACATCCGAGAACCTTCGAGAGCTACAAAAAACCGAAAAAACGACCGAGAAACAGCACAAATCCCAATCTGCCGAATGCCTGCGGCCATTTTGCAAATTGAAAAAACGCGTTCATTTCCATTGCAACTTTTGTGAACAAGGCTTCAGCACCAAACAGCGACTTTTACCCCATATCCAAAAACATCTCACCCGGCGAAACAAGGCCATAATGGCCGAAAAACAGAAATAAACAGTGATATCGTATGTTACGGAACAGATCGCAATAAATTTTTAGATTCATTTTCATCTTTTTTTGGTATACATACCTTTAAAACTGTACGTAATACTACTGTAAAGGTCCGTAATAGTACTGAAAACGTTTGTAATAGTACTAAATTGGTCAGTGACAACCAGTTTTCTAAAAACCACGTGTATGGGTTCCAAATTAAATAAATATAGTAAAGAAATCAACAGTTAGAAAATTGAATAAATTAAATATGTATATTGTTTATAAGGCCATAACAAAAAACAACAACAAAACCTTCTATAACAATATTGATTTACAGTTTACGATTCACCCACTTGTCTATATGCGTTCTTTGTTTTACCACTGAAAAAAAGTTTAAATATTAAATTTAAACAATGCAAGATTATATTCCAAACAATATAATGGCAAAACAAAAGTCAGCTGGTTATTGAAACAGTAAAAAACCTACAAATAGAGCTCCGCTTCTTTCTGTGTGTCGTCAAATCCATCAATGACTCTCTGTACGATTTCGACGACTTATTGGCCAATGGTTTTGCTTTTGCTGTAACAACCTTGAACTCTGACTCTCTAAAAAGTAAAAACAGTGTTATCAATATTCATTTTTAAAACAAAAGCTTAAAATTAGCTCAACTTACCCCACAACAACATTATACTCCCCTTGAGCCACCTTCTTCACCACTTTCTTGACTTTCTTCTCCTTTTTCGGCTTCAAAACAACTTCAGGTAATGGAGAAGGTTCTTTATCAAAGTCCAATGGATTGTCATCCTTCTTTGTTTCCAATTCTTCCGGTTCATCATCACTCTCACCTCCAGGCATCGACACGACGATCGGCTTCTCCAATCTCTTCAACCTTCTCCGTTTCTCCTCCAATTTCTCTTCATAACTTTTGGGTCGAGAATCTAAACAACAATATAATAATGGAATAACTACTTACTTTTCAGTGGTAACTTGACCATTTTCGTTGTGTTTGTGTGAGACTGAAAGTATAAGCTTGTAAATGTTATTTTATTTCAGGTATCACCAAGGAACAAGATTAAACCAACAACTATAATGTTAAGATAAATAAAACTTAAAAAAAAACTTCTGTGACAAGTCAAAAAAACAAAGTTTAAATAGAAACTAAATAAACAAGATGTATTTCACTAATGAATAATAAAACCTATAATAATATATTATATTTCCTCGAAGATCTTTTAAGAAAATAAAAATAATATTAGAGGCAGAAATTAAATATTGATTTCGCCCAATAAAATTTGCGCAAACTTTAATAGAAAAAAAATCAAATAAGCGAAATGTTCAAAATTATTGTATAAAAATATTTTTTATTTTAAAAACTACCTAAAATACGCACTAAACGATCAAAAAGCCTCGACAAATTTTTTGTTTTTTATTTTTCTTTCGTATAAATTGTTTCTTTTTCAGCTGCGCCCATTATTCGTCAGATATATTCATGGTAAATTCGGACAGCTTGGCTCTCTCTATCTTATTCATGTTGTAAGCTACTCAAATAACTTTTAAACTGAAGAGAGATCAACCAGAATGGTTCAACCGACATTGTTCATCGACCGCCAACTTAAAGGTAAGAGTTTATTGTCATTTGAGGTATATACAAACAGATCTCTATTGTTAATTTAAAGCCCATTTAAAATGGAGACCTTAACTCATTTAAGTTGAGTTAATAGTCTCTAGCCCATTCCCCCATAGAGTTGTGATACGAGTTCCGTCGAGAGTACGAGTTGTAAGGTAGAGTACCATTCTGTCGTAATGGTGAAGGTGGTACAAAGTTGGGTTTCGATCTAGGCTGTGTGCCATGATAAGAAGGCAGAGTTCCATGGATTGGTGGGGGTGGATAGTAGTTGTTGGGTAGATAAGGCGTGAATTCAGGGATGCTGTCTCCGAAGACGGCATTGTGAAGTTCGTTATAGCGTTTCTCGTTCTTAACTCTTGAATGGTTGGCCGTGCTGCTGGCCAGAAACTGTACTAGGCCTAGGCAGACTATTAGTGACCCTAGGAAGCCTATGAAGTACCAGGCAACGACTGAGTTTGTGGCTGCACAGAATTGTTGAGCGTTACCTCCGCAGAGGTTTAGTGTCTGGAATGGATAACATGTTTTTTGGGAGTTTTCAAAAGATTTGGCTATTTTAGGAATGTCTATAGTAATATAAGTAGCTCAGGAATGTTTGTGAAGGTATTTCTCAGAAAGTTGAGCAAAAACGGCAAACTTTCTCAACTTTATATTAACCTAGAGAGTCAAAAACTAGTTTCAAGCGTAAAACTTACTTCTTTGGGTGTATCTTTAAACAGCGGTTGAAAAACGCTAAAGTCCAAGCAGTTCGATTCGTTGTAAGCAGCTAACGATGAACATAATCGGCTCAAAACATAATACCCGGCACTTAAAATGGCAGTTGTTGCAAATACGAACATCCACAGGATATTAAGGATGTAAGAGCACGCCATAGCAGTTATTCCAAAGCATTCTCCACCTCTTCTGGCACTCTCACGTTTGTAGATCTGTTCTCGAGTTCTTCCCGTACTGACAATAGCGATGGCAAGAAGGAAGATGGCAAATAAAGCCATCACAAAGGCTATGATTAGGAAAGCGAGGTTGATCTGCAAAATATTGAGTTAGAGGTGCAGAGGTGCTCTTTTTATACATTTATGTTAAGATGTTACTACAGTTTGTACCATAGTTTATATTTTATCAACAAAGCTTACTTTGTCCAACCAAGGCAAGTCGGTGAGATCAAGAGCGCGTCTGAACTGTTCTACACTCGCATTTACAGCGAACCACATCATCGATGAGAATAGTACGACGCCAACGAAGCACATAAAGAAGCCAATGGCCGAGAAGTAGGGGATTCTGTTCAGACACCCATCATCCGAGTAGTAGGATGAGGACCGGTACATACCCAAGTGCTCGGCCGAAGGATGTTTTAGCATCCCTGAAAAGGAGAGTTATATTGAGGGTAGATTAGGTAATGGTAGGATGAGAGTGGCGCGATGTGAGTATAATTGCTATTAAAAAAGTTTTAATTATTTTGAATTAGTAATAAGATATGGTTTATACTGAACTTCTATTGAAAATACCTGGTCCAAAAATACGTAGAATCCTTGTTTTTATGCATTATTATGTTTGCCGCGAAAAAAAGAGTGTATAAAGTAGCATAATTCTTTATAAAATCAAAATAATGTAGTAAAATACGTCGACCATCCCGTAACTTCAAAAGAATTACTCAAAAAACACCCATACCCCTAAAAACGATCGATTATAACCTAACAATCAAGATAATAATTCAGAATCTCGGTTCCCAAATAAGCCTATAAAAAGCCCGGGCCCCGCATGTTATGGGAAAGTGAGTCATGTTATCTATCAGAGCTATCATAAGAGTAGAAAGAGGTCCATTCTCTTTTTTTTGCTCGTGCGTCGCACCGGCTCAGGTCACTCTCGCGCACCTCGAGAGTGGGCTTTGTTGGTCGCTAGGCATTGGAGGGGGGGAAGCGTAAATGCCATGTAAAGGATAATATGATGGGTCGGAGGGAAGGGGCGAGGGTCACACAGGAAGAGGTGATTTGCATTGGATGGGTAACATATAAGCTTGATTTACATAAACAAAAAGTTTAGTTTTTGGGGATCCGTTAATTTTTTCGTATTGTTTTTGTGGCTTGTAAATTGAAAAAGGAATACGAAAAAATGGATTTTCAAAGGCATAGAATTCTGATCTTTTAACGGTTCTTCCCCCTTCTTCCCCTTCCAGCGAAAAAAACCGTAGCAAAGCCTGTAGCGCACCAAGTAAAAGGCTAGTCCACAAACTTTTTGACCTCATAATATTATCTTACTAAAGAAAAGTGAAAGTGACTAATAATGACATTAACACAACTGTCTAACTTTTTCAATTTAATTACTGTCGATTAAAAAGTAATAAAAAGTTTTGTCGCTGTAGCGTAACTACCGTCGTATGTAGGAGGATCTATTACGAACACTTAAGAGCTTCGGAAGTCGTCGTTTCCTCTCTATTGTCTTTGGTTGCGCAATGTATGTGTGTATATTGTTGTTGGGAGATATACTAGAGACAGGAAATCGAGACGTTTTACTATGTGAAGGATAGTCATTCTTACTATGTAAGGGATAATATATTTCTTCGAAACTCTTATTATTCAAAATATGTATATTAATGCCGTAGTATCGGATGAAATAGCAAGTGCAATATAAAATGAAACTGTAAAACCAGTCAAAAACAAAATTAAATACGAAAGAATTAATGGACCTTATCAATAACTACCTTCAGATCACGATAAAATGGGTATACTTCATGGTAACGGACCAAAGATAAGGTACATGGACTTAAAGAAGCCTAAATCTCGACATGACAAGCCTTTCAAAGAACGGATGACAGAGATAAGAAACAAATGGCGGATTCTGAAGACGATGATGCAAAGCGAGAAGAAGAGATGCATGTTGCATCCGGTCATGCTCTATTTAGGATGGAGGTGAGTGTCAAGGTCATTATTAGGTATATCATCATAATGTAGGCTATGCTACTTTATGTAGGGCGTTTAGGTATTATGTTATCGAAAAATATATAGAAGTGTTAAAAAAAAGTGATAATAAAGCTAAAATATGATGATTTTTGGTTACTTTTTGACTAGTTTAGGCCAATCAAAGTGCATTTTAAGGCTATGTTTTGTACGTTTAACGTATCTTTAAGTAGACAAGTATTATCTTAACTCAAAAACCATAACATTTCAGACTAGACCGTTCCAAATACATTATGAATTTGACGAAAGGCCAGAAGATTCGTCGGAAATACGAATTCTACCGCACTTTACCACGCTTTCGACCGTTTTTCTGTCAAAAATGTGGGCTAAGTTCTCATAACTTATTGACCATTAAAGCTCATATGTGTAGACGAAGAACAAGAAGAGAGCCGAATTCAGAAGAGGTACAAAGAGCGATTGAAAATGGCATCAAAAGTGGATTGAAGAATTCGTTAAGGACGATGGAGACGTTGGAGTTTCCTGGTAAATACAAGGTGGAGTTGTTGGAGGTGGAATGTCATACTGACTTTAAGGACGGCAAGGTTATGAGGTAGGGTTTTGGTAAAGTTTTAGAGGTAATGGTACTGGGTTGATATACACATAGTACTAAGCAACGTAACATCTCTATTTCAGGCCCAAGTTACCAAACGCCTTTATCAAGTCGAATACAGTATCATTCCCTATCTACAGTACTCAACATGTAAAACTAGACGGTTTTGTAAAGGAGAAAGAAATATGTTATCTATGTTTGAATTGTGGTAAACAATTCTTCAACTATGAGGAGTATGATCTACATCTGTATGAGACAGAAGAATGTGCCAAGCCTAACAATGAAATGGGCTTTATCGTAAGTTATTTTTGGTTTTTAGTTAGATACGGTAAAGTTACAGAAAGCTTTTTCAAAAAAAGTTTTTACATTACCGTGATGTTGAAAAAACGGCGCGTGAAATATATGAAATGTAGTAATATCTTAACATAGACAGATTGTATAACTACAACATTTAAAATATGGAATAATCACGTCAGTATAAACCTAAAATTCTAGGTAGATAACCACCACTTCCCTCTAAATTACTGTAAACTACCAGAGAATGAAATTCTCAAATCCGATCTCAAGTGTTTGGCCTGTGGCAAACTCGACTTTTCCACCATGCCCGAACTACAAAAACACGTGTTACATTGTACAATACAGTATTAGGACATTGAATCGAACAAAATTTGTGAAACGGGTCATTAGTAATTCAATCTTTATTATATAGTTGTTACAACGATGGTTAATATTAATAAAGCTACAAGAGTCTATGGCGCAAGCAATTTTTTGAATATATTATAGTAGGGTTCTGTTATAGGCAACATTTATTAATGTTTTTTAAGTCGTCGGGATGAGGTAGTAAAAAGGATTGTAAAGAGAATGCTTTTAACAAGGTTAACTATAACGAACGTCTAGTTTTAATATGTCCAATAGGCAGACGGTTAACATGAAATAAGCATGGAATTTTAGTGATGAAAGCAAGATAACATATAAACAATTTTTGAAGTATTTACAGTTATTTTAGCATCAAAACAAACCGAAAATAAGTAGCCAATCACTGAGATCTTCTTGAGGTATACAACAAGACATTTCCTGGTATGTTGCTCAGTTTTGCGCAGAATTAGTATATGTAATGTACATAAAAGACAACACAAGCCTTTTCACAAACTTGTTACTGTAAAGGATAATTTAAAAAGTATTAGATCACAGTCTGTATCTCCAACTTGGGCCCATTGGACAAAGAATCAGAAGGCGTTCGTTGATAGACCCTCGGGCGATTGTTGAATGACACTCGTTGAGGGCTTTTTCGTTTAAAATTTGGAGTGAAAGATGGCCCAGCAGAAGTGGCACGAGACCGACCGGTCGATCTTCTGCTTTGTCGCGAACTCTTCCTTCGACTCGACCGGTCGATAAGCTGACTTGCACTTTCTTCACGATACTTTGGAAGGTTTTGTTGGTACTTTTGTTGATATTGTTGTAGGTTTTTTGATTGATTTGGATATTGTAGTTGACTTTGATTAGGATATTGTTGTTGTTCTATGGTTCTATGTTGAGGTCGAGGGTAAGGGTCTGGTTGAGGTAGACCTAATGGTACACTTTGGGCAGGGTAATCTTTGTTTGGATATTGATATGGAGGGCGGGTTTGTTGATTGTTTATATAGTTTTGAAGACCCTGTTGATACTGGAACTGCCCAGCTGGATACTGATTCCTCCCTCTTTGGTACTGATCGTGCATATACTGATTTGACTGTCCAGTACCACCACCATACCTTCCTCTAGGTTCGGATTGTGGCCTCAACGGACTTCTGGATTCCCTCCTCCGCAGCTTCCGCTTCATCTCATAAGGCGGATCCTTAGGCATTTTGGGGTAGAACGAAGGCACATCTTTAGGTAGATCTTTGTCCCTCTTCTGTTGACCTCTGCCGATCTTGTCCGAAGTCAAAGAACCAGTGATTCTCAAGTAGTACATTAGTACTACAATATAACATGGTCCATTTATGGCTAAAGAAAAGACGAATTCCGCGACAGAGGCGGTCAACTGTTCGTTGAAGATGTCGCCACTCCACCAGAGGATGGCATAAGCGGTGGTTAATATGATTAGAGGGGCACCGGTGAAGAACCAGATACAAATGAACGAGTGGTTTCGCTGAAAGTAGAGTAATATTAGTAGGGATAAGATATAATATAAAAATAGGAGAGGATTGAGTGGACTTTTTTGGCAAAAAATGCAAAACTTAAACTAACTTTGATAACACCATAAAGCATAGACACCGTAGTGAAGAGATGTAGCAAGTTGCAGCCAATACACAATAGCACTATCACAAACAATGCTGAAAATTAGCGGTTATTAAGTTGTTCATGAAAGTTTTTGAGATGGTTTACCAACATAGGATTATATGTTTTTATGATTTCAAACCGTGCCATTCTTTTTGAATCATTAAAACCTCAAAATGTTACCGTTAATTTTGCGTCGCTCTGGAGTTTCCGTGTAAATTGCGTAAAGGCCAGGAAACCTGGCTTGGAATCCGTCGATCCTAAAAAGCAAATTCACTATAAGATGTAATGTTAACATACGCATGTGTCGGCGGTAACTGTCGGTTTTCATATTCCCATTGAAACGTCTTTACAACGTGAGTTTGCCAACCCAGTATGCCAAATTGTATTAGACAGTACAGCTGAAAAGGACTTTATTTACATGTGTTTTATAGCTTTAGGGGTTTTGGGAGTACCAGTAGTACTATTAAAATGGCAACTTTTGAATGCGTGCGACTTCAACGTTAGAAAACTCACACTCATAAGTTCTGACCTAATAGAATCTTGAGTTGCTAATAGCTCGGTCAAAAATTTAATGGAAATTGTAAAAAATTGCCATTACACCTACCAAGTTGTACACCCCAATGGCAATCGAAGAACAACGTAGACAATAGTACGGATCCGTCATACCATTCACATTCCGAATCCCATCATTACCATCGTGTTTGCTATCATTCTCCTCGAATCAAACCACAAAAAGAAGGGGAATTTGCAAAATGGGTAAGAAATAGATTGTATGATTCAAAGGGCCCTCTTGTTTGTTTTGTCCCCGTGACTAAAATTTGCGTGGAGGTAAAGGGAGGCGAGAGCAGAGAGTGACCGCTGACCACTAGCCGCTTTTATTGCCATAGTAACATGGCGAAATGTCAACATTGTTTTAAGCTGCATTCTTTATCCGGGAATTTAGGTAATATTTAAAAAAATGATTTAAAATTCTGATAAGCGGGCTTCTGGGCCCAAAAACAGATAAGGTACCTTAAAATTAAGTATATACATAAGCTATCTTAAGCTATCCAAATAAAGGTAAGCACCATTTTTTTCAATTTTATAATCATTTAAAAAATTTTAATGATTTTGTAAAACCAGCAGGCGAATAAATTACTGGATTCTCTATGACAAAAAACAACCAGGCCATCATTTACAGTATTTTATTCCGAAATAAATAGATTAGCATAGTTACTTCCCGGCTTCCAAATGTTTGTGTACCATTTCTTCCTTGAGTATCAGATGCGAGACCTTGTTTAGGATATCGGTCAGCTTTCGCACGTTCGATCCCCATTGGTCAAGGGTCTCAACATTGGCCTTTCTTGCGCGAAGATTGACAATTCTGGATGGACGGTGAATTTTGGCATCAGGAATAACACCAGTTACGATCAGGTTACACAAAAAGGCCTCCATTTCCTAAAATTCCATAAATAAAAAAATCAAAAATAATTTTAAAAAAATACATCAATAGTACCTAAAAATCAAACTTACATCAACAGGAAACTCGAGAATCTCGGCCATTCTGTCAAAAGTGATCTGAGTGTAGTATTTGGCAATCATCCTCATGTTATGTTCTCCAACTCTCTCCTTGAAGGTCTTCCATCTCTTCTCGCCTTCCTCTCCAAAGGAGAACACTTGTGGTGGTGGAGATGTGGAAGTTCCTTTTCTCAACAACTGTTCATATTGTTTTACAATCGAGTCCTTCCATGCAATTATCTCTTCGTTGATGAACAACTCCAACAGATTGTTGTACTCTGGGACGAGTTCGAGCTGTCTTATGGCATGAATGCGATGTACTTGGTCCCATTGTTCGTTACCGTGTGGGGAAAGGAGAACGTAGAGAACGACATTCTTCAGAATCTACAAAATAATAAAAGTTTAAGATTTTAGAAACCTTTTTCTACATCCTTATTTCTAAAAAGCAACAAAAATAATATTACACTTACTTCTTTAACTTTGTCATCGTCTTTTTGAACCTTTGGTGTATCAAAAACAGATCTGTAATGTTTGCAAACATCTAAGTAGTTGTTTTCATTCAATCCAATAGCAATCTTGTAAGTATAGAACTCAAGTTTAAGGTCTTGAATCTGCAATCATGTAATTAAATGTTAAAATAATAATACATTGTTACCTGAAATAAATTTCTTTAAAAGTAAAAACAGAATCATAATTTTTACACCTATTTCAATGTCCCTCCATTAAAAAATAAGCTTAGAATCTAATTGTTACCTAAAAATAAAACACTAACCTCATCGGCCTTGTTGTCAAAGAATCTTATGCTGATCTTGTTGGAAATGATGTTCGCTCTGACGTAATCCTTTCTTTGAATCGACAATCTGACCTGATCCAACAAGAACCTAACCTTCTCTGGCATCTCCATGGATCCAAACGTCTCTACTTGAAGTTCGATCATGTTAGTCCAAGCTTCTTCCACTTTTCCCTCGGCTTCCAGCTTCTTGACCACTCTCTTAGTCAATCGAGCTCGCTCTACTTCAACATAGATTTTACCAGCCGTTACTGTTCTGAGGACATCGATCAGTTTGTTGCGATCTTCTTCATTTGGTACTTGATCAACGAATTCACAACAGTCTTGGATCATGTTTTTGATGGCAAACTTGATCAACGACCTCTTTTTAGAGAGATTAACAATTGTGTCGTTCAGAAGCTTCCAGTCCTTAGATTCGAAAGCAATCTTTACCATGTGTTTGAGGATTTTGGAGTTGGATCTCATGTCACAGCCAAGACGAGTTTGCTTTTCAAGTTGTGATAGGGAATCAATGGCTGCTGATGGATTGGTCTAAAACACAAAAGATAGGTAACGTATAAAGAAAACGTTCGGTTTAAGTTGAAGTATTTTTGATAAAAAAAATAAGTACTAACTTCTTAAAGTCGTTTCCTCAATTCTACATCAAAGAAACAAAGATACCTAAAAATCCAATAAACCAGATTTACAAAAACTTACTTTGGCCATGTTCGTAGCCTTTGGCAGCGCTTCCTCGACTTGTGGAGCATAATCCACATCCATCTTGACCAAACGCCCATCCCCAAAGTTGGCGGAAGCAAATTGCGATAAAGCAAAGTCATCTGGCTCCTTACCAGCTTGTTTAGGCTTATCTACCTTGATAGGCTCGACTGGAATTGGCTCCCGATTTTCCATTATGAACAAAAATTAGAATATATTCACAAAGCCAACCGACTTTTCTTAAAAAACGAAAGAAAATTTATTTTTTGATGATTAAAACACTACGCCACACGCCAATTTCGCGTGGTGGGACCAAATGAAGTGAAGTGTGTGTGGAAAATTATGTTTTTAAAATTCAAAAATGATAAATGATAATACTTTTTTGATCAAATGTAGTATAATACACATAAAGTGTAAATTTGTGTTTTAATACACTTTAATCTGGATTACAAAAAATATTCTTATAGGTAAAGCCTAAAAAAAAATGTAAAAGTCGTTTGCAGAAAAAAGTTATGCTTGAAAAGACGAAGTGTAAACTATGTAAATTCTATGCAAATTCGGACAGAATTCTTCAAAATGGTCAAATCGGTGGTCGTCTCATCAGTCTTTGTCATTTACTTCAAGTTTTAGACTATTCGAACGCGGTTGTGGTCCCGTTTCGACCGAACATCAATCGGAAATGTAAGTCTACTAGTGTCACAGTGACGTGCTACATTATGTTTCATCTCTTGTGTTACTACTCGTTTTGTCAATAGTGATATTACTCTTCTCTACGAATGAGTTCTTGTACTGTAATATATCGTTTTAGGGGAAAGAAATCAGGTTCAAAGGAAAAGGTGACAAAGACAAAGGGCGCGGGAAGTAAGGAGAAGGTGAAGAAGAACCTTAGCAAGGAAGGCAAGACCACCAGGACAGTTGGCAGTAAAGAAGCAGTAAGCAAATGCAAAACTACAATTGAAAAATCAACCATGAGCAAGTCGAAGAACGACAACTGCAAGTCATCTTCGTCGATGAAAGGCCGAACCACGGCCGATGATCAAACGAAGGAAGATTTCAATTACAACGAGGAAGCCATCAACGTAAGTTTCAGAATGATACAGTGTTATTAAAATTAAAAAATGGGTTTCAAAATATAAAAAATTTAGTTAAAATTTAAAATTTTAGAAAATGAGTAAAGCCCTAACCCATCACAACTGGTACCACGGTCTCATGCCCCGCGACGAAATCGAGGATTTGCTCAAGGAAGATGGCGACTTTTTGGTCAGAAAAACTGAAGTTCATCGACAACCACGCTACGCCGTCTCCGTCATTAGGAATCTGCGGATTCGGCACATTTTATTACATTACAAGGACGACTTGTGGTCGTTAAGGGATGTAAGTATATTTTTTGGGACCTAAATTTTATGCTGAATTCGTATTGTAAGTAGAATTTGTTTATTATAAAAGTTGCCAGAGTTGTGGTCGATTAACCGTAGTCGACTACCTTTTACTGGAATTTAAGGTAATTTTTAGTTGAAATTGGTATTTAAGATGAAAATTTTGAAAGCTGTTAATAATAATACAGTAAAAGGCAGTTAGGGCTACTATTTTTCAAAATTTAGTCAGAAATTCATTTTAAAACAAAATTTTAGCTAAGAAAGGCCAACCTGACGGAACTAATCGAATGTCACACGCGCGACAAAGTCCCAATAATGGCGGACGGTACCATTTTGGTGCGAGGCGTGGATCGACCACCATTTTACATCCTGCATGAACATATTGTGTTGAAGAAGCAGCTGGGTGGAGGTAACTTTGGGGAAGTATACTCGGCACAGTGGAAGAAGGCCGAAGGAGAAGTCATTGATGTGGCCGTGAAGAGGCTCAAGGGCATGATGAAGAAGAAGGCTAGGGTCGAGTTTGTAAAGGTATGCTTGCCTTTCCGGGTTCTTCTTTAGACACGTAAATGAAGTTTGATGTTGTATGCTGGGATAATGCTAAAATATCTAGGACAATGTAAATTGTTTTTTAATTTTAAGAACTGCGAAATCTTAAAAATAATCTTTTGCTCTTAGGAAGCCAAGCTGATGAGAAGATTCGACCACCCAAACATTGTCAAAGTGTACGGTGTAGCGCCCCAAGAAGAGCCGGTTATGATTATATTGGAGATGGCGTCAGGCGGCTGTCTCCAAAGTCATCTCAAGTCGCCGATTACTCTGTCGTTTGACCAGCTACAGGGGTATTGTACAGATGCGTGCAGAGGGATGGTATATCTGTCCGGAAGAAATGTCATACATCGTGATATCGCGTAAGATTCTTTTATTTGGCGCCATTCTTTTTGCAAAAATTTTTTATAAATTTGAGTTTAGACATATCCAAGTTTTTTTAAAAATGGTCGTATTTTAGTGCCCGTAACTGTTTGATGGGTGCGAAACACGAGGTAAAGATTAGCGACTTCGGACTGTCAGTAGCCGACCGTAGCGAAATCAAGTTGGACAAACTCAAAAGTATGCCAATCAAGTGGCTGGCTCCAGAAACCCTCAAAAGTGGCATCTTCTCGAAGAAGTCGGACGTCTGGTCGTTTGGCGTCTTGGTTTGGGAAATTTTCACTCGATGCGAAACTGATCCTTACCATGGCATGAACAATCACAAGGCCAAGGAAAAGGTGCGTCAGAAATAGAAAGTTAAAATTGTTATTGTGTTTCTAGGTTGAAAGGGTTTTTTTTTGTCATTTTCAAAAAAAAATTTCATTTGAAAAATTTTGGATTTTTGAAAATTTTAATTTTTTTCTAATGTTGTGACCTATGATAATATTGTTTTTTTAGATTCTGGCTGGTGGCGACCTGAAGCTTCCTGATTCCACTCCGGCTCTTGGATCGGCCGTGATGAACCTTTGCTTTACCTTGGTAAGTTATATATATTAACAAGGAAAGTACCCGACCTGCCTCGCTCTGATTGACTTCAAACTTTTTATACAGAAAGATAATGTAAATATAAGATCTTCAGCAAAGTACTAAATCGCGCTTTTTAGCCAATCTCGAGAAAAACGAGATCGAAAAATTACGTTTTGAATTTCCCGCCAAATCGGCATTGTGTTTCAAGCCCATAACTGTAACTTTTTGACTTTTAGGAATTTTTCTTCGATATACTAGTAGAATACCTTTAATGAACCTACATTTTTAAATTTATAAGCGTAGCTTGGCTGGAAATTCAAAAAAAGCGCTTGAAACATAATGCCAAATTTGCCAAATTGGCGGGAAACCAAAATATAAAAATTTTGAGCTGGATCTGAGCGGGGCAGGTTGGGAACTTTCCTTGTAAGTTGTTTGAATGGGCCCCATAAGATTTTTGGAGGATATTACCTAAAATACGATTGTTAATTTATTGATTTCAGAAGCCAGATGATCGTCCCGACTTTGAAGCCCTATTCAGACTGTTGGCTCCAGAAGAGAAACCACCCAATAACCTGGACGCCATGTTCGAGACCTACGCCACCTAGGGCTAGGCACTGAATAGTTGAATCTGCGGGAATAAACTTAATTACCGTCTAATCGGGCTTTTATTACCTTGTGATCTGTTTAATGTATTTATAAGTACTGAACATCGTTGTGATCATTTCATTTTGGTGATTTATTTAGAGTTAGTAAGTTGTAGTAGTTTGTTCTTCATTATTGTGTTCTCATGCGGCTTGATTTCAAGATTGATTGTTTTGTAATGTAACATATTGTTTTTTCTATTGGCAACGTCTACCTTTGGTACAAAAATGTTGTTTATAATGGGTACTGTACCTGAAAACTACCATGGGTTGGTCGTATTTAATATAACAGTTGTATCAGTCTGGAAAAGATGAAACGATAAAACAATGGTCACGATGACATTTCTAAAAACTTTTTGACCCACCTTCCTTACCATCATCAAAATTCTGCAAAGAAATGTCATCAAACGTCGAGAGTAAGAAAAATGCCAAAAAATTTGCATATTATGTTTGATTGCATTTGCAATTTGGAAAAGTACATCAGAACGACCAAGAATGTTCATTTACTCTGCTCACTCGTTCATATCGGTTGGTCCTGTACGGTCCATCAAAAGTCGTCGCTGGAATGTCAGCAACCGAAGAAGTCAAAAAACCAAGCGTTGTTTCTGCTAATAAGGTAACTCTTTGTCACTTTCTTTTCACTAGACAATGTGTTAATATTATACTTTGCTGCAATTGCTATTGGCAATGGTGGCATAGTTCATATACATATTAATGTTACTGTCAATTACGTTATGCGTTTTATATACTTATTGTTAAATATCTTATTTTAGACTGAAGAAAAACAAGTGACAAAGACGGAAGATAAAACTCAAACACAGAGCAAAGATGTTCCATCGGCAAGTAAGTGATAAGGCTAAATTAGTACTAGAAGTAGCAGTTTGTCAAAAGTTTTTTTATTATTTCAGAAACTACTGTTAAGAAGCTACTACTAGACTAAACACACTAACTCATCCATTTCCAGCCGAACTAGACACAGAAGATGAGAACCATTCGTCGCCGTCCAGGAAGCAGAACAGTAACGCTTCGGCCAGTGCCAAGAACTTCTCGCCCATCAGTATCCCAAAGCAGGAACTGAAGGCCGCGGCCAAAGGCTGTAAGAAGGATGCGGAAGAGAACGAGCACTTTGATCCCGTCTTCTACAAGAACCTTGTTGCGATGAGACAGCACGACCAGACCAAACGACCTACCTTCAACAGTCAACCAGAGTCGGCCTATGAAGAAGGCGAAATCGTGTTGGATGTGATTGCCAAGAAGGTCAGCAAGGCCAAGGACATCAGATGTCATCTTAAGGTCAAGCAACAAGCCTATCTTGGAAGTGGTGCTTTTTCTGGTAGGGTCCAAAACTTATAATAGCAAAATTGTTTTGTTTTGCTTTTTGTAATACTAAAAAGGCTAGCTCCATTTTTATGGTGACTAGTCCACAATCCAAAGTACCTCCTATGCCAACCTAAAATGAAATATGATTACCAGATTCTAAATTACCTACATTTCGATTTCAGACGTATACAAAGGAGTAGTAAAGCCGAAAGACAAGAAAGGATGTGAAGAAGTTACAGTAGCCATCAAGAAGATCTGGCCCGATCCGTCGCGAGAAGATCGTCAGATATCGATCCATCGCAAACTCGACCATCCCAATCTGATCAAACTCATGTACTACTACGTATGTATTCACCCAAAGACTAAAGATACCATGTGGTCACTGGTACTCGAACTGATGCCTTCCACAGTATCACAGGAGCAAGGAAAGCGAATGGACAGAGGCACATTGTTACCTGCGTTGTATGCCAAGGTAAGGTAATTTAGTAGTATCGAGTAATAAAACATGATTAAAGGTATCTAAATTATGTTGGAGTACCAATATAGTACTAGAAATTTGATATTTTTGAACTTTAGTACTAGAAAATTTAAAATTGTTACCTAAAATTCAAATTTATTTTTTTGCCCTATTTTCAGTTGTTCATGTACCAAACCTTTTGCGGTTTACTGTACCTCGAGAAGTCGCGCTACTTTCACCGTGACGTCAAACCCGATAACCTCCTGGTCAACATGGCTACTGGCGTCCTCAAGATAGGCGACTTTGGAAGTGCTCGCAAGTATCGAAACTACGAACGTAACAACGCGTACCAAGTGACACGCTACTACCGTGCTCCAGAATTGTGTATGAAGTTTACACGGTACGATACGACGGTAGATGCGTGGGCAGCTGGCTGTATTCTGGCCGAAATGTTGACGAATCGTGTCATTTTTTATGGAGAAAATAATGCGGATCAGTTGAAGAAGATCTTCAGAATCTGTGGCACGCCCTCAATCGACCAGTTGAAGGAATGTGTGCCTGGCCACGAATTGGATCCGGACATTCTGAAGGACAAGTATCCACCGGCCAATTGGTTCAAGATACTCAAGAGGTACAATCGAAGTGTCACCGAGGTTCATGCTGATATTGTTGGGTCGTAAGTTTTATTCTATCTCTCTTGTGTGTTGAGGTTTATCGTTTCGTTGTTTTTTACTTTATTCTTGTTATCTTATACCTTATTTATTCGTTTTATTTCTATGTTTTACAATTTTTATGTTATTGTAGCTGTTTTTACTTTTTGTTTTATACTTTGCATAAGTGTTCTTAAATTCATCGTTTCAGAATCCTGCGCTACGAATGCAACAAACGGTTACGCGGCCTGGATGCCTTAAAACATCCATTCTTCGACAGTCTTCGCAAACCGACCGCCAAGCTGCCCGACGGAAGCCCATTACCTTTTTTGGAGCATCTAAATGAAACTAAAAAATCTGTAGCTGCTTGAACGAATAAATTTGAAAAGACCCTTAGTTTTACACACTAGTCGTTACATGTATAGCACATATAACGTACCTTTTTAAATGAATATCTAAACGAAATAGGTAACGATATAACACGAAGCCATTTGATAAATAAGATATCTAATATTTGAAACAACTAATAATAAGTAATAATCTAGCAAAAATAACCATGATTTATTTCAATAACAAATAACAAGCAACTAACGTTAGTATCAACCATATATAAACTAAAAACGTAACAATATATAATGGTTAGATAAACAGTCGAATTCGACCATACGGCTCGTCTTGTCTTTCTTTCAGTTTTCCCTCCTTTAGCAAGCCTAAAACAACAAAAATTGTAATTTATTATCAAAGCTATACAACAAAATGCTATATAATGATCAAAAAAATGTCTTTAGTACTATCAAATTTTGAAAAACATTAAAAATAGGTTCACTCTTGATTTTTTAAAATTATTTGTATAAAAAAAACTAGACTTACACAGCAAATTGTAAAAGTCCTTGGCCTTTGCTTTGGGAGAATCTGGGTCGCTGTAAACATCATCCAAATGTGCAATAACATCTTCCTCAATCTTTTCGAGAACTCTTCTGTAAAATACGATAAAAATAACGTAAACATAAGGAATAGAAGTAGCCTGAATTTAGAACAAATAATTTAAACTTCAAATCCAAAAACCTACTCTAAAAGGTTCCCTTGAGCAACAACATCATTCTCCAGCGACAGCTGACGTCGCTGATCCTCCAAATACTCCTTTAGTCCAACTTGTTGTTCTTCCTCTTCTGGAATCAAATCAGGCTCGGGAATGTTACTCGGCCTTCCTGGAATCATAGAAGAAGCTCTCGATGATCGGCGACGTTGTTGAACACTGTCGTCGTGCTGAAGAATAGACAAGTCCTGGAATGGTACCTCAGTGCTATTCAAAGGTCCTTCTGGAGGATAGTTAAGCATTGGTTCTTCTGGTAGCTGATAAGGTTGTGGGATGTTCTCCAAGAAACTATCTGGAGGTGGCATCAAGGTTCTGTCATTCAGAGGGTCCAACTGAATGCTCAAGTCAGGCTTCGGGATCGGATCTTCCATCGTTGGGATTCCACTGACTCGCGAGCGAAGTTCAGAAGCTCTGCGATATTCAGAAGACATGGACGAAGTGTCTGACATTGAGACGTCCAAGATGCCAGCAATATTGCCTTCCTTGACGTAGTCTACAAATGGTTCGTATCTTTCTTCCATGTCTGAAAAAACACATTTTAACTTTAGTAAACATGTTAATACCAGAATTCTGCTAACATTAAAGTGTTCTACTAAACATACGTTTCGGAATCATTGTGAACATATCCAAAAGCTCTGAAACAGGCTTCTTGGGCTCTGGCGCCCGAGCAAGCTCTTCAATAATGTCGCTGTAATCAGTGATACCTTGAGCCAGATCTTCCTATAATATTACTTTTATAATTTTATGAAATTCTACTACAAGATCAAGAAAAATCTAATATAAGCACTCAAAAATTTTTTTTGGCTTCAGAAATCTATCATAATATAAAATTTGCAGCTCCCAACATAACCATCACAACTTACATCCGGAATTTCGGTTTCCTCATCAATAACCAATCTTCTGTTGCGTCTTCTGGGTCGACGACTAGTTGATGGTGCTGCAGATGGAGCTCGGATAGCTCGTCTTCGTGGAGTAGGTTCAATTCTTGGCAAAATGATTGGATCCAACCCAGAGAGAGAGAAGACGTCACTAAGTGTTGCATCACGAGAATCCTGCTGATGTAATAGTCCTGCATCCAACTCGAACAAGGAGAGCTAAAATAGATAATCATATATCCATCTTTTTTGAATAGACAATAAATTGTTTTATTAAAGTTGACATTTTACCTGATTTGCAGTCTCCATGCCAATATTTCCATCGATAGATCTTGTTTCGTACTCAATAGGTGACGGTGGTCTGAAAATATATACATAAAATATTTCACTAACAATTTGTAAGTAATTATAAGTCTAAATTAATTTATCTAATACAATATAAATGTCAAAACAATACCTAAGGTCAAAGTCTCTGAATTCTTCATCCATCCTCATCAGATCTTCATAATTTTGATTTTGAACCTCGGGAATCATTTGATCTTGCAACAAACTATATTCATTCTGATTCTGAACTTCTGGCATCAACTCATCATTCAAAACTCTGTTCATCTCCTCATTGTTCACGTCCAGTACGTCCATTCCCTGTCTGTAATACTTGATAATACAGTAAAGATTTTTTAAATACGTCATTTTAAATCAAAAATGATAAAATTACTACTTTTTAAATAATAGATTGCATTAAGTGAGCTAAATCAACTAAAACAATAACTGAAACCAAAACTTACTCGGCCATTAGTTGTTCAATGTCAAACGGACGTTCAATAATGTCTTCTGGGAGAGTAAACTACAAAAAGATATTTAATTACATACTACAATATTATAGTTCATTACCATTCTGGATCGTTTAGCGTACTCCTCATCTGTCATTTCAATATCAGCATCGCGAACAACCTCGGTATCAGCATTCAAAGGACGTTTTTGTGGCCTCTTTTCTTTTTGAGGAAGATCAACTTGATGCCTATAAGAAAAACAAATTATTACCTAAAATTACTCAATTTCAACATAGGAATATGTATAAACTTTTTGTTACCTAAAAATTACTCAATTTGAATGTAGGAACAGGTATACACTTTTTGTTACCTGAAATGCATATTCTTTAGTCTAAACTACCCATTAACATTAACGAAGAAACAATATATTCCTTGGAATAAGTGAAAATAAGCTAGCTCCACTATCCTTTTTAACTAAAACAATATAAAACCTTACAACCTCCTTTCAACAAAAATCTTTGGCTTCAAAGTGACCAAAACGTGCTCCAGCTTCTTCAACAAAATACCAGCCTTCTGATTGTGTGTCGCTACAATACCATAAAACAACATAGAAAGAAGATATAGAGACATCTTGTTGCTAACTTCATTGGCAACATCTCGAACATTTCCTGATGGGACGTAGTTACACAGCTCTTGACTAAAATCATATTATTAGCTATAAGTGTTACTCAAAATTGCTAATAAATACGGACATTAACCACGCCATCCAACAAGATCAATGAAAGAATGTTATCCATAATGTTGTTACCTAAAATAAATTTAAAACTTGCCAATATTGTTCAACGTCCATGGTGGCGACTTCTCGGTCCGTAACCTTCGCATTGTGTGCAATTTTCCTAAATCAATATCATATACAACATTAAAAACATACCAAATTAAATAAAACTGTGAGTTTTTCTTCTTCAAGATGTTAAGTGAGTAAAACATTGTGAATCATGTAAAGTTATATGTAGCAGATTAAAATATACAATAAAATTGTGAAATTGTGCACAGAAAGGGCGCTAAATTCGTACATTGAGAACCGGCAACCCTGTATTCGTGGCGGGACCAAATTAATTGCGTTATGTTTTGGCTTCGTATACAATATTTTCGCAGTCTGCAGTTAAAAAGAGCGCGAAATGAACCGTTTTGCGCCCTATTTTTAAACCTTATTTTATATTATTTTTGTTCTTTGGCTAAATAGAGATTTTAGATATAAAAAAACACAACTTTTTTACTTTTATTAGTTTATACAGTTAGTTTACAATATATTTGGTATAATAAACGATCAAAAAGGTGTTCTTCAGTAATAGTTTTTCCGGTTTAGGCAATGACAGCTAGACCACCACGCGAAGATCCGTTTGGCCAGCGATTCCTACGTGATGAAGAGACTGTCTTTGACTACAATGCTTGGGATGGAGTTGATTTTCCGGAAGAGAAGTTGGCCGAAGTTGAAAAGACATTAGAAACACAAAAGGAAGCTGCTGTAGATCAAGAACTAGCTGACGAATTAAGGAAGGATGCTCACGGAAAATGGGATTCTTTTTATGAAACACACAGCGACAAGTTCTTCAAAGATAGGAAATGGTTAACTCGAGAGTTTCCGGAGGTTTTTCAATCAACGGTAAGGTTTTTAATTGTTTTTACTTGAGTTTAGGTAAAATGGGGAAATTTCCTATAAATCTGCCAAGAGAAATCGTTAATTATCATTAACATTTACTTTTTTCAGGGTAATATACGTTGTCTGGACGTTGGCTGTGGAGTAGGAAACACGACATTTCCTTTGTTGGCCGCAAACCCCAATCTGTTTATGTTTTCTTGTGATTTCTCAGCCAATGCCATTCAAATTCTACGAAATTCAGAAGAGTTTAGCGCTGATAGGTGTTCACCATTTGTTTGGGATATAACTGACCCTTCAACAAAAATACCGGTCGATGAAGGCAGCCTAGATTACATCTTCTGCGTCTATGTGTTATCAGCGTTACCTCCAGAGAAAGTGGAGAATGGTATAAACAATCTAGTCCGTTTATTGAAGCCAGGAGGAATGCTATGTGTAAAAGACTATGGACGACATGATTTGACTCAATTAAGGTTTAAAAAGCAGCGATACATTGATGACAACTTCTATTGTCGTGGAGATGGTACTTTGGTTTACTTTTTTACTCAAGATGAACTACATGAGTTGTTCGAGAAGGCTGGACTGGATAAAGTAGAAAATTGGGTGGATAAACGGCTGGTCGTGAACAGAGCTAAGAAAGTGACAATGTACAGAAGATGGATGCAATGTAAATATAAAAAGCCTGATTGTTAAGTTTGTTTTTGGATAAAAGTTGTTGAACATGATACTGAGGATAATATGTTTTTATGGGGGTTGAAAAAATGTTTTTAATTTTTGTGATACAAAGAATGGCTTTTGTATAAAATTTTACTCGCATACTGACAATGTGAGGTATTTATTAGGTTATCTACCTAATTTGGTAAAATACTCCTCAAGAGGATTCCATACTAAATTAAACAAAACTATATCAATACGGCTGCCATTGTTTGCTAGATGACTGTTGTTGACCCTTGTTAATTTGCATACGCCTTGACCGGAACCGAATGGCCCCCGACCTTAAACTGTAAGTCAACAAAGACAAAGTGTTTTCGAGACCAGGGCGAAGTGAGAAAAGATCAGGTTAAAGTTTTAATTTTGAGTTAAGGTCGGGGCGGTATCATTTGCACAGTTTGAATGTTCTGGCTGGTTGGATTTGTATTACAGGTAAATTTTATTTATTCGTGTTTGGGGGTCGGGTATCCATTAAGTTGATATAAAGTTACTATCGCTTTGATACGGGCGATATAAAATTACAATTAATGGGATAGAGTTACTATTGCTTTGATACGCTTGATATAAGTTTACCTAGTTGATATCTAAGTAATTAAGGGATACAGGGCTTATGTGCTTTGCTACAAAATTATTTTTGATTTTAAATACATAAAATCAGTATGAGCTTCTTATTACTGACATAAAGTTGTCGTGGTGATAGTTATATTTAGCTTGGTATGAACCAATTTGATATGTTGATTTTTTAAATCAGTATACTTACTTGATCTTTATTTCAGATATCATTTGTAATATCAAGGTCAGGAGAATGTGATCCTGAACATAGTAAACACTGGTATCCAGTCCAGAATGACACTTCTAAGTTCTTCTTTTGTCATCCTACTAAACGGTGTGTTCAAAATGTGTTTTATAGAAACAATTTGTTTTAGTAATACTATAAATTAATAACTTCAAAGAATTTTTTGAAAAAAAGCGAATATTAATGCTAAACTATAAAAATTGTTTGTTTATATAAGTTGAAAATATATTTTAGGGTATTCCAACTAGATGAATGCCAAACCGAGAACAATATTCCTAAATCCTTTGATTTCGCCTTACAAAAGTGCGTTTTACCAAACATCACAGCTGACGAACAACATCTTCCATCGACTTTTGAACTCTCAACGTCCCAAAAAGATGAAAAACTGCAAAATCATGCCCCAAAACAACAATTTGGAACAGTGCCAAGTCTGGACACGATTGGTCAAAAGATTCTTGGCCGATTGCCAGAGTATCCAAGAGCTTTCAACGAACTTGATGTACTTGAATGTCCTCGAGAAAGAACGGCTTTAAAGGTGAATGGAAACAATGTGGAATGTAGTGCAGCGCCAGGGCAAGATGATCCTAGTCTACTACACTGTGGACCGGATGGACATTACAGATGTTCCTTCTTCTCGAAGATTGGAGATAGAGGAATATGTTGTAGTAGGCTGGATGCTGGTCAGATCAAGTGTCCTCCGAAGATGACTGCTGTAGTTGGGAAAGATGGATCGGTAAGGCATTTGGGAGGTTTATTTTTTAGAAATTTATAAAAATTTTTAAAAGTACACGGCAAAATGGCATTTTTAGGAAATTTTAGGGATTTTTCTTTAATTTTAAATGCTTTTTAAAATTTTTAATGATTGTATTGGTTTTAAGCTCTAATATCTTCAGGTTCGCGCCTGCAACCCTCGTAGAGTAGGTTCCTGCCGTGGAGAAGGATCAGTTTGTGTGTTTGATGAAGAACAAGGCGACTTCCATTGTTGTCAAGTTGATGCAGCTGAGTATGAGGATATCGAGGATGATTTAGAAGCGAGTACGATGAATTACTTGGCTATTGGAATGAAACAACAAAGACCTCCCAAGTATATAAACCGGCCTAGAAAGTATTCAAAGGATATTGAGGATATCAATGGGTGTAGGAACGGGGAAATACCATTTTTGGACCATAATAAAGTTACTTTGGAGTGTAGTGATGATAAAGGTAGGGTAAATAGCTATTTTTTGTGGGGTTTTTAGGTTAAATAAAATTATAAGTTTTTAATACCCAAAGCCATTTCAGTCACTTGCCCACCCGGCTTTCAGTGCTACCGTTCCCGTCGCTACCAACGTTACATTTGTTGCGGCGTCAACAAAGGTTATTGTCCGTCGAACTCGGCCGTTTTAATCGGCCCAAAGCAACGGAAAGTCAGCTGTGGACCGTTGTCAGGATGCCCTGAGGGCTTTTACTGTCACAAAAGCAGTCATTCTTGTTGTAGTTTAGAACCTACAGCTGGGATTTGTGAGCAGGGTCTACCTTTTATAAATACAGATGGAAAAGCACGGTATTGCGAAGAAACATGCCCTAAGGGGTATAAGTGTACAAAGAGGTTCAAAAAGAGTGTTTGTTGTCCTGAAGCACGTAAGTTAAGTTTTGTTGTAAAAGAAGCATATATTTTGATTTTTCCTTATTGGTTTTTACTGTTTGAACAATATTTTAGGTAATAATTAAGATCTTTTAATCGATTTGAAAACTTGGAGAGGCAAATAGCAATACAACTTTAAAATTATGGTTTTAGAGCACGTCTGTACTCAGCCTTTGAACATTGGTCTTCATTGTATGATGGCCAAATCTCACAAACAATTCTACTATCATTCAGAATCCGGAGAATGTAGACCATTCATCTACACTGGCTGTTCTGGAAATGACAATCGATTCGAATCCATTAAACTTTGTGAAGACCATTGTCATCTTTCAAGTATGTTAAGCTAAATTAACATGGTTTAACTTTGGTATTTAGGTATATGTCCTGTAGGACCAGCTTTGCGATTGGCCAATGGAAATATGGCAACGTGCTCGGAACATGTACCATGCCCGCTGCCGGAATATACATGTCATTCTACTGGTCGCGGACAGTTTTGTTGTCCTAGTATAGGTAAGAAGCTTTGAATTTGAAGTTATGAAAGAGAAAAAGCGGATTCTTTGCATAATTTAAACGGAGTTCGAAGTAGATAAATAGGTAAATTAACATTGTTAAATTAATGTAAATTTTTTAGAAAACTTTGAAATCTGCCCATCAGAAGCTAAACCGTACGTAGTAAGTGGCCGACCAGTCGAATGCCACAAAGCAACGGAATGTCCTTCAAATTATGATTGTCATCGTCCAAACTACCACGCTATGGGTCACTGCTGTGAAAAACCTGCTCCAATGCCATCACCTAAACCTATCACAATATTGAAGCCTACAGTAAGGAACTTACCCAAATATAAGCCCAGACCTATGATTGCCAAACCAACAGAGCCTATGATACTTGTCGCCAAATGCGCTGATGGAAAAACACCATTAAGAGCACCAGACGGAGAGATCCAGGTGTGTATCATGAATAAAGAAATGGAATGTCCTAATGGGTTCAAATGTGAATTGGACGAGTATCTTGGTCGATTCCAATGTTGCCCTTCCAATTCGAATACTGCAGCAGAACAAACATGCCCATCAGGATTCGGTATTCATTACAATTTGGCTACAGGACAAGTCATACCATGTGATCCTGACGTCATACTCAACTCTTGTCATCGATTTGGAATGTGTAGGTATAGTGAACAATATGAGAGACACATTTGTTGCACTCCAAACTCATTGGAAGGCATGTTGAGGATTGAACAGAACAACTCCTCACCTCAGCTCTGGAGTGGAATTCATCCAGGAGGTGCTGGATGTCTGACGGATACTCAATGTGATGTTATTTATCCAAAGGCTAAATGTGAAAAGGGAGTTTGCAAGTGTCCGGGACGGCTGAAGGCTCATCAAGGCAAATGTGGTAAGGATAATATAGTTTTAGTTGATTTTTCGGGAAAAAACATTGTTGTTATAACTGAGAATTATAAAAAAACTGGCCAAATTTATAAAAAATTGAATACAGGGCTAAAAAATTATTTTAAATATATTCAGTGTTATAGGATTAACACTATAGTAGTTGTTAGCATAGTGAGTTAAAAATGGATTTTAGATGCCGAATGTCCTGTAGGATACTCAGAAGTGGATGGTATGTGTACAATAAGCTCCTCAAAGTTGACGTAATCTATGCATATTAATATAATGTTAATTTTTTGTTGTTTGTTACTATAATAAAGTATTCTTCATATTGTTGTAGCTTTTACTGGTATATGTGGTTGTGTTTCTCAGTTTTATCTTTTGATTATGTGTGTGATTTTTGTGTTGTACCTTGTTTTTATGGCCAATAGTTTTTAATAGGTTCTTTTAGAAGGTATTTACTCTTTTAATATAACATTTGTTATAACTTTTTCTACTAACTTTTACACAGAATATTAAAAATTTTGTGTTTTTGCTTATGAGCGTATATGTAAAAACTGTTTAGGTAACATCGAAAGATGTCTAAACGATCTCTAGAGGATGAAGACCGAGTTGTTGAACGAAAACGGTCGATTTTGTCCCGTCAACGATTAAATCCTGATCCGATGAGTCGATTTGTACATTACTTTTACTTACAATCCTTTTCCAAATACAAAACGTTGTTAAAAATGATGGTAAGTTACTGTATTTTTAAATTCTGACTTGCTTGTTTTAATTTAGTTCTGTATGTAAGAGAATCAGTAGCAAAAATAAGTTAGATTCCTGATATGACATGAATAACAAAAATGTGACTTACACATTAACCTTTTTCAGAACGTGTCAAAGAGAACAGCAGGTCCGATTAACAAACTTCTGAATAACTGTAACCTAAATATTTGCGGAAACATGGTTCGTTTCTACGACGCCAAACGTATCAATTTGTTGTTCACATTGTGTCTTACTGACGCCGTACATCTTTTGGCACACTCATACTTTGCAATCCGTGATGTTGTCATGCTGAGAAGTGCTGAGCCACATTATTTGGAGTCAAGATGTCAAAGAATCTCACCTGATGGAGAGCGAGGTAAATTCTGATTAAACAAAGCCGTAAACCTTGATATTTTAAAAGCTTTTTTGATGTTTTTTGTTTTGTAAATAAGTAATGTGGGTTTGTATGGTCTTTTTATGATTGTATTGATCACTTTTAGTTAACCTAATATCAAGAGTGCTGGAACTCATTGGCTGTGTTAATATATTCTACACAGAATCGCCAAACATTATGAATGGCCTACGTAACGCTTTAAAGATTGACAATCTGATTATACAAAACAAAATGTAAGGATTTTTATTAAAAATGTTTTTTGACCATACGATTTATACTATTATAAGCAGCAAAAAATCTTTGACTAGTGCCATCCGGCAATTGATTACAAAAATATTCCTGTAGTGATTAAAAGTATTTTATTGCCAAAATATTCGTAAAAAGCCAAAATAAACTAAAATTTTAGGTCGTTTGCAAAGCAGTTACTTTACGCTACCGAATCCACTAACAATGAATTCCTAGAAGTTGGTGGATTGTCGCTATTAGTCAAAGAACCTCAAACATATTCAGTATTGGACTGCCTACCAAAGTAAGAACTAAAAACGGTTTTCGAACGAAGTAGCAAAGCCGAGATATTAACAACGTGCCATCTTACTTAATATCTTACCTATTTTACCAAAAATTTCAAAAGTTATTGTTAAAAGAATATTTTTTAGTGGTCAGCTCATTAAACGAAGCTTAAAACGACTAAAAATCAACTTGAGCATCGTGTCGCACAATGCTCTGCCAATGGGTTCGATATCTCGACTCGTCGATAACTACACAAGCCTTCAAACCTTTTCATTACTTATTAAAATACCTGTAAGTGCAATATATTAGAAAAATATGCTTAGAATGACGTTCTTTGTACTGCTGTCATAGTGCAGTATTATATAACTCAACTCATTTTACAGGCGGATACAGATGATGACCAGACCCATTATATTCGGCCGCTGTTCAACGAACTCAATTACTTTGTCTACAATGGTATCCATGTCAATGTGGTCGTAAATGTCACCGTTTCCAAAAATACTGCAAATCAAAATGACTTACTGGACAGTATTATGGTCAACATTAAACCCCATTTTATTGTCGGAGTAGAATATACCACTCACAAGTGTATCGATGACTCCATCTACTACAATGTCAACACCAAACTGATAAAAGCTCACATATGTGTTAGTTGTACCAGCTGTCCTCTGTTGGCTCACGAGGAATGGATTTGAAGTGTCATTTATAGAAAATGTATTTTAAATTGGGTTGAAATCTGAATGGTAGTCTTCTGTAACGTCTTGTAGGCATGTTTCAAGAGGTTTGAGCTGTAAAATACTACTTTTATTATGGCAGCGGCATATATTATTCCACTTATTAGGCAGTTCTACTCATTGTTTCGTTTTTTGATTAGTTCTAATACTAAAAGAACGAAACGATTACATTTTAACCTCTCAAAGAAGATAAAGGTCTGTGAAACAACTAACTGTTTTGATATTGTATCTAATTTTGTTTTAAAACCAACATTCTTTCACTGTAATGTCAATGTAAAATTATTTGTATAAATTTAACTAGTAGTACTTATGTTGTTCTTTATAGCGTGTATGTATAAAGTAATGTAAAGAGCTTGCCCTTGCTATTATTATGAAACGCATGTCTTTTCTTCAAAAATTTTTAAAAGCCGACAAATGTTCTCATAATTAAATTTATTTTCAAGTTCCATGAGATCGTATGTTATGCAGTAGCGGTTAAGTCGGATATTTCTGGATTAGCAGATCGACTGACAGGTAAGTAGAGCTTGAATTCTGGAGGTAATTCTTCTTCAGTGTAGATGCGGTCGGCGAAGTAGATACGACGAATTCGACAGTTGGCATGAATCTATCATGTATTATATTTTAGTGAGAAAAACGAAAATTTGGGCTTTTCAAAGTTTAGCTTTTTATAAGTTAGATATTAAAGGTACAATACTCTTAGGTTATTGTAAAACAACCCTAATACATGCTTTGGCAACATTGAGTTATTTTAGTAATTAGTTGCTGTTTTTAGGTCAAAAAGTATGTAGAAAAGCCATCTTTACGCGAAGTTTAAACTTTTTCGCGTTTTTTTCTATTCTATCAACTTTTTGACCAAGTCATAACATAGCACTCACCTGTATCCTCAATGTTTCCACATAATTCGTACCATAAGCTCGTTTTACGAAATCGACCAGATTAAACTGAACTTGGTTCCAACCATCGTCCAACCTCATTGGCATCGTACAAATGAATGGCTTTATTCGTGTCGTCGTCTGATAGTTTGAAGCTCGAAAACGGCGTTTCATACCTTTGTCGTCTAGCACCTGAAACTATGCATTAAAAGCAACTCTGTGTTAACACTAGCATTGTGTTATTCAATTTATCTAACTTATGATAAGCAGAAATAAAGTTATTATCCAAAGTATAGTTAATAACCCCTTTATCAATCAGTTAGCTTGTTAACATACCTGAATTTCAAAGGTAAAATACTTCTTTAGATTCTTAAGTGTCATTACAAATATCGGTAACTTTATGCCCAATGTCTTCTTTGGGTCTAATGGGCATGATATGTACGTGGTGCTGAAACAAGTATATGCCAAACCATTGCACAGAAATAATAAAATACGAGAACTTGAACTTTTACTCTTCTAAATAACTATTTTACTAACAAAAAACGTTTTATCCGCTTTTTTTGCCACCTATATATATTCGAAGTCCCAAATCAAAAAATAATCTCACAATGAAATGTTACCTAAAACCTGCACTCTGCAAACAAAATAAAAATTTTCAAGTTAAACCAACCTAACATTCGCTCCTATCACTTCGATAACCAGACTTTGTATTTCGTCATCTGTCATTCGTTTTATATGGCCATTTCTAGCTGTCTTATCCCATAATTGTAATGGTTTACTTCCCAGACTGTACAAAACCGACAGTAACCCGCTTTGGAATGTGTTGTGGAACATACTATATAGCTAAAAATAGTTAACATTACATTGTTTTGCCATTAAAAAAGTAGTCTTTAGTACCGCGACGTAAACAAATAATTAAAGAAAATTCAAAATTTAGGTAACAAACTTAGACTACGAGAAAAATGTATGTATCTTGACAAATTTAAGAAGCAAAAGCTTATATGCTACATTATTATACCTGATTAAGTAAAATACAGTCCGTGAGAACTAGGTAAAAGTGGCTGAACTTCAAAAAAGCATGGCACAGAGCAAAGATAAAATCTTAAAACTGCACCGTGCAGATGATTAATTCCAAATTTAACATAATAACCCAACATAAATGTTAAAGTATATTGTATTTAAACCCCGATCAGTATAACACGAAAGCTAACTATAAAATACAGTACCCGAACATCAATTTTTAGCACCATACAACACCATTACAACGTTCTTATGTTCAGAACACCATAAACAACATAAAACAAAATAACGCTAAAATTAGCGTGTTCAAGGTATAAAAAGTGTAATTAACCCTCGCCAAACCCAAAATAAGTACTCTTCGGAGAGATTAAAGAGTATTTCTATTAAAAAGTAGTAAGACGTTGTCCTGACAACACCAAAAACCCTCCGGCATTTCCGCTCCTAAATCAACAACTTGCTCATGCGCATAAAGTCCACAAGCTCATTCATACCTTTATATTAGACATAAGGATACAATAAATATATTTAAAGATTTATTTTTGACACCCAGACAATAATATTGAAATTTGTAGTACTTCAAAGGAGATTTGTCTCGAAAATTTAAAAAATGAAAAAAAGGCTTCAATTTTATTGTAAAATTTTAAAAAATAAGTTATTTTGAACAACATACGACACAGAAGACCCTAATATACAATAACGTAAAACGAATTTCTAAAAAAATCTTTTTTATTTATTTTTGTGACACTTCGTGAAAAAGACGAAGTGTCACACTTTTATCGGAATAATAATTTATTTCATTGTCATTTTGTTTTACAAGAGAAGTAACGAATAGGATGCTTTATAAAGTAGTTATAATTAAATTAATGTTGCAAAGTAAGACCACATGTTAATATTGACAGGAAATCAACGTTTTATAGCATCAAAAGTAAGGTTTTCAAGTTCAAGTAGGTGTTTTTCTCTATTTTGTAAATATTACGATAATAAGATTCATATATGTAGCTTCCAGGTTTTATCAGGACTTTGGCAGTAGGTATCTAATGCAATTTTAATATTGTGGTCACAATTTTAGTTTAAGAATATTGATAATTATTGAGAAAAACAATGTCAATATCTTTGAATTTTAAATCGCTTCCGCCTTTTTTCGTTAACAAGTTGTTGGTTTGGTATTCTTGTGCCTAAAAATGTGTAATAGGCGTTTCATGCGATTTTATTTATAACAGTTTACAATTGAATTCAAAAAGAAGAGTTCCTGCCGTTCCAACGTTCCAAAAATGTTTTCTTCATTTTGACGTGACTCACAAACAAAAAAAGATATTTTAGTGAAAATTGGTGGTATTTAGTGGTATTTAAGGAATCACACATGAAATGAATCATTACTATTACTTTTTTGTTGTCCACCTCACATAAATATTTATTCTTTTGTTTTTTCGAATCGATTGACCGCGATTTCGTTTTCTTTATAAATATTTTTACTTGTTTACTTGTGAAGGCTTACTAGACGTTCGACATTATTTGAATGTTATTATTGTGTTGAATGGTTTGAACGTGTTAAAAAATTTTGTTGAATAGTTCAAGGTGTTAAACAGGGCAAAGATTTGGGTTGAAAAGGAAACTTTATTTTTATGAATTCAGCAGGTTGTTTTGCAGTTTTATGTGTAGAATATGGCATGAAAAAGAAGGGTTACATAGTAAATTATGACAAGAATGTTTTGAAATTATGAAACACATGGTTTAGATTTTCAGTTTACGAAGTGTGAGTTTAGCAAGAGGGATGTGCTGAGACTAAAGACAGGTACAAGTTCGGCTCTGGGGCTGGAGTTTAGCCTTGTGGGTTTTAATTTTGGCTTTTGGTTTGATCTATGAATAGGCATTGTGAAACGTTCATTTTTTGATGTTTTGAAATATTTTGACATTTTCTAGATACATAAATCACCACTTTTATTTTATCATATTACACATTATTCAATATTTTTTGAATATTTTGAAATTTTATAAATTTAAAATATTTTGCTGCAAAGTCCTTAAATTTTACTATTTTTCAATCTTATTCGTTGCACTGGTTGTCTACTTTACCTAAAAGCATTTTCTTAATCATGCCCGCTACTGACCCAATGTCTAAACGTCACAATTCCAGACGCAAAATGAGCTCGGAGCTAGTCCAACAATCACAATTGGAGTTTGCGTCGAGGATTTTGAAGGAAGTGGCGACAACAAACCCAGAGAATGTTGTGGTATCTCCAATATCAATTTTGACAGTATTGTCTATGGTGTACAGTGGAGCTGGCAATGAGACGAAGGAGGAGTTCAATGAGGTTTTGGGATTCAGTAAGTACTTTATTTAGTTTTAAAATGTTGTTGGTTAGATATGGCATTTTTGGATAGGATATTGTATTGTAACGTAAGCACAGCATTCCGAACTTTTAGAAAAAATGTCGGTTGTAATTTTTGGGTTAAAAATGAAAACTAGTCTAAACATATAAGAGAAAAAACAAGAAAATAAACAAAAAATAAATAAAAAATCTTATTTTTAATATATAGAAAAAATTTTGGGCTTTTTAAGCATATACAGTTCATATATGTTTAGTAAGTTTGAAATTTTGAATGATTTTTTAATTTTTTGCTTACTTTAGTTTTTAACTATTTAAAGTTGACCTTTGGAATTGGCTTTAGGCATTGTTTTTATGCTCATTTTGTAGCATTTTTTAAAGCTCTACAAAATGAAGGTAATCATAATCGATTTTTAACTAAGTTTTTTTTGTTATACTCCATAAGCTTGTTTTTACAGTACAAATTGAAATATAACACGACATAACTTAAAAGTACAAAAAATTAATCAAAAATTGCTCTGTCAGAACTGTTTGTAATCGTATCAAGAATGTTTTTGCTAAATTTGACATTTTTTGGACTCGAAACACAAAAGTTATTAATCGTCAAAAATTAGTAGTACTATTACATTGACTGTTTGTTAAAATTTTACTAATTCTTTTACAAACAGGTTAGGAGTAGGGTCAGGTAGAGCTAAAAAGGCCAGGGGTAAGGCTAAAAAGGTCAGGGGTAAGGTCAGTTAAGGCTACAAAATAATTTTCATTTTATTTTATATTTAAATCTCAACATTTTGTAAAGAATTAGTAAAATTTTAACAAACAGTCAATGTAATAGTACTACTAATTTTTGACGATTAATAACTTTTGTGTTTCGAGTCCAAAAAATGTCAAATTTAGCAGAAACATTCTTGATACGATTACAAACAGTTCTGACAGAGCAATTTTTGATTAATTTTTTGTACTTTTAAGTTATGTCGTGTTATATTTCAATTTGTACTGTAAAAAAAAGATTGTGGAGTATAACAAAAAAACCTTAGTTAAAAATCGATTATGATTACCTTCATTTTGTAGAGCTTTAAAAATGCTACAAAATGAGCATAAAAACAATGCCTAAAGCCAATTCCAAAGGTGAACTTTAAGTAGTTAAAAACTAAAGTAAGCAAAAAATTAAAAAATCATTCAAAATTTCAAACTTACTAAACATATATGAACTGTATATGCTTAAAAAAGCCTAAATTTTTTTCTATATATTAAAAAATAAGATTTTTTATTTATTTTTTGTTTATTTTCTTGTTTTTTTCTTATATGTTTAGACTAGTTTTCATTTTCAACCCAAAATTTACAACCGACATTTTTTCTAAAAGTTCGGAATGCTGTGCGTAAGGTAAATTATTGACTCTTTCAAACTTTAGATGGAGAAGACGAAGAATGGAACAAGTACTTCTCCAGCCTCTTAACCGCCTTTAATGTCAAAGAAAAGCCTTATACTCTTAACAGTGCTAACAAATTGTTTATCAAGAATGGATACGATCTAAAAGAAGGGTTTAAAAAGACAATGGAAGAATACTTTGGAAGTGAATATGAAGAACTGGACTTTAACAATACTGTGGAGAGTGTTGGGACTATTAACAAGTATGTTGAGGACAATACGAATGGAAAGATAAAAGATTTGCTGGAAGCGAGCTCTATCAGTGATTTAACAAAGTAAGTGAAAGAGTTGAGGTTTGTGGGTATTGTGATAAGGATTTGAAGATTTTAAGGAATACAGTAGTCAAGGATGACAAGTTTTTTTTTGGTTTTTGATGGCTATTTGCATTGTTTGAGGTATCGGTCTAAAAGTCATTAATTGTAATAGTATGGTTCAAACAATGTAACGTTCATAATACTTTTAGGTTGGTTGTAGTCAATGCTTTGTACTTTAAAAGTGCATGGGTCAAGAAGTTTAACAAAGACTTGACAAAAGACAAAAACTTCTTTGTAAAGGAAGATACTGCAAAAACTGTAAGTTATGATTTAAATCTTTCATCTTTCAAATCACACAATAAAGGCGTTTTTTAAATTATTTTTTATGTTCAAAGTTCAAAAATTTAAAAAAAATTAAAGCCTTAAATTTAGTTGTTACTTTTAAAATTTTAATGCAAAGACAGGTTTTCAAAGACATTAAAGACAACTTTAATAACTTCTTTAGGTAAAAATGATGCACCAAAGAGATCGCTTTATCTACTATGACAACGACGAGTACCAACTCTTGGGCCTACCCTACGCTGGCAATGGAGTATTCCTCTATATTGTACTGCCTCAGGAAAAGTTTGGTCTCGACGATCTTCTGAAGTCATTGGACGGTAAAAAGTTGAGTCAAATAGTTGGTAAACGTCACAAGGTTGAAGTTAAAGTTGACCTGCCCAGATTCAAGATCAACACAAAAAGTAAATTGAACGAAGCCATGAAGAATATTGGCTTGGAGAAGGGATTCGGCCAAGATCCAGAGTTTACAGAAATCGCTGAGGAAAGGTTGAAAATCGATCAGTTGCTTCATCAAGTGTTTATTGAGGTAAGGTATTGGTGAGATTAAGATGGGGATATAAGATACTGGTAGTTTGTGGTACTTATATTGTTATAGCATGCTGGTTTTTTATAGTAAAATGTAGTTGTTTGGTCAGAAGGAAAGATGTAATTTAAGGGAATTTTAAGTATGTTTTTTCACGTTCGTCGTATTCATACGACCCACGAGATGTTTTTTAATACAAAATTAAACTTTTTTGAATTCATTATCAAAGAGAAGTGTTTTCTGATTAAACTTACTTCATGTTTATTGATAATGCAAAGAACGATCATGAATAATGTTATTATAGCCTAAAAATGTGCTTATTAACATAAAACAACGAAATTTAGTCAATTTGTATGGTAATCATTTACATTTTTATGTTTTACGAGAATTTGTTCAAAGGTTAAGTGTACGGCCTATTTATGATTATGTCCACGACCTTATTTATGCTGTATTTAAGATGATATGACTAAAATTGATGTATTCAACATGATAGGATTATAATTATAATAACCTTAATTAAAATTCAAATTTTCAGACGAATGAAGAAGGGTCAGAAGCCGCGGCAGCTACTGGAGCCGTGGTGAATTTGTTGTCAGCGATGCCAATGGAAGACCCACCAACTTTCATCGCTGATCACCCATTCCTCTTCTTGGTAGCCACCAAATACAATGATATACTCTTTTCCGGTGTTATCCGAGATTTCTAATTGTACAAAGCTTTTCACTTACTGTAGTTTACAATTTGCCAAATAAACCAATTTTTATATCTTTGTTTGTTTTTTGTTTTAAAACTTGTTAAAATGCCGATTTGTTACTTGAAGATGTTGATCTTGAAATGGTTTAAGAACTTTAAAACGATTTTATGTTAATATTTTAATTCTGTAGGACTATTTTTAATATTATACGACCGTTTTACAACCCTTTAGGACCATTTCTCCAAACTTTATGACAAACCTAATTCTACCCCACTGCCAACTCCACCCGGCTTTCTCTCTCGATCGGCCAAACAACAGGTGATGTGGGTCTCGAGAGTGATCGGAAACACCCCACTCTCGACCCTTTCGCTTTATCGAATAATTCCTCGAAACTGTGCTTAAAATGAAGTCAACAAAGTTGTTGTTGTTTCGATTGCCTTCGGGTGTTTCGGTTCGCAACGCTTCCGCGATAAGGTCGCTGAAGTTGCCAATTACTCGGGTATGTTTTGTTTATATTATTGTAAATGTAATCAATTCTAATGGCAGGTTCAAGAGAATTAAAGGCAAATGCTTCTTCTCTTGATCACTCAGGTGGACTAAACTTTAATTGTTTTTGGCAGAAAACACTAGTTTAATGTTGGCTGTACTACTTTTTTTGATGATTTTTTAATCCGATTTAACAGTTTTTGTTGTTTTTTTGCTAAATAAAAGTTTAAAAAGGTTCAACTCATGACGAGAAACTTGAGTAGAGAAACAAAATGTTATCGGAACGTTTGTTTTGTTTCACTTTGTCACGTTGAAACAACGTGAATTTTTATTTTTGCAGTTAGAAGCAAGGAAAAAGGCAAAAACAAAGCAAAGCGCGAGGATTTGTAAACAAAATGATGAAGTCTTGAACTAAATAAGCATATAGCTTACATTGGTACAGTAGTAGAATAGGACTGTACAATAAAAATATCCAAGAACAGCATAAACGTTTTATCTTACAGACTCCACACGCAAAATATGGAGGCAGATTTACAGTCACCGCTCTGCCAGGAGATGGTATTGGTCCAGAAATGTTGGATCATGTTAGGAAGATCTTCAAGTTTGCTCATGTAATTACACTTAAGATTAATTCAAGGCAATATATGACAAACCATAGTTATATATAAACGTTAAAATGCGAAGAATAGGTGTTATCTGTTTTATCTTTCATTAGTCTGTTCTAAAATACGGTGCAGCACTTTAAGTTATGTCGTGTTATATTTCGATTACGTTTTAAATTTTTATATACCTGACAAACGTGTATAACGTTGTGAAGCTAAAAGAACAGTTAAAAGTTTTGTAAATTTTATAATTTTTTGTTGGATACAGTTATTGTTACAGACTTTATTTGATAGCTCTACTGTTTTAGATCCCAGTAAACTTCGAGGAACTTGACCTGAGCTCACGCGACTTGAGCAACGATGCTCTCGAAGAAGCCATAATATCAGTTCAGAGGAATGGTATTGCTGTTAAAGTAAGATATTTAAACTATTAACTAAAACCAGAAGAATCTTGCATATTTTACAAAATTCTTTAAAGTCATACCTATTTCTAAGAAGGTGTTGTAATTGTGTGCTTTAAAACTTTTTTCTCTTAAAATTTCTACTTTTAGGGTAATATTGAAACCAAATTTGACAATCCAGAGTTTGTGTCACGTAATGTTGAACTTCGTCGTCGTCTTGACCTCTACGCCAATGTTTTACATTGTGTCACGATCCCAAGTGTCCCAACAAGACATACTGGCATTGATATTGTGCTGATTAGGGAGAACACTGAAGGCGAATACTCTGGACTGGAACACGAGAGCTGCAAGGGCGTTATTGAGAGCTTGAAGGTAAAATATGAAGAGTCTGTTCATGTTGTAAAAATGTAATGTGCTTTAGATAATTTATACATTTAAAAAAACCTTGTCTAATAATAATTTAGGTAATAAAAATAGTTTATACAACAATATTTACTTTAAATTAACTTTTTAAATTAACAAGCATCACATTTTAGATAGTAACCCGCAAGAACATTGAGAGAATCGGAAAGTTTGCTTTTGAATATGCCTTACTCAACAATCGTCGCAAGATCACTGCCGTTCACAAGGCTAATATCCAGAAGTTGGGCGATGGACTGTTTCTGAAGGTTTGCAAAGAATTGGCAGCTGAACCACGTTACAAAGACATTGAGTTTGATGCTATGATTGTCGACAATGCGTCTATGCAGCTGGTCAGTAAACCACAACAGTTCAGTGGTGGCATCATGTTGATGCCCAACTTGTACGGCAACATCATCTCGAATATCGCGTGTGGACTGGTCGGAGGACCGGGATTGGTGTCTGGACTGAATATTGGCGATAATTATGCTGTTTTTGAGACGGTAAGATTATTTATGTTTCAGGGTTTAGAATCGTATATAAAATGATATTCACAAGGGAATAAATGGATATGACATTCTTTTTTGTAGGGAACCCGTAACACCGGAACCTCATTGGTAGGCAAAGATATTGCCAACCCCACAGCGTTCCTCCGTGCCGCTGTTGATCTTCTCCGTTACCTTGAACTCGACAGTTATGCTGATCGACTGTCTGATGCTGTGTATCATGCTCTTACCGTACAGAACGTGCACACTCCTGACATTGGAGGTAACAATAAGTCTTCTGAAGTCATAAACGCTGTTCTTCAGTATCTCAAGGATCACTAGGCTAATGTATATTGATGCTAGCGTATTTTAAATTATAGTATGACACACAGGTATATATACAAGTTGCTGTAATAAATTTGTATTTCTCACTTAAAAATTTTTGAAGAATTGTTTTGTTTTAAATTTTATTCCTCTGACTAAAACAATCACATTGACTAGTAAAAAATGGCGAAGAACGGTATAGTGAATGCTATTCGTTCTCTTTTCTTGTAAAGGCTTGCATGCCATATTGGCTATATTTCCTATTAGATCTTAATTTATTGTGTTACCATGACATTTGTTTTAGGTCTAATAAGTATTCTTTTGTCATGAAATACGTGATTTTTAGGCTTTGACTTTGAAAAACTTCCTCTCATATTATTTGTGCCCATAATGCCCAAAATGACATTTCTAAACATGCTACAAGTCGGCGACCATAACAATGCCATGATCAAACACCGTGAGCACACGACCCTTCAGGTACTCTTCTATTCAGGCCTCATAATTGTCAAAAATTCGCCGAACGCCCTCAGGCAATAAACAGACTCGCAGACTTCCGTATTCACTTCACGCTGCATATTACTTTAGTCATCATTTTGCTGTTGTTATTCCCGGTTTGCGGAAATTGTTTGCAATATTTTAATTTTCCAATATTGAAATTTCAAAATTTTTTAAAATTTTTAAAAATTTAAAGTGGAAAGTCTGAAGAAAACAGTGTTTATATATTGATGTTGTTTAAAGAAGAGCAGAAATAACAAAACGCTTATTGAATATGAATAAGCCGCTTATTTAGTGCACATTCATGTTCGCAAAAATAAACTGTACACATCGTCATACACGGTTTCAAAATCTTTGTCGAGTAGTACTTTGAGTATCGTGAGAGACTAATGGGACTAGGACTACTTTGGGCATACTTTTATAACACTATGAGTATCATCCAGTCAAGTTGAGTATTGCTTCAGCAATTTTCATGTTAGTACTTTAAAAATAGTTAAAAAGTAGTTTACTATAGATAAACGGCATCTTTACAATTGTTAAAAAATAATTTGAGTACGTGCTATATAGTACTAAAAGTATTTTTGGGAAAAAGAGTGTTCTGATCTGTTTCTTTGACTTATGACAGGTAAAAATGCTTAGAAATATTATTTTTGAATGTTAACATAATTTTTTCAAAAATAAAAAAATTTTTTTAATGCGACCAGGCCAAAAAAATTTCAATGAAATCAGGGCAGGGCAATAAGAAAAACAGAGAAAATTCTATAAAAATTCTTTCTACCAATCGACCTGTTGATTGTTTAAAACAAATTAAAGCGAAAGGGTTCTTCGAGTTTGCCCTAGGCTTTTTTATCAGTACAACCCTAAATAATATAATTTTGTAGTAATAAATGTTTAGGCCAAGATTCCATTTGTAAGCTTGCAAATCTGGCTTTAAAATTAGATCAAAGGGAATTCAGGTATACAGAAAGTTTTAGTGACTTAAACATAACTAAACCTACTTTCAAAATTTAGTTTAAAAAACTCAAAAGTTAATAGGTATCTGAGCTTACTTCTAACACTAACTTTAAAAAGACTTTTCTAAAATTACCAGCCCCAAAAACCTATGCTTCTTTGGGCATAGAGTAACCCAAAAACAGTAAAAAACAATCCGTAAATTTCTTAAAATGAATAATTTATTGCGAGGTTTTTGGAGCTATTTCGAACTGTCATAACTTGACACACTTTGACGACACTATCTTAGACATTAATGGTTTTTGGAACAGGCCTTTCGGTGAATCGTTTACAAAATATTCTACTTAACGCTGTGGTACAACACTTCCGTTTTATAAACATAAAACATAGTAGTACTAACTAGGTTTTTGAGGATTTTTTGGATAAATGTAAAGTGAATGTAGCTTTTTTAGTGAATATATGTAGTTTTTAGTGAATATAGCTCTCTTTGTGAATACAGCTCTTTCAGTATATTAACTAAGTAGCATCTATTCGATGTCATCATTATCACCTTTGGCTTAAATTTATTTTCCAAAAAATACCATTTTATGCTACGTATCTACTTGAATATTACCTAATTGCTGAGCTTTGATCACTCTGTAGAACAGCTGCCATACTTACTTTATAAGCTTAATGTTTTGGAAAACGTTGAATTTGCAAAACAACACAGGCCAAGACAAAAACGACCTTTTAAGCTGCTTAAACTGTTCTTAGTAGCCGTTTTTTGAGGAATCTGCCTCTAATCTGAATACCCGCCAATAATTACCGCGCCTCATATTGTAATGCCATTTTCGAAAATTTTTAATTACGCTTTTGCAAAAACAATATTATAGGCATTGTGGGCTGCGTAACAGGAAAAGTGGGCTTATTTAAACAGGAACAGTCTGCCATTATTGAACTGGGGCATTTTATTACATGAGATAGGCTTGCGAACAGTTTTGGAGTTTTAGCGACAGATGGTGGTTAAGGTACGGTCTGTCATTTAAGTCAATCTGGCAAATTTAAGCTGAGGAACTCTGCCATTTTTAAACAGGAACGTTATACTGTTATGTTATAAATGTAAGCTTAGGAAGCTTTGGTGATAGACATTAGTTAACTGACAGTCTGTAGTTAAGATACGGTCTGTCGTTTTAAATGTTTAGAAGGGCAAACTGGCACGTTTAAGCTTAGGAACAGTATGTCTTACTAAATCTGAAGGGTAGCCTAGCATTTTTAAGTTAAAAAAAATCTAGCATTTTTAAGAGTAGGAACGATCAGGAACATTGCAAAAAGGGACGGCAGGGCATATTTACAGACTAGGAACGGTAGGACACATTTATAAGCAGGAACGGTCGGGCACATTAAAAAGTAGGAACAGTAGAGCATATGTAAACGAGAAAAGGTGGGGCACATTTATAAGCAGCTACCAGACAATGCCCAATCCGGGAAGTAACTTTTCGCAGCTTGTTTTTAAAACTTTTGCTCTACTCGAGTATGACACAACAAGTCACACGGCTCCGTGCTCTCACAACCCCCCTTTTGCAATTTATTTAAGTAATCGTGTACGAACTTTGTCAACGTGTATCAGACGACCACGTTTATTTACAATGGTTTGACGCCACTGTTGTTTGTTATGTTGTGTTAGACTAGGCTTTTTGTAATCTTTTATCAATGTATTAGGTTTTTAATCGTTTTAAAGCTTTAAGTTTTAGCGAGGTTTAAAATTCTTTTGCAATTTCATTTTGAAAATTTTTTAAAATTTATTATTGCTTAAAATAAAGCATTCGTTGAACGAAAATTACAGTAGGTCAGGGTAGGAAAAGGTAAGGTGAGGTAATCAAGGTATATGAGGGTAGGGCAGGGTAGACTGCTTGTTCACAGTGCAATTTTAAAGTTTAATTTTGAACTTTAAAAATTTTTTTCTAAAATTTGTAAGAAGTGTCTGAAGACTTCTTGACCCAAAAAATTAGTTATGACAATAAGTGACTACATCTTTGCACTATAATTTGTTAAAATTGTCCTATGTTAGACCAAACCTTTACAATTTAATTTATAGTGCAATGTAACATGTTTGAGCGATAAAACATTTTGGTTTCAATTAACTTAATTGAACTCGAATTGGAATGTCTCAAAAAAGTGTCATAAGGTTGTTTTATGTTTTTTACGACTTCCAACACGGTCGTATCTTGAAGATTAACGTTTTATGTGTTGGTTTTTGTTTAAGCTGCTTCTGCCGCATGTACCTATTTTACTATTTTTTGAAATTTTTGTCATTTATATAATGGCTTGCAGGCTCGGGTTTGATTTTTACTTACCCCACTGCCTTGCCTTGCCTTGCCTTGCCTTGCCTTGCCTTGCCTTGCCTTGCCTTGCCTTGCCTTGCCTTGCCTTGCCTTGCCTTGCCTTGCCTTGCCTTGCCTTGCCTTGCCTTGCCTTGCCTTGCCTTGCCTTGCCTTGCCTTGCCTTGCCTTGCCTTGCCTTGCCTTGCCTTGCCTTGCCTTGCCTTGCCTTGCTTTGCCTTGCCTTGCCTTGCCTTGCCTTGCCTTGCCTTGCCTTGCCTTGCTTTGCCTCGCCTTGTCTTGTCTTGTCTTGCCTTATCCTCTTTTTATCCTTTAGTCTTCCGTTATACTAAAGATTACTTTGTAGATTACTCGGTATACTTTAAATTACTCTGTAGCTACCAAAACACATATGCCGAGTGCATTCCACAGACATACGTCGAACTACCACGCGTTATATACTTTTGTTTTCTCCACTCTACTTTGTTTATGTTATTCAAATGCTTAAGATGATATTAATTTGGGCATTCTCGAAAAACTTGGAAATTAATTTCTTTCCACTCCTTCAAATTGTCGTATCACATTAGGGCGCGCTTCATTGCTTCAGGCTTTTATCGACACTATAACTTTATATTGTGCGCACGGTATTTAAGGATGGTGCTGGAAAAAGGCATGACGTGTTATTCGGGGTTATTTTTTTATGGTTTTTTGGTAAGAAGGGGGGGGGGAGGTCAAAATTAATTTTAAAAAGTATTTTGATTTTTTTTAAATTTAAAAAGTATTTTTTTTTAAATCTAGGAAAAGTTCCGTTACTAAGGTTTGCTGTCAAAATGAGGTATCAAGCTTATAGGTCTAAACAGAAGCATCTAGCTAAGCCTTCAATCCAAATTTTGGTTTTAAACTGACCCTCTGATAGTTGATATTAAACATTATATAATACTAATGCTAGGCAGATGACTTTAATTTGAGAGAAAAATGTAAAAAAATTCAACAAAAGGATACCTTCGTATTTCAATTTTTGGTGCTCATCCAGAACAGCTCCCCATTCCGTTTCACACCCCCAACCGCCAGTTCGCACCCCCAGTGAAACCCCCAATCTCCAACTCCAGGTCGATCCCACTTGGCCGAACCATATCGGTAATGTCCGAAGTTGGGGATTGAGGGTCGCGCGAGAGAGTGCTGGTCTGCTGACTGGCCAGGGCGGTGAACGGAGGAGCAGAATGAAGAATTTGCAAAATCTGCTGCCTTTTATACCCATTTTCGTTGATTTCGTAAAGGTCAATTTAAAAAATGAATAATTTTTGACTTTTCGGGCCGGGCAGGGCCTGAAAACTAAAAACCCTGTACCAGGCAGGGCCCAAGCGGGCCCGGCCCCAGGGCCGCAAATTGGGCCCTGCCCTGCCCTACATCCAAGCCTGGTGGGGGTGCGATCTACAGTGGGTGGGGGTGCGATCTACAGTGGGTGGGGGTGCGATCTACAGTGGGTGAGGGTGCAATCTACAGTGGGTGCGGTTCAAAATTTCCTGCAAATTGAAATTTATGTGAGAAATCGCAAGAGAAAAAAAGAAATTTTCAATTTGCTTTTTGGAAATAAGTCTTTGGGGGTATGTTCTGGATAAGATCGGTGGGTGCTTGAAATGGTATGGGTAGGGGGGCTATTCTGGATGAGCGCCCAATTTTTTTTGTTGAATGCAGCTCTTTTTATTAGTTGCTAGGGGTAAGAAAAAGGTGATATAGGCCTGGCCCGACACAAAGCAGCCTTACGATTGAGCCAAGTCAGCCTTGAGTTAAAGTTGGAACAAGCCGAGCCTAAAAGCTGGGTTCGTTCTGTAGGCTGAGCTTAGGCTCGGGCTCCAAAAATTAAATTTTTTAAAGTTTTTTAAAGTGTACTGAAAAGGATGATAAAGGGGCAAGATGCTTTCCTTGTAAGCTACAGGTTTAAAACGTCATTTTTAAACCGTTTTTTAACACTCGTTAGATAAAGAAAGCAAATATTTTCAATAAATTGTTAGTATGGTACAGGGGACCCATAAACAACGTTATAAGAATTCAAATGCTTTATGGTACTTTTTACCTTTAGTTTGTTATTCTTTGCGCGGTACCATATATTTTTTTATTATTTTTTTTTAATTTTAAAAAGTTTTTAATTTTATGCATTATTCAACTTATGTTATTCAGATTCAATGACTGCTTTTTTTTATTTTTTTTTGAAAATTTGAAGTCACCGTAACACGCTGTACTCCGTACCCTTCCTCATGCCAGCCCTATAGCCGTCGTCGTCGTATCTTGTGTTTTGCATGTTATCATAATACCATGTTCGCAGCTGGTCGTTTTATAAAGGCTGTGTCGGTTTGGACGAATCATTTCCATGACCTGCTTCAAATCTAATTTGCGCCTTTAACCCTGCCTTTGCTTCAGACACTCTTTCAAAAACCCCTCCGGCATTGTTTTCTTTTTTGTTGATTTTCGAGAATTCAACTACATTTCCGCTTCAATTTCCGCGAAGTCGCGCGCTTATGGCAACAATTTTTCTGGCCAGCGCATGTGATTTTGATTAGATATTGGCAAAAATAAGAAAAAAATTTTTTTTGTGAAAAAGTCCGAGTTTAAAAAAAAGCTGATTTTAGGGGATTGAGGCTTTGAAATTAGTAAATCTTTGTTTAACGGTTGATAAAAAAGTGTGACTTTTGTAAAAATTTTTGATAGTTTTCTTCCCATCCCTCCTTGCTTCTTCTGCCTCACTACCTATGTCAATGTATCCTCCTTTGAGTAAGCCCAGAATCAAACACTTGACTCATTACGTGCTTTTTAAAGATCTCTCCTTCAATGCTGTCTGACTACTTTAATTTGGCATAGTGTTGTTACTCTTGGCTGTAAAACCTCTTTTTCATTTACTCAAAACATTGTTTTGGTTTTGCCACTAAAGTTCGCCAACTTTTGTTGACATCTTGACTATCTTTTGGCTTTTTTAATCCTTTTTTTAATTTTTCAAATTTTTTTTATGAATTTTATTATTAGGTTTTTCAAATATTTCTGAGCCCCCTTTCAAAGCAAATCCTTAAAGTTTTGGGGCAAAGAATTATTTGAACAACTCATTAGTTTTAAATTTACTATTTTTATCTAAAAAATATTTTTGTCATGTTTTGAGCTTGATCTATTATGACATTTAGTGGGCTTGATCTTTCCATGACACTCGTGACATTTGACACTGAGTTTTGACATATTGACATTAGAAGGCGGATATGAAATTTGAGTTATGAACAGGAGGAAGTGGTTTTCTCTAAGAAAATGTGTCTTTCTAAACTTTTTTACTAGGTTGATATAGAAAGAAACTAAACCACTTACTTGAAACTTTTGTACTTGGTACTATACAGTACTATTTCAGTATAAAACGTAAAAAACGCAAGGCAAGCTGGTTTTTTAAATCGTTTTTACAGTTTTTTTGTAGGGATGAGGGAACTGCTGGACCGGGACCTCTTTTTAGGCTTGGCACGTTGTTATTTTTGCTCAACTCCGGTCCGACTGTTTCTCACCTCTAGCGTTTCGGCTACATCAATCAAAAAAGTATCTTATTTACAAAAAAAATTTTTTTATTTTAAAATTTTAAAAAAAACTTTTTGAATTTTACCTTTATCTTTGTTTTCGCATTATTTTAATTAAAAAAGGAGTATGATTACTATAATCAACTACATTAGTCACATATCCGGAGCAAACAAATATTTTCTGAGTTCACAATTAATCTTTGCTATTTACACACAGCTAAATTGCACTCTGTTGATACTTGGAACTTATTATAGTTTATGAAGCGGGGTTATAGTTCACTATGACGGTAGGGTTGTTTACACTGTATTGTTACGCTGATGTCTGCAATGATATATTACTAGCTTTTTGATTCAAAGAGACTATTTAGTTATTAGGTCAGAAAGTTTATAGAATTTTTAATTTTAAAATATTTAAAATTACAGTAGTTTAAAAAATAGTATTTACATGTCTTTCAACCATTTATAAAGTTAATTCTTGTCTTCTGATTAAAAAACAAGGATAAGTATCCGTAAGAGTATTATTGCTTACGTGATGCTACACCGTTTTTTTGGGTTCAATATACGACAAAAACTAGTAAAACATTGTAATCTTTATTCATAAAGTAATTAGCGTGACCTCATTCCACAGACATTCCAAGCGTGCACGTTGCAGTATAGTTACTAGTGAATGTAGAAACAAAGTATGTAATAGTACTAATAGAGTATTTGCTCCAACTAATGGATCGCTTACTCCAGTTGTAGTTAGAGGTTATGGTAATGATTTTTGTAGGGAGGGAACCCAAAATTTTTTAATTTTTTACGTGGTTTGAGAAGAAGGAGGGAGAAGGGGAGTAGATTTGTAAAGAGGTCAGCTATAGTTTAGGCCCGGCTCTGGGGTTCACCTGTCTCGGCTTAGCCCGGTTTCTTCCAAATTTGGTCCGCTTTGGGCCGGGCCAGGTGGACTTTCTTTTACGTTTACTTGGGGGTGGACAAAGATAGAGTAACTATTTATATTATTCTTTTTGGATATTGTAGCAAGTTTTACTAAAATTAGCAATTAAAGCCAAGCCTAAGCGGTTTGGTCTTTTTCCATTTTTTTCAAAAAATTTTTAAAAACTACTTTTTCAGACCGAATAGCATGACACAAACAAGTTATAGTATAAAAATACGTACCATACCATAAGTTAAACCCTTAGTCAACCTGAAGCGCAAAATCACAAAAACGTCATATAAACTTTGCTCCAAGCCCTGCTTCATACCTAAAGCCCGGTGCCAAAGACTACTGTGACGTTTAAACCACATCATAGCGACTGTTTTGTTGGTTGATTATTGCTTCTCGAGACTACTTCCTCGTGTTTGTTTTGGCTGTTTATCCGTTTACATTTATTTGCATAATCAACAGACTCAACATCTTTCCCATTTTGTTAATATGATTAGGGGGATACCTTTGCGGGCGGGTTTTAAGTTTTTGGGGGAGATTATAGGTTTAGTAACTTTATTTTGAAATTTAATGCTTTATTTTAAAGGGGTTTTTGAATAAATGTCTTATATAGGCCTATTTAATGTTTTTACAGTAAAATAAATTTAATTTAAAAAAATTTCTGAAATTTTATAATGTTTCTAATTTTGTAGTTTACCGTTCTTAAAAAGCATTTTAAACACAATTAACCGGGACTTGTTTAGGAGCATGAGTTGTGATCAAGACGAACATCTATTTGATCTCAACGACAACAACACGCTTCTCTTCCTCAGCACGCTACACGACTTTAAAAAGTATGTTATCATAGCCATTAGCTGAATAATGTTTACCGTATTGTTCGTTTTTTATTCTAATTTAAAAATATTTATTTTTTTTTGTAAAATACGTCTTTTAATAAACTTAAATTTTTCTAAAATTTCAAATTTTTAAAACAAAAATTGAATTTTTTACTTTCAGTTACTACAGTTCAATACACAAATATGTGGCCTTGTTGCTCTGCCTAGGAGGGTTGATTATCAACTGTATTCACATCAGTATATTAACATTGCCTCGAATGAGGAACTCTTCTGTTCATACGACTTTAACTTGTATTGCCTTGGCTGATCTTGGCACTATGACTAGTTATTTGGTAAGTTACTTTATCTTTTTTGAATTTTTTAAATTATTTAAAATTATAAAAAATATTTTCTTTACGGTATTTTTGGCTCGTTTTATTTAGGTATTTTTTTATGTAATTATGAATATACTACATTTATTATTAATAGATATTATACTTTAAAGTTTTAATATTTTAGGTATAAAATTAATATTTCCAGATCTACATAACCAGATTCGAGTTCTTCGTATCACTCCAAGGTTACGCCTATGCCTGGGCATTGTTCCTCCAAGTCCATGCTGTGCTCTCGATAGCCTTACATGCCTTATCCATCTACTTGGTCACCTTAATGGCCTTCCTACGGCTTATGGCCATGAGTGCAGGCCAGTCCATGTGGATGAAGCCTCGACTAGCTCTAACAGCGTCTTTCTTTGTCACTGTCAGTGTGTTCACGATCTGTATACCGACCTTCTTGGCTCATGAAGTGATGCCTAACGAATTTGACATGTATAATGTCGGGTTCTCGTCGATGTTCATGAAGAATGGATGTAACTTGTTGAAACTGAACCTATGGTTAACTGGGATCTTTCTGAAGGCCGTGCCGTGCTTCCTTCTGATGTGCTTCACGATGGCGTTGTTGCGACGCCTAAGGGCAAATGACAAGAAACGTCAATTGCTTTTCCACGGCGAATCTCGACGATCGAATTCCGACCGAGTTACTTACATGTTGTTGTTAATGGTCTTTGTGTTTCTGGTTACGGAATTGCCTCAGGGCATGTTTGCCATACTTAATGGTACGAGTTTAAAACGATTTTGACTCTAATATACTTAAGAGTAATTAAAATTCGGGAAATTCAAATTTGAAGGCATTATGCCAATTTTAAAAACATTTTTAAAATTAAATATGAATTTATGCATGACGTATTTTACTTTTAAAAACCAATTTTAAACTCTTACATTTCAGCTATGTTCACTTATCAGTTTCATCGCTACGTCTACGTGGCCGTGGCGGATGTCCTGGACCTACTATCACTTATAAACTGCTACGTTTGTTTCTCAATCTACACTGCAACCTCATCAACCTACCGCCAAACCCTACTCAGTCTTTTACCGTGGCGAAAATAATTTGAATTACTAATAAAAAAGATTGATCTCTTTGAGTTAACTTGTATTTTAAAATTTCCGAAAATCAATTTTATCTCAAAAATGATTTTCAACGAGGAAGATGCCTGACTTGCCCCTATGATTGAGTTCAAACTTTTTATATAGCTTTTATTTAAATAATATAAGACTTTCAGAAATTTTCAGTGAAGGTCGAGAAAATTGAGATTAAAATACTACTTTTTGAATTTTCCTCAAAATTGGCATTGTGTTTCAAGCTTATAAATTTGTTGCACTTAGACTTTAAACTAATTTTCTTTGATATACTGATAGAAAATCTTTAAATGAACCTATATATTTAAATTTTTAAGTTTGTCTTTTCTGAGACATCACAAAAAGTGCTTGAAACACAATGCTAAATTTGCCAAAAAATTGGCGGAAAAACAAATATTTAAATTTTAAAACACAAAAGCGCAGGTTAAATTTTTTATGGGTGCTATTGATAATACAAAGATTTTAAGTAAGAAATTGGAGCCGTTTCTGAGCGGAGCAGGTAGAGTACTTTTATTGTAAAGAGTTGTTTTGAAATTTAAAAATTTTTGGAAAGGCATGGAAATAGAGAAAAAAGTAGTTTTTTAAAAAGGAAATTAGATATTAAGTTGTTCAAATAATTCTGTGCCTTCTTTCAAAGCAAATTTCTGGGTATAGGGCACATAATTATGTGAGCAACCTAATACAAAAATATTTTTTATCAAGATCTTAGTAAGCAGTATAAATAGTATCAAATAGTATGCTCCAAACTACCGTAATTTGTATTCTCGAGCAATAACAGTCCGGATCATATTCTGTCCATTACCAGAGAATACCCAGTACAATAATCGAGCACCAATAAGTATTTTCAGTAATAGTACTGAGTACAACTTTCAATATGTATGTAGTAAATTAATATGCATACTATTTTAAATAGGTATATAGTAAGTTGTAGTATTATATGTAATCGTAGTACTTAAAATGTCATGCCGTAGTTGCTGGAGTATTGTATTGTGGTAGCAAATATAAATCCCAAAAATTTGACACTGTTTGCACTTTTAGGTAGTAATAGTAATATAGAATCACAGTAGGTATCAAAGTAGTGACGCAGTGTTAGCAATATATCTACAAATTTATGCCGAACAGTAAAGTAGTAAAATACAGAGTAGAATTGATTACATAGTAACATGACGATTTAATTTTAGGTCGAACCATAGTAATTATCTTCATGTGACTGTGTCATCTTAGTTTTAGCGTTATATATGTGTAATCATAAATTCAGTATAATATATAAACAGGATACAAACAATACCCTGTACACAAAACTGTTCAATATGTACCTAAATTGTCACATAGTATATAGTCACGTAGTCTAAAACAGTGCAGTTAAGCATATAGTCCTTAAAATCATCCCCTAGCCAACAGTTAAACACTCTTTTACCCTCCCAACAACATCCACATACTATGTATCCCATCTCCCGACACATCCCAACATACATCTGACCATAGGGCGTATAATAAGGTGGATGCGCAACATTGATCGCAAATAGGCCTAATGACAGTCAATGAAGGGCCGACTCTGGTTTAGAGTGCATTTTTAAGGCAATGAACCCGCCCGGAGGGCAAATGGAAGCGAGACGTACTCGAAACGAAGAAGAGAATAGAGCCAACACAAACATAATTAACTGGTGCTGGTAATGTGGGGGGATCCGCACCTTGCAACCCTTGGCTAGATGGTTAAGAATGGCAAATGTTTTACTATAGTAACTTGAAAAAACGTATATGTAAAGTGTTTTATTGTAATATTCTTGACTTAGACTACTATATTATAGTTTATCTTATAGTTAGCAAAAATATTATTTTAAGTTTTTACTAATATTAAATTGTTCAAGTAATTATGTGCCTCCTCTCAAAGCAAATTTTAGAAGTTAAAGAGCACATAATTATTTGAACAACTTTATATAAAACTTCATGCTTTAGTATACGAGGAAAACTACACGGCGTATTTTACCTGCAGTCTCTAATAAGAACAAGTAACGTAGCTCCTACATGTAACTTTAAAAATATATTGTAGTTTGAGTCAAAAATAATGATAATTTAAGTTTCCTGAAACATGTTTTTGCTCCAGCTTATTATAAGTTATGTCTAATAATATGTCTCTGTTAACTTATGGGTTGCTTGCTACCTAAAATTATAACAGCTTCAGTTATCTTTAAATTTGCTTTCAAAAACGTTTTTAAAGTAATAACAAGTTTACCCCAATATTTCTTGGTTTTACTGGAAGCTAAAAACCATCTTCTTAAAAATGTCATGTTTAAATTAAAATAAAATATTAAGAAAGTAAATTAAACAGATTTATGCCTTAAATGTTCAAAATTCAGTTTAAAATTGCATCTAATGAAAAAACTTTACAAGCAGCAAGCACTCGTAACTTCTACATAGGAGAACTGTACCTTTCTCTTCGTATTACAACTCAGAACTCTTCAGACTTTTCTTTCTAAACAATAGCACGTCTTGTCTTGCCTGTTCCTATATACAACACTACATCTTCTTATATTATGCCAATGCTTACCTCTAATAAGATGCGTTTTTTAGCAAAAGTTACTACCCAATCTTTGTATATACATGTACAGTCAAGATTCTATAGTATAAAACCCTAAAAACTAGTTTACGATAGCAGCTATTACAATGAACCGTCAGAACGCTGTCATTATAAAAAAGGTATCATACTATCAAGGGTTGTACTAAAAAAGTTATTGTACTTACTTCTCACACACTTACTACTATAACCTTCCGCCATTACCACCACTACCACGTCCAATTTAAAACATTACCACCACGTCCACCTTCCACCGTTACCACTTCCGAAGTCCACGTCGCAACGAGACACTGTCCTTTAAATATCATCTCAAGTATTCGTAGGGTAAGACACACGCATGATATGGGTGACTTTTCACATGGCAACCTACCCGTCCCTAAGGCGCGCACTTTTAACAGCCATTAATTTAGCGTCTCCGTTTCGATACACCTGCAGGATAGGCTTAATGGCCAAACCAGCTGGCACAAACTATCTACGCCACAAGTTTTACAATCCGACGGAATACAATTAACCGGTCCGGTTATTCTGGCATAAGATATATTAGTTTTCGACGTAAAAGGTTTATATTATATAGTAGTAGTAATATACTACATTATAATTATATAAGCATATTGCAAAGTTATAACTTCCTATTAAAAACGTGACAAATTAAACTAAAACTTAAAAAATCGAATTGAAAAGGCTAAATGCTGTCAAAGCTTGCTTTAATCTACCTTTATATGTTAGGTTGTCCGAAAAGTTCTGAGCCAAGAAGTTTTTTTAGACAAAAATTGCCAAAACGATGAAAAGCAAAATATAAAATACTTTATAGTTGAAATACGAAAGTAAACTACTAATTAAAAAAAGCATTTTAAAATGTGCCTAAAATTGAATTAATACCTTTTTTAAATTGTCGCTTGGCTTAGGACTTTCCAGACAACCCAATAATTGATTTTAAGATAGAACTGTACTGTTAACAGCTAGTCAAAAACTGGCAACTGATTCTTCAAGAAATAAACACAAACTAAAAAATACCTTAACTATAGTAAACCAAAATACATATATGTATCTTGATTTTATTTTAAACTTGCGAAAAAAAATATTTGAAAAACTTAAGTCATTATCAATTTTTTAATTAGGTGAAGTTGCATTTCAAGGTTTGTAAAGTGAACATATGCTTCTGAATTACAGGAAGTGCTAGTTTATTATTTAAAGTATTAATAAGCCAATATTGAGATACAAGCAAGTTGCTTCTTGTATTTTTAAAAATTTTACTGATTTTTTAAAACTGTACATACCAACCTTTTCAAAACAGACTATATAGAACAATAAAAATATAAATTCACAGTTTTTTAAATTTAAAAAAATTTTGAAATTTCTAAAATTCGTGAAACGAAAAAACGTTAAATCCATCTCAAAATGACTAATTCCAACCAAGTTCAAACCTCAATCAACAATTTGGGCGATTTCGTACAAATTTGTGGCCAAACAAAGCCTCAGCCCCTGCCCAATTACAATCTTTTTAATACGCCCGCCCCTCCCTTCGGCCGCCTAATGAGACCCGAATTTAAAGCGAATTAAAGCCGGCTTCAATATGGGGGCATTGTTTCGATCAGACAAATGCGCATTAACCGCATTATGCACCGATTCCTACGGTATTATATGAATGCTCATCGTTCCGACATCCCCCCAACAGCAGCCCTCCCCTACGGCACTTAAGGGCTCGGAATTCGGAAAAAAATGCGAAAATTCCGCGCGGTTTAATTGTCGGCCCAAAAAAGAAGCCGAATTGTTTCGTCAGAGGGCTTCAAGGTACATGACTTAATTGAAAAGCACATCTTCTCATCACTTTTTGACCTCTTTTATATTAAAAACGGAAACTGGCCCCGGAGTACGCGGGTTTTCGTGGCAGGACCAAGTTTGTTTTTAGATTAAAGTATAAAAAGAAAAAAATTTGGTATTAAAAAAATTAAAAAGAATATAGTCTTATAAATTAGAATAACGTAAAAGTGTGGCAGTTGGCAAGGTCCTAAAAACCCAGGCCCGAAGCGTGGTCCCACTGCCACTAGACCTGTAAATTTTACACCCCAAAAGCAAGGACTCAAACTGAAAACAAATAAAACTGTAGTATCACCTCTACACCACCGAAAAGCTTATCATCATGAGATGCAATCAATTTGTTTTGCAACGAAATGCCAAAGAATACTCAGATCAGAGTTCAAATTCGATTTTTTTGTAATTTTCATTTGTTTTTTTTTAAATTTAGTGTATATTCAGATTGAGGAAAGTTAAGATGAAGTTAGTATACCATAATAAAAAATAAAAACTTTATTTTCAAATTTTTAAAATTTTTTTACTAATTCTGTAATGTTTTACTTTTACTTTTATAAGTGACATAATAAACCAGTTTTTACGGTGGTCCTTGACAATATTCTAGAAAGTTTTTAAATGTTAAGCATCTACTTGTATATTGTTTTATGCCTTTCATTGTATCTTCATTTCTTTTTTGTTTTATAATCTTTCGGTGCTTGTGAACCGGTTTTCTATTTTTAGAAAGTTCTCAAAATTACAAGCACTCAAGAATAAATAGGCTACAATATCTGTCAAGTTAATAAAAGCACAGTAAAATAATCTCAAGTGTCGACAAGTCATATTATACCATAGAAAATCGACAAGCTATATTTTATTAACTTTTAAAACAGAGACGCTATAGTAATGTCAAGTAATCTAGCAATTACATTAGACTGTCATTTTGTCATAGGAAGAAACTCATGCGATTAAAATGTGAATAAAATGAAGATGATGAAAAATCAAAATTTGATTCAAAAAAGCCACAAACAAAACCTTTTGAGCAACATTATAGCGTGTTTGTTAATAAGATAAGACAGAAACATTGAGGAACGTTTCTATCTTTAAATATCATAAACTTTTTTCAAATTGACTCAAATTCTAGAATTTTTTAGCATAAAAAAAATTAAGATATAACCCTTGATGTATATACTTTTCATTCGTAGTTCAGACGAAAACCTTGAATTTTTGTCCACGAAAAATCTCTCATAATTTTGCGCGTTCTCTAGTTTTTCTCTAATGCCGACGGCAATCAGACAAAAAGAGGGAACATACAAAATTATGAGAGCTTTTTTCGTGGACAAGAATCCAAGGTTTTCGTCTGAACTATGAATGAAAAGTATATACATCAAGGGTTATATGACTATAATGATGTGCAACAATATATCGTCCAATTAACTAAAAAGTTTGTAAAAGACAATCTTTTAAAAAATAAATTTTGGTTCAAAATACCCTACAGAGATCACAAACTCAACCATTTCACAAAAGAAAAAGCCCTGAGGCGGAGTCAAAGGTAGTCGGAGACAAGCAATGAATCCCGTTAACAAGAAACTAGTAATCTGACCACATTATTAGAGTGGCGAGAGACCCTCGCCTGATTGATAAGTTGTTTTAGTATAAGAGTCGGGCCACTCCATTGCTTCCGGGCATTATTCAACAGCATGTCGGAGTTCCTGCGGCTCAGCTTCAACGAACATTACACGTACGAGAAGGGCATCGCCTACTCCAAGTCGGTGCAATGGCCCGCTTTCTGGATCTCCATGGCCTACGTGGTAGTCATCTTCTCCATCAAGGCCTGGATGACCAACAGGAAGCCGTTTGAAGTGAGATTTAAAATTTTGGTTTAGAGGGCTAAAAGACATAGGGAGAGGAGGCGGAAAGGGACCTAAGCCCAATGATTAGGCTCGGCTAGTTTTAATTTTTTGAAGCCGGTCCGGCGACGGAACTTCCGGTAGCAATAAATTTTTTTAAATTTTCCAAGTTTTTTGGACCCGAACTTTTAGGCCTGTTTCAACTTTAGCTCAAGGCCCGCCCGAGCCAATCGTAAAACCGAGCCAGGCCTCGTCGGGCCTACAAAGCCCTTTTCTCACCCCTAGCTAAAATAACTTGTAGTTTCGTAAAATACAACCACCTTTCGCAAAAATATTTAAAATTTTTGAAGTTCTAATTAACAAACCGACTTCAGCTCCGTCTGCCCCTACAATTGTGGAACTTGTGGCTGGCGTTGTTCAGTATTGGAGGTTCATTAGTCACATCGGCCGCGCTTTTCAACGAAATCTCCAAATACGGCCTAGTTTGTAAGTCATTAATTACTCTCCAAATAAAGTTTGCTTTTCAAATTTAATTACTACTGTTTTGGGGCATAAGCAAGCTTTTTAAAACCTCAAAATTTTGAAATGAATATTTTAAAAAATTACTTAAAAATTGAAATTCAGATCCAAAAAAACTAAGAATTTGTTTTTTATAAAAATTTTTCTTATTTTTATAAAAATGTCTTTTTTTATGACCGCAATAATTTTCTTTACAAAACCTTGAAAATCCACATTTTTTCAAATTCAACCACCTCCAATTTCAGCATCGTACACAAGATGCCAAGACTTTTTCGAAGGTCTATCCGGTCTCTGGACCTTCTGGTTCTGCATGTCCAAGATCGCCGAACTCGGTGACACCATCTTCATCGTGCTCCGCAAACGTCCGCTGATGTTCTTGCACTGGTACCATCACGTCGCCACCCTCAACTATGGTATCATGTCCATCATCGACCGTACCGCCTTCAACACCTGGATCGTATGGCTCAACTTCTCGGTCCACGCCATCATGTACAGTTACTACTTCTTAGCCGCGTGCAAGATCAAGTGCCCGGCCGCCATCGCCCAGTGCATCACCTTCCTTCAGATCACTCAGTTTGTGATCACTCACTTGATCCTCTTCCACGTCGGCTACTTGAAGGCCGCCGGCTATGTTGTTGACACCACTTGGCCCGTGTACTGGTTCTGTTTGTTGATGGAGATCAGTTATTTGGTGCTGTTCGGCAACTTCTTCTACCAAGCCTACATTAAGAATGGCGGCAAGAAGTTCAACAAGGAGAAACAGGTCAAGAAGACCGAATGAACAAGATCTACATTAAACTAGAGCTGAGCTTTTGTTTGTATTAAAACAGGTACATATACGACAATATTGTTATAATTTAAAATTTTAATAATAAATTTATAAAAAATTATTTAAATTCGTTTGATAAAACTCATCAAAAAGTTCAAAAACTGATCATTTTGTTACTTTTAAACGTCAAAATAAACATAAAAACAATAAAATACGTCAAAGAACATACATTTACAACATAAAACCTAACTGCTTAAGGCTAAAAAACTATTTATTCCTCATTTTACATTGTAAAACAACAATATAATCCCAACTATACAATAGTCAACTATCACCAATTATATAAAAATTCAATTACATAGTAAAAAACTGTTATCACATAATAAAACTATGTGTAGTATCTTAAACATAAGCTCAATATAATGAGATATGACTAGACTTCAGCAGCATCGTTGAGTTCCTTCAAGGCCTTCAGGTCGAGCAGAACCTTGCCTTTGTAATCGTTATGCTTAATATCCTCCAGCTTGTTGACGTAATCCTTGGGTAATTCATGTTCCTTCGCTCCTTCTACTATCACTTTTTTATAATGTGGAGATGGTGGTTGTCTTTTACGTTCTGGATTTGAGTATTGATATGTTCTACAGTCTACGGTATCATTGGTCTTGACTAGTTGGACTGGTACTAAAAATAATGTTGTTAGTATCGTATTATCACCTAGAGATTTCTCTCTATTACCTATATTAAGAAAATGATAAGCATTAAAAGTAAAAAATATACATTACTTTGTAACCGATGATACCCAGACTCTTGTAAATCCAATTCCTCAGCAAACGAGTTCGGTACCTTCCATACACAACCATACACTTCAGAGGCGTTATTATTCTCAATCGATGCTATTGCCCCATGCCATCTAGTGCCATAATCAAAAAAACACAACTCGTAGTTCTTTAGATATCCGACTCCAACAAATTGAGCTCCTTTTATCTACAAACAGTATTATTATCAAGTTATCGTTAATTTACTTAATTTAGATAGTAGAATATAAAAAACGCAATATAAAAATATAAACTAACCTAATAGCCAATTTACAGATTTAGAATAATTCAATTTTGCAGTACGCTACATTAAAGTATTGTATATTCATTTATAACATTAATAATATTTTTCAACCAACCTGAACATGAAGTCGTTCTTGAAGTAAATTACTACCGAAAGCAAAGTAAAAGAAGAAGTCGGAAATGGTTTTGACTTCTTTGGACAGTGTCATGATACCAACGTATTATTATTGCACAAACACAGATGGCTGAAATTAAAGTATAAATTGTAAAATAAGTTGATTAAGCATAGTGTCCTAAGTCTAGTAAAATCTATTACAATTGTAATGTTAACTTCTTTTTTTACTTTGTATTCATATTGACATCCAAAATGCTCGAGTATTTAGGTCATAAAACACATGTTGCATTTCAAACCTTGTAAAAAGTTGTTAAAATCAACAAAACTGATAAGTAAGTCTTATCATAAAGCTTTGTCTTTTGCCAAATTTCACAAAACCCATTAAAATTAAACTTTGATCATATTATCTACACCTTTTGAAACAATTATTCAGAAATTCAAAGTCTACAAGTGACAAAAAAATCTAAAAATCAAAAATGTTTCTTAATATTCTCCTTTTCAATTTACTTTTTTAATCAAACTAGCTAAAAACTCCTTTTATACTGCCAAATCTATTAAAAACCTCAAGGTATTCAAGTGTAAAAACACTGTTATCATAATTCAACAGCCCTTCATTAAGAATACTTTATTTGCTGTAAAAGTGGAGATCAATCAAAAGTTAGGAACATGCAACAATAATATAAAAATAATAACAATATTTTCTAAAATACGCACAAATAACTTTTCAACAATCGTGTTTTCAAATATAAATTTTTAAGTATTAACTCAAAATACTGAAAGTACGGTAAACAATGCTTATATGGTAATGTAATGTCCTTATAATAGATATAATCTAAAATAAGTCAAGGATAATTGTCTTAAACAGTGCGAACCATTAATCCAAAATTAAACTCAAAAAATCAAGAATTTTCAAAAAATTTAAATTTTCAATTTAAAAAATTTAAAACACTTCAAAATCAAAAATTTAGATACCCTAATCAACCTTAACATCGCCATTAATGTTCTCAAAACTCATCGCCCCAGAAAGTGGCGGTTCTGGTGCCGGCACCACTTCGACTGGTTCCATCTGAGTGGTACCCATTGAATTGTATCTGAAATGGGGATTCTTAAGATCCAACGTGTTTCTCCTGCATTGGCCGTTTATTTGAACTGTCAATTCAATGTCATAACTGAGTCTTTGATTGGCCTCCATTAAAAGTCGACCGACCGCCTTCTCGCCTTGTCGCAGAAGGATTGGGTCTCCGAAGAGACATCTAACCTGATACCAGTGGGTGGGCGGATCACTTGGGCCTGTTGCTAATTTGACTTCTTTTCTAAAAATAAATCTTACACTTAAAAATACTGTACAATACGCTATTCAAAAAATAAACTTCAGTTCCAACATCTAAAAAAACTTTTTTAAAATAAAAATTGTAATTTTATAAAATCATTAATATCACTTTAGTCGAAAACACATGAAATGTCAACGAATCAACATGTATACACCCTTAATATATTAACCTACGTTGTGCCAGAAAAAGTAACATCAAACCAAGATGCTATTCCATGCACATACGCCGTCCTCGTAGCTTCAAATGAAAATGGGATGTCAATTTTGTGTAGTTTTTCTACCGAATCTTTCTCAAAATCATATGGCCATATCAACACATCCGAACATACTATACTTGCCGGCCAATTGTCCTAAAACAATATACTTTCGTTTTAGAAAGTAAATGCATCTTATAGGAGCATAAGCATAAAAATAAAAAACATACCACAATAGGCTGCTTAAAGTTCTCTATATACGCCTGTGTCTTTAAACCGCTTAGATTTACTCCGTAAAAGTGTTCATGATGCCAAAAAGTACATCTTTGAACAGTTTCTTGGTACAACATCTCATCACTGAATAACGAGAAGTACATGTTACTCCTGGTTGGAAACATACGCCCTAAAATATTTACATTATCATTCTGTTCTATTTTACAGTATCTGGTATTTAAAATTACTACAAAGTTCCAAATAATTCAAAAATAATCTGCACGGTAAAACTCTACTAGACAAAAAATCATGAATTACAAAAAACATACCATTTGGTTTTAAAAACTTTCTAGCGTACACAAAACTCTCCAGCATTCTCTCATTAACCAACATATAACCCATAGGTTCTGATATTATAATATCCACACCTTCTGGTACATTAACTTCTTCTATCTTCCCTGGTATTAATGTTATTTTGTCTCCCATGTTATTTGTCCTTATTAGCTCCTAAACCGAAAAATAAAAAACAAAAGTATAGTCTTACCTGACAATGAGTAGCCATGGAACTGGCCTCGACTGCGTAAACCTTCTTGGCCCCAGCTTGAACAGCAAAGAACGACAAGATCCCAGTACCAGCTCCAACATCCAGCACCACTTTATTTTCAAAATCCCCACAATTCCATAAAAATGCATTTTGATATGTTGATGTCCTCACATAATCTTGTAGCATATTCTGTTGTTGATGTAACAAACCATAAAAATGAAAATAAACCTCGGCCGAGTTCTCTTCTGTCCTATCAGAAAACTCATTATCTTCTTTTTTCTTCTCTATTAGTGGCTTTACACCCATCTGGCACAGTTTTACTGCTTTGCGAAAATCTGAGTAACCTAAAACAATATTCATTTTGAAAATCGAAATAAGTTAATAAAAATAAAGCTCCAAAATTAAGTGACCTTATAAATCACACCACAAAACCCTCTGGCGAAAAAACCTCAAACAAATATACTATGTATACTATAATACTTTTTAGAGCTCTTTGCTTCAACTGCTATCCAGTATAATATTAGTATAAAACGCACAGAAAGAAAAGAAACATACGTTGAGAATTTGTAAACCTTAAAAATTGTGTTTCATCTTTGTTTTTACTCGTAATTGAAATCAAATTGTTGTTCAGAGGTATAAACTCGTACTCGGAGAAAGGCAACATCAGGATCAAGGTATCGTCTCCTAAAACATGAATGACTTAACAAATACAAACTTACTTTTCAAGCAAACATGTTCATTATCTGCTGCAATATATACATTAAGATTTTGTTCCATGAGAACTATATTTGGCATAAATCCATTATCGTTTCCATTCGATATTGTGTTAAAGGCTGCTAAATCTGCAGCTCCAAAAGAAGCTGTTGTCTAAAAACGAACATTAGAGATAAAACAGTAAAAACCAAAAATAAAGATGGTAGAATTTTAAAACTTACTTTTAAACACATTTTTACGTTATTAACAGACATAACAATTGAGGAAGAAACGTTTTGAATTTTCGTATATTTCCGAGGTAAATTTTCTTTATTTTCCAAAAAACCCGTCATTGTGACAACACATTAAAGTACTACTCTTGTTAATTAAGCGCTAAAATTTATATAAATTTTAACACAAAACTACTTATAAAATTTTTTATATTTTGATTGATAAAATCTTTTTATTTTAATTCTGTCATGCTGACGGATTTTATAAATGCCAATGGCGGAAAAAAGAAATTTGAAATAAAACAAAATTTTGTCGACGAAATTAAAAAATAGTATTTAGCGATCAAGTATAAAGTTATTTTGAACTTTTACAATCATGGAGAAGGCTCTACAACCTGTGAACACTGCTGATATTGCTCCAGATTTGTTGCACGGAGCTGCTGATCTCATTCACTATGGAAAGGTATCTTTACGTGTTTTTTAAATTTTTGAATTTAAGAGGATTTACCAGATATTTTATGGGTCTCTTATATATTTTTTTATTTTGTCAAACGTGTGATAGAAATGCTAATATATAATTAACCTTTATAGTTGGCTGCTTCTCAACCAAGTCAAGATAATCTCGATGAATCGCTGGTTGCTGCTGAAGAGTGCTGTGAGCAAAAGAAAAATGTATTGAGCTCTGAGACGACAGAATGGAAAGACTTGGAGAATGAACATATTGAAGTTTTGCGTTTGATCAATGTGATTCAAGAAGAAGTAAGCCGAAAACTGTTTTTATTGTAGTAATTAACTGTCGAATTTGTTGACTGCTTTCTTCCTTATTTTAGGAAGCCGACAACAGTATGTTGGAAGAATCTGTCGCCAACTTGACTATTGCTTTTGAAGGCGAAGACGACGATATTCGACGAGTTGAACAAGAAGTAGCTAGTGCAATGGGAGAGTGTCAAGATTTGGACGATGAATTTGTAAGTTTTGTAGTTTTACTAACAGTGGCTTCTTTTCTATTGATATATTTGGATAATTTCAGAATGTAGTCAATGACAATTTGAAGAGTTGTACAGAAGAGTATGAAAGAGGTGTAGATGAGGTTAACGAACTAGAAACTCCTGTCGAATTGAAGAATGAAAGAGTGATGGAACTGAAAGAGAAGATCGAAAAGGCAAAGGAAGAAAAATATGTAAGTTTTTGGAATATTATAGTAAATACTTATTGAAGTCTTTTAAACTAGTTGTAATTTAATTTATCTACTTTGTTATACGTTGCTCATTTATTCCGTTATGTTCTAGGAGTTGGAAGAAAAGATTGAAGAATTGAAGTCGAAAACCAATGATAAGAAGATAGAAAGTTTGGCTAACAAAGGTGAAAAGAAAGGAAACAACATGTTTGTTGAGGTAAATTTCGTAATTATAAAATGAAATTTGAGTTTTAGGTAGCTGAATATGCTGAAAATGTTTACAAAACTCAAGCCGAGATGCGTGAAAACAGAAGAGTTTTGGAGAATATCTGTGCTGAGCTTCAAAAACAAGTTGAAATCAAATCCAGATCGGCCAAGCCTAAAAACGCTGTTAGCGACGAGATTTTTGGTATGTGTGACGTTTTTAAGTCACATTTTGTATTCAATATTAAATTTTTTAATGAAAGGGATTTTTCAACTTATTAAAGTATCACAAACAGTGAATGCAAATTATTTTTAGCTGTGTACGATCAATGTGTTCAACTACAACAACATACAAGTGGTAGAGAAGACGCTGAAAGGATTAGAAGCGATTTCAATGAAGCTTTGAGTTACAAGGATCTTTCACTATGTATGGCTGTGTTAGAGTAGGTTTATTCATATGTTATGAGGTTTTATATATTGATTTAGTTTATATGCTAAATTATCGTTGATTGAGGCTGGTTTATGAAGAGCAGGGAAAAAATTGTACACTGGTGGTATGACGATATTATTGATGGTTATCTATGTTTTCTTAAAAAAGTTATCTTTGGGATAATGTTAAAGTTATACTTTTTTAGGCACTTCCAGAAGTTGTACACCGTTTACCGTATTGAGTTTGGAGCTCTTGAGAGAGTGTGCAAGTCTACCATCGAACGAATGACAGAAAGAACGCGTGGTAAGGTCAGTCATGTTCAGAAGAATCCGGTACAGAAGTTGGAGGGTATCAGAGGTAGGTATATGCAGTTTATTTATCTTACTAATTTTTTAAATAATGATGAAATTATTACTGATTTTATAATGTTTTTTGTTCAATAGTAGTAGGTATAGGCAGGGCCGGGTGGGGACTTTTGGTCTGGGGGCAGGGGTCCAAAAAATCGGCACACCTGTGCCGATTTTTTGCGAAAATTTTTTTTCCAAAAATTCACAGGGGGAACCACGTTCAAATTTTTTCGAAAATTTTTTTCTGGGGGGGGAGTTACCCCCCCCGCCCCCCTTGCGCCCGGCCCTGGGTATAGGTAGTTTATAAATTTTATTATAATTTTTTAATAGTTTTCACGTTGTAGTACGTAATAAATTTTGTTTTGTTTTAGTAAACATTTTTGTATGTTATTCTATCACAACATTAATATTAGTATGCTTTAAGTAAGAAAAAACAAAAAATTATTTTAAAAAATTTTTAGCTGTTGTCAGCAAGCGGGTCCGCTAAACGAAAAAGTCGTGTAATTGTGGTGCTAAATATATAACTATAATGTGAGTTGTAATTTATTTGATATTAAACTGTAATTTTTGATTTTTGGATTTTTATGTCATTGGGCTAAAAGTACCTAGAATCGCATTTCATAGTGTCTATCTTTGGTAACGTTTACTTTATGGTGTTTATTTTATGTTTTTTTTTAACTTTTTGACCGAATAAGTGTTATACTGCTAGAACCACCCAGATCTTTACCTATGATTTATTTGTTCAGTTTTCGAACCGTAAATAATGGAATAATATAGTAGCTAAGTATGACAAATTAGTTACTTTCTGGCACTACTTTGTTTTGCCATTTCTTAACAAACCCACTGCCTTTTGTTAAATTATGACAATTAAGTCGTATTCTAAAGGAGAGAAAATAAAATTTGATGTATTATGGGTTAAATTTATAAAGTTGTTTACTTTTTCGAATTAATTCGGCCATTAAGAGAGCAGTGTTATGATGGATGCTTTGAGAAATTGGGTTAGTTTTGGCAAACGTATCAGACGATTTCTAAAGGCTTTGCGTTATGATCTTACTAAAAATTGAGTTTACTGCGTTGTATGAGGTTGTTTAAAATTTCATACAACGTAGTAAATTTAAATTCTGTGTTTGCTAATCACCAACATTTGCTTTTAGGAGGGGCACATAATTAATTTACCTTAATATTTGATTTCCGGTCGGAAGTTTTGATATAAAGGAGTAGGTAAAAGGTTTTTTTGTTTCTACCTTATTTTGGCATGTTAAAATTTTTTGAAATTGATAAAGTTACACTTAAACCTTTAAAAGTTTTTTTGCAAAAGCACAGTACGAGTCACAAGCTTTAAGTATCTTATCGAAAAAGTTGCAGAGAAAAGGAATTGTAATAGTTTTGGTAATTGTAATCAGTAATCCACTTGTAATCCGTCTAGAGTCACAAGACCACGTGAACGACTGATAAGAACTATCATGGTGATAGCTATCAGACCTAAAACATCAACCCACAACAACAAGTTCGAAATGACATTTTCTTGCCACCCTTAGGGCTTTTTCTGTTTGCTTCGAAATTCAACGAAATCCGAAGCAGGTGAACCTTATCGTGCACAATTCATGACAACATTTATGGATGTCGTTTATTTTACTTTTAGTGCTTTAATGGGGGGAATGGAGTGTAATATTGAGTTTGTCTTTGTTATTTTAAGGATAAGGTTTAGATTTGTATAAGTTTAGGTTAAAAAACTGACAAAAATGAAAAAGGTCAAGTTACCAACTTTATATCTAATGCCAAACTTAAAAATATCTTTATGCTAGCACATTTTCTGATATTCAAACAGAGCTTTGTTTTTTGTACTAACTATCTATAAACAAAATTATCTTTGCTTTTACTTGATTCCTTCCGTGAAACCTGTAAAAACAAAGTAGGCTAACCTTATATGTGCTAAATTTTCGTTTTTAACTCAAAAACAGCATAAATTATGTTTCTTGCCAAAAAATTCGGTTGTTTCTTTACAGTCATGTTTGTTTTAATAGGTTGTTCGGAAAGTTCTCAACCAAATTTTTTTTAATATTCAAACTGAAAAAAAGAATAAAAAGAGTATGTAATTTCAAGTACTTAGAAAGGTGGGTAGTAAGCTATTAATTTTAAAAAAATTAAAAAGTTGTTTAAAATTGAGTTTACGCTAACTTTTTTAAAATTGCCGTTTGGCTCAGAATTTTCCGGGCAACGTAATACTTTTATTTTAACTTCTCATGTTTTTTGAATTTTCGTTTTTACAGTAAATTTATGTTTTTTGGAACATACTTCATAGTTATCATTAGACAAGATGTTTTGTATTAGATACTATAATTCTGTACTCTTGTTTTTGTTATGTCTTTATTGTATTTTTTTGCTTTTTAGAGTAAGTGTTAATTTAAAACTAGGTATGTTTTTCTAGGGAAAACTACTATTTTATTCAATGTTTTGCTACAAGGAATTGGCCGCTTCATTTGAGGGTTACAACTTGTTTTGCTCAAATTTCAAATTTTTGTTTAAAATTCACTGACACTTTTCCATACGAACTTTAAAGCTCTCCTGCTTTTTATAAAGGTCTTTATCGTATCTTGTTTGAGATGTGTTTTGCCATCAAACATGAAACAACGTGACCCGATGTATAAACACACAAGTGTAATAATGAGACGTTTCACCGCAATGCCCTCAGGGCATAATAGGATTTGTCGCACTCATCCGCGGCCATAAACCGTGACTGGCTTTTGGTTTCCGGAGGGTGGGGGCAGAAGGCAGGAAGAGCGATTTCCGCTTATCAGGTTTCAGTTATATTGTACTCATAAGGCATATCTTCTCGTATGGGACAGTTTTTGATGTGGCTTATGAGGTTAGTTATGTGAAGTTGATTTTGATGAGTTGTGTGTTCATGTAGATATGACTTTTGTTTGTATGGTAGACATTACTTAGCAGACGATTTTTGTTTGGGAAAGAGGTGTAGGGAGCAAAAAAATTTTATAAGAAATTTCTAAAAGTGACGAGTGGATATTCTTTTTCTGTTATCGCCAGGTTCTACTACTAGTAATTGGTGACTATATTTTATTTTATAATATTGTTTTTGTAGCTGTAAGTGTAGTATTTGGACAAGTTTTTGCTTTCGGATATGACTTAAAATGAGGTTTTTTCGAAAAAATATTTGTTTGGTAAGTCATCGTCTTTAAGGTGCTTAGTTCCTATTTATTTGTATATTAGGTATGATATGACATGAACCGGAAAAGATGTCATAACGTGTGGGGGTCATTAAACTACAAATTTTGAGTTATATGACATTGCCTTTTTTGACCATTTCTTTGTTTAGTACCAACAAATTGGGTTAGTAATGACATAATGTATCGGTCGATGAATTTTGTTTTGGTGGTATGGTGAAGTGGTAGGGTAAACAATTTTTTACTTAATGATAGAGCATTTTTTATGAAATACGCAAGAGAGGTATTATGGTAAAAGTTAAAAAATTTTCGAAAATTTTCTTTGGAAGGGGGCATAAAATTAATTGAACAACTTAATACAGCTAATTTTTTCTTACTTCTGCTAACAAACATCAGCACTGTAGTCATATAAAGTGATGTATATACCCATAATTTGCAAATACCAAGTTATTTTGATCCTTATACTTTTTGTTCTATTATGACAACTCTATATACTGCGAAAAAAAGTGTTCCCGGTACTATACACTACCCTCTAATAACCGCCAAACCTCGTGAATGCTCTTTTGCAAATCTTTTTTCTGGAGACAATGAAGCTGTCTTCTGGCTTCAGACTCTTCAACCCCCCAACCTCCCTCCCCCCCTCCAATTTAATGAGTTTGATAAACCCGCGGAGACGGTTTTAATTACTTATGGAGCCAGAATGGCGCAATAATTACTCGTGATATTTGGGAAACGTTGCATTTTCTGGAATGACCAACGGCTAATCCGAGAATCCGAGAACGGTCTGAAAGAGCATCGAGTAATGGATTCTTGGCTTTGATGCTAATTAACGGGTTTATGGGGGTACACATGGTTTTGTCATAATGAAAAAAAAAACGTTTTACATGTTGGAGTTTACATTTTGAATTTTCCAGTATTTTTATAGCTTTTGATTAACAATTTATCTTTTAATAATAGCTGGATATTGCTTACTATCACAGAGTAGACTGTCGTTATAAGAAAGTCATGTAAAAGCTGCAATTTTATGTTGACTATTAGCTGAATGTAGCTTATTATATCAAACAGTAGATTTCTGTTATAAGTCATAAAATATGTAAAAAGCTGCTATTTTATGTTAACTATGACAAGAATTTACTTTAAAGAACATTTTTATCCTAAATTACCATTCCTATCTTAAAAGCAACTCATGTGTTGCCTAAAACGAGAGATTGCCTCACTTTTAACCATGTAGCATAAATGAATTGTAACGCATTATATCACAATTTAAATTGTTGAAAAATGTTTTTATTTGACGTTTCACCCAACATATCTCATTGGGGCTTCGTGCTGAGTCGTTCGAGCATAAACTCACATTAAATGAGGAAGTTCCGTTGATATCCTCCAGGTCAACTACAACTTTTTTAATGGGAAACACACACTTTAATGTTAATATAGGTGGGCGGTGCACTCTAAAGTTTTTATTCTTTAAATTTCTATAAGTTGCTAGCTGAAAATCTTTCTTAATTTTTTGAAATTTTGGAGGAAGTTAACAGTTAAACATTTTTAAATTTAAACTATAAATTTTATATTGAAGCAGGGTGCATTCAAAAGCTTTTGTACGTACTTATTATATCGAGGGGAATTAATGTATAACGAACTCTTTGTTTAAGGTTGGTAAATTCTGAGAAATTTGTAAAACTATTTTTCATTTTATGCTAATAAGTTTCAAAGTCATACATCAACTGCTGAAAGTGCAAGGGCATTCTTTAAAGGAAAGATTTTTACAAACTGAATTTAGCCATTTTTTGTTGTTTTTGAAAGAAAAATGACGGGTAATAACCGTTCGTTTCACTGTATAGTCATTTGTGTTAGTCATTAGTAATTTTTTAGTCCATGAGTTGTGGCATGGATAGTACAACGCTTTTTGTTTTTTTGAATTTTGTAATTAAAAAGCTTAAATTTTCAAATTTTTAATTTTGATTTTGTATTTGATGAGCTATGATATTCGAGATTTCCTTTGAAAGGCACCATTTTGGATAGATTGTATTACTATGATTATTCACTGAAATTCCAATTTAGAACATTCATTGAATTCTACTACGTACTATAGTAAAATACGAAATTCTTTGTTAATTTTTCACTTTTCTTACTAGCGTTAACTATTATATTTTTCTAATAATATTAACCATTTTTTTCAAACTCAAAGGTCATTTTTTCCACAAAATTTGGTGTAACGCTAACCTTATCATGTTTTACTTGCAACAATTATACTCTGCTGATTAATATCACCAATCTAATCACTTTTAACATTTGCTAATTACACTTAACGACCTGTACTTAATTAAATGTAACAGTTTGTAGCAGAAATTGTCATTGAATTTACAAACTTTGCCTCTGCTGTTCTAGCTTTTATCAATTATTGCATCAAGTCTTCAGGTGTTATCAGAGATTAAAGGTTGAGGTGACCGAACAGTCACAAGGCTTGATATCATACAATTCTGGAATTGTAGTTGTGGTTTGTGGATGAGTTAGTTACCTTTTGGGGTTTATAAGATTTGTAAGGGGATAGTAGCAGGGACGTCGTTTGGGGGGGGGGAGGGGGGGGGGTGGTTCGGGGTGACTCCCCCCAGAGCCGATCCGAAAAAAAATCCACAGGTAGGTACCACAGGTACCTGTACGTAAAAAAAACGAAAAAATAGATTTTTTTTGGGTTTTCACCCCCAGAGAAAAAACCGTAGCGACGTCCCTGGGTAGTAGGTATAAGATGTGCCGAGTTCTATTCGAATTTTAATTTTTTTTGAGATTATAATGGCTTTACTGATAACTTTTGAGTATTTTATCCTTAGGCTAACTTTAATTTTTATAGTTTACATTACTATTTGGTCTCCTTTACTAGGTCCGTCATATATATTTAATGTAAAATACGAATCATCAACGTTTTTGACATTCGTCAATGTCATAGCTCAAAAATTAACATACGAACAGTTTATGGCATCAAATTAACTTCACGTGCATTTGAAATCTAAAAATAAATGTCGCGTTTGCAATTTTAATGAGCATCAAGTTCAAGTTGTACATGTCTCAGTAATCCTGGTCTATATTTCTTTAAAGGCACAATCTTTTGGGGGAAAAGCTTTGAATTGTTACGTGTTATATGGTCAAGAAGTGTGTAGCGATTAGGCGGGCGATATTTAATTTTTTTTTCTGAGTGATGGAGGCGAGAGGTGGTGGGGTAGAAATCCCCCGAACTATTTTACATGAGTTTTTGTTTATCAATATAGTCTAATTTTGTTTTTTTACAGTTTTAAACTTTAATCTCATCTTGATGTTGTCATAATATTTGTTCGAGATGTGAATCGTATGAGTTGATGTTTTTGAAGCGATGAGTAACTTCTAAATTATTTACTGTTTTTTGTGCATTTCATATAATCTTTTGGACAAAATCTTCTTAAATACTATGTCTTGCTCTTAATTTCACGCCGTTTTATGTGTATATTACCCTTAACCTTTTGGTATTATTAAATAATATTATTTTTTGTCAATTATTAACATTTTTAAGTGCTAATGATTGGTGACACATGTTTTTATTTTATGATTTTTTTCAATAATTTTAAAATTTTTTATTTAATTTAATTTACTTGTAAATTAAGTTGTATTCAAGCCTTGTTTTGCTATTTTGTGTACAATCATTTATTAACAATATTCTGCAAAATTAATGTCACACTTTGTTTTTGTTACTTTACTATGTATAGTGTCATGACATTCTTCAGCAAACTTTTTTTATAAAACAAACAAAAACTATTATATCTAATTACTTTACAATTTAATTTACATTTGGACTTTGTTAGCTATTTAATTATAGTTGTGTTTCATTGAGTACGACATGCTTTGTTATCTTGTTTTTATGACATTAAGGTATTTATTTACTTGTTTATTGAACTAAGTTTAGATATAGTATTATATCGTTATGTTCTGATCACATTTACAATTAGAAGGAAAGGGGCGTGAACGATTTTACATGGATTTTAAAATTTATGTCTAATATTATCATTTGTAATATAAAAAAACGTTTTAGACCAGATGAGATGAACAGTACGACAGAAGCGACCTTTGACTGCGACGATGGGTCGTTATTGGATAGGTTTGAGGTGCGGATGGTGGTCATGTTCGTATATATCATGGTATTCTTGTTATGTTTAGTTGGTAAGGCAATCATTTTATGAAAAACGTACTTTTACTTTGTTCTTTCCTGTTTTACCCTTTACTCTGCCCTGCCTTGAAGTGTGCTGTATTGGCTTGCTCTGCCGTGCCATGCCTTGCCCTACCCTATTTTGTCATTACTTTGCTCTTCCCAAACGTTTAATATATAAACTGTATTTTAATAAGTATATTTTAGGTAACTTATTCACGATCATAGTAATATGTGTCCACCGTTCCATGAGAACGGCGACCAACTTCTTCCTCGGTAACCTAGCCTTTGCCGACCTTCTAGTAGCAGTCTTCTGTATTCTCCAAAACATGTTCCACATCGTCGGCTCGAACAGTGGACATTGGCCATTAGGCGCTGTCGTATGTAAACTATATGTCTTGATGTTACACATGGTACCATGTACGGGTATAGGCATACTTGTATGTGTATCGTTGGAGAAATACATAGCCGTACTGCATCCGTTATTGGCGCTGAAACTTCTGACTCCACGGCTACGGGCTTTCATGATGACTAGTATTTGGATAGGGTCGTTGGTCATCAACCTACCCTACTACTTTACTACGGTCGAACGAAGGTACCATCAGTTTGCGGCTTGTACCAGGGATATGTCATCGTTATATGGGTAAGAAATTTGGATTATGTTACTGTAACTTCTTTTATCAAAACATAACTATTTTGACTATAACTGCCTTTGACTATAAACTTTCAAAAGACCATGGTTTACTATTATACAATATTCAATTACAGGCCCTTCAGCTTCACCATCAAAGATATGATAACGTTGAGTTTCGTAACATGGTACATAATCCCCCTTACCACCATCGCCATCCTATATAGCCGTATTGGGCTGGTTTTATGGCGCAGTAGTATGAAACCACTATCAGTGCGACCATCAACAACAAGTCCATCAGCTCACGAAGCTATGACTACAATGACATTCCCAGAGAATGGCAACGGAGATGTGGATTCGATGGCTGACAGTAATCGATCTGTCGATGAAACGCCTACTGTAGTCAAAGGGGATGTTCTTGAGAGTAGGAAAAAGGTGGGTTTCGTCGATAATATTGTTGTGTGTTTAAACAAAATGTCATAACATTAATTTACATGGCTTTTTAACTATGTTTTAGACTTTAACACATATTTATCCTTGAAAAGCCTAACTTATATGCCTAAACGATTATTTCCAGATAATCCGCCTCTTGATAGCCATCGTCACCTCTTTCGCTGTCCTCACTCTTCCTCACCATGCTCGTCTACTTCACGTCATGTGGTCGACAGAACATTCGTGTAACAGTAAATGGACCTCTCTACTTCAACCCTTCACCTACATCACATTGTTCATGTCCAGCTCTATCAATCCCATATTATACGCATTCATGTCGCAGAGGTTCAGAGCTGCCGTCAAAGACATTATGAAGTGCAGAAGTCGAGGATACCTTCGGAAATACACTAGGACAAGGACAATATTGTCTGACATACCTGAACATCCATCGAGGTCACCAAGCTTGAGCCATAATAATGTGAGGACGACTTGTATGTAACATGATTTACGGTCTTCTGATTGAAGTGCCGTCAGAATAAAAGGCTGAGCCTGAGTTTTGATAAGGGCAGCTTTCTACAGCATTTGAAATGAATACCTACAAGAACAATTAAAAACGAAAAATTAGCATCACAACACGCAACACATCTTCAGTATTAAACAAAAACAACATCTTTTGAGAAGAACAGCACCACAAAATAATTTTAAAAAAACAGAAGAACGCCATCAAACAACGAACATTGAATCAACAATGTGGAGCATCGTATTTTACGAACGGGTACCTGTTTATCCAAGCTTTTTTATAGTATTATATACAAGTATATATCATTGGATCAGCTTTTGAAAACGGGTTACAAGAAATCTTTTCATTCTCTTACTGTTATAAACTTTTAAAAACTTTCTTATAAAACATCACTTGAACATACCTTTAACTTGGTCACTTTCTATCAGTTTTTCACTTTCTATCAGGTTTATTACTTATAAACTTCATTTCTCTTTGTTGTTATGTCTTTTTAACGCTGTGGAAGTTCATTAAAAAGATCCACTAATTCTTCAATTCCTTTTCATTATCTTAACAATTTTTAAAAAACCATGAGTCTTAGTTTTTGTGAAAGAATCAATGGATTTATCATTACAAAATTTTATGCAGCTTGTGCCAACTTTTATGAACAAATCTCCTCTGATGTTAAGCATGATCTCAATTGTACAATATTTTAAAACGGAATAAACTTGTTTCGAATTTCTTAAACTGCCATTTTTTCATGATCTTTTTTTTGTAAAAAATCAGTTTGATTATAGCAAAAAATTACTTCAATTTTAGATCATTAAACAAAAGCTTTGTCAAAAAAATGGAGGAAAAAGGTTAATCTAAGAATTCTTACTTTTTGAACCAAATTATACAGAATAAAACAAGAAATATCAAAAATAATACGCCTAAAAAGTATAATATTACAATATAAAAGGATAACCTAAAAAGCCGTCAGATCAAGTCAGTGTGTTTAATTTAGCTAAAAACAATAAACTTAAGAAGATGGGAAAGTGCTGTTCGAGTTTTACTCGCTCTTCTTTGAAATTTGTGACTCTGTCTTGTGAGATTTGGGTTTGGGTACGGTCTTCAGAAGAATGGTCAATGTCAACGGGGCCAAGAAGAACATGATCACGTACCAGTAGCAGTACATCGAAAGCAGCGGTTTGATCCAGACCTCTTTCTTGATCAGACCAAAAGTGAAGAAAGCCATCGCCATCGAAGTATTGATTGTAATTCGGCCGAACAGCCAGCAGAACGGCCAAACGTACGGTCGGCTGAGGACTTCCTGGACGTGGGGTAGTCGTCGAAGAAGCTCGTACAACTGAAAGCGTAAATTTTGTAGAAAGTTAAATTATAGTCGTTATAAAATGAAGCATTAACAACAACAATAAACCTAAATTTTTCCAGTAATTACGAAAAAACTCCTTACCTGTCCTTGGACAAACATGCATGCCATTTCAAAAGCGAATAGCAAGAAGTATCCCAAATGATATCCGTGCCATACCGCCAAATAGAATAGGGTAGCCGATTGACTGTAAATTCTGCCTCCCAGCCATCGTAGTCGTTTGAACAAGTAGCTGAAATAAATATAATATTACACATACAGATGTTGGCATTGTGTCGAAAAAGCCTTTTAAACATTGCTAAATTTAAAGAGTGCCATCAAGTCCAAAAAGCACAATTATAAACAGAAAAAATAAAATTTCAATAATATTTTAGTAAAAGTAAGAAAAAAATTGATTTAAACCTTGTGGTAAAACATACTTTTTGGCAAAGTCGTTTGTACCACAGTTAAACGAGTCGATGACAGATTGGAAGTCGCTTCCAAGTTCCCATTTTACAATATGTACATTACGAACTCCATCCCACTTGTCCTCACCAGCTTCGTTTTTTCCATTGTAAGCCAAACCAGCCAAGATGCATGACCCTTCCTAAAATAAAGCAATTTATAATAAAATATTTGACTGTAAGTCAAAAAATACTATATTGATCCTTCCTATATCAATATAAAAGCTAAAACTAATACTATAAAAACTAAAAACGGGAACATAAACCAATAAACGCAGCTTAAACAATTTAAATACTCTCAAGATTTAAAGTAAGCCCTTACCGTCAACAACCAACACATGCAATACCTGTACATAGTGGCTCTGAACCATATTGTGTTCCAGATGATCTTCCAATGGAAAGGTAAGTCCTAAACACAAAAAAATCAATATTAACATAGATTCAACTTACAAAGAACTCTTGACTGTTGAAATAACTGTCTGGAACCCACAAAGTTCCCCATTGATGAAGAACTGCATATGTTACACCAGCAACAAATCGTCGACAGGCTTCCATTAGGCTGGATTCCTTTACTTCTCCATTCTCCAAGAATTCACCGTTTACGAAACGGCGAAACCTGTTAAACGAGAACAATGGTCCTACTAGAGTACCACCGTAAAATAAGCCAAAAGAAGCAATTTCTAGGAGAGTTGGAGGGTCTTCGATGGCTAGTTCCAATTGGTCACCTTTCCTTTTGTGCTGAAATTGAAAATAGTTTAAGTTAATAAAATAACTTAAAATTTGCATTATGCTTTGTATTACCACCTCAACAATTAGCTGTACGGTTGAATTAAAAGCAACAAAAACTTTACTGTGCATCTATCTAAAGCACTACTTACCCTAGGCTTCTGCCCATCAAAGCAATCCATAACCAACGCGATAAACCTTAAAGCCATTATGCAGAACGGCGTCGTCCATGTGATATCATACTGTGCTGTAGCACTGTTCCAGTACCCCAACAACAAGTGTCCCAGGAAGAAAATGTGTGCCAATGCCACACTAGTCTTAGTACCGGGAATAAAGTTGGTAAGGAAGTAGGCCAAAACAATGCTCAACAAGAAATGCCAAACGGCTAGGCCGCAATTAAAGTAGAGTAAGGAGAGACCGACTGTCGTGAAGAATATGTGTTGAGTTTTGGGCTTCAAATTGTAGATGAAGTAACGGTAAAAGGCGGAGATCGGGTAGCCGAGCACGATGGATATCAGTAGCCGGAGGCCGTCTTCACGCACGTTCACCATGTTCGACAGTTCGGATATCACACCCATCGTTCTGAAAAAAAAGAGGAGGGAGTCGTAAGCAATAAACAAACAACAACAATATGGAAAATAACAAGCAGATGATCAAAAAACATCAAAATAACCATTTCGTCACAAATTAAAGTTTTGTAACAGTAGCCACATCGATGTGGCATCATACATAATTGTATTAATAGTTACAAAGGTACTAGAAAACAACTTTTAACTAAAAACACTTAAATTTTGATGTAAAAAAGCCCTTTTTCAAAAATTCATGGTAAGCTTATATTGCATTTTAATACAACAAAATTTAAAATATAAAAACCAGTTAATATAATCTTTGCGTGTGTTAAGAATGGCTTGCTTAGCTCTAAAATTACTTACATATTACCCATGCAAAAACAACCAAAAATTTTTAAAATTAAAACTGCGCTTTCAAAAACAAAAGAAATGACCTAATTTCCAAATAAAAAGTACAAAAGTCAAGTTAAAATTCCAAATTACAACAACGATTCAACCTAAAAATCCCAAAACCAACAAAAAATGACCGCAATCGACAAGTTTTCACGCAAATCGCATATTATACTAATCACCTTAAATATTACCGCCCATTCCCCTTATCACTGATAACATTCTGAAACGTTTTTTCGTTCCGAAAAAGTCAGACCACTTTCCCGGTTTTCTTTTCTGCACCTGAAGAAAGGTGGAATCAAAGTCCGTCGGGATGAGAAAAGTCAAGGTAGAAGTGTTCTGATAAAACAAATTGTGATGATAGTCTAGCTGGGCTGACAAACAGTAACAAAGGAGTTGGAGGCGCGTGTTTAAAGTCTGGTAAGACAATTCAAAGTTCATTATAGGTACAAATGTATTTGACTAAGAATTGGCACAGTTAAAATCGACTTTTGACTAGTGAAATACATCGTTTTAACCAGCAAAAAAAATCAAAGATATATGATAGTAAAGCTAGCTGCTAACATCTTCTAAAAAAATTACAGAATCTCAAAGATTTTTCAATTCTGTTTTACGCCAAAAATTGTCGTTTTTGACCATTAAACTTTCTATATTTGCATACTTTTTCGATCTCATATAGTACATGTTTGAAGTCTGTGAATATTTCAACTTGTCCCTCAATTAAAACACGTTTCAAAATAAAGTAAACACGAAAAAGAAATAAATTCTCAAACGTTCGAAAATCCCTCAAAACAAGCGAACAGCTGAACATCACTTGGAAGAGCAGACATTTCCAAAACATTCTATTGGACTTTCAACCTTGAACACCAATAATAAACCTTTCTTCTTGAGCAGAGTAAGTCTCTCGGGGTGTTTCCATATGTGGCTATTTTACGATTACTTATGAAAGTAAAATATTTTGTGGGTTTTTTTATGATTTTGACAAAACGCCACCTTAAAAGTTGTAATTACTCTAAAAACAAGTTACTAACCCCTTAATGAAAAATCGCGGTATTTAGTACTTGAAAGCGCCTTAAGAAAATAATTACTTGCAAACGATAAACAATAAATGTATTTAACAAATTACCAAATAAACGCTTGTAAAATTATAGGTTTCATGCTACTATGGCCAAGCCAACAAGGCCTTCCACAACTGCTTTTCAAACGTTGTAAACATAGGAGTTTCACGCTTATTTATAACACTCTTACTAAAAAGGCGTTAGCTTTTTAAAAACCATAAACTCTTAAAAATAGATCATGAGCAAAAACGACCTCTATAAACTATCATATTACCCTATTATCATACTACTCATTTTACGTTACTACAAGCTCTATATCAAATCTAGAATAAAAACAAACTTAAATCCTCCATTTCCCTTGCTTATTATTAAAAATTCTGACAAAAAAGCCAAGAAAAAGAGTCTATTTTCGCCGCTTAAACAATTGGAAACAAAAATCATACCAGAAGCCACACATAGTGTTTCGTGGACCGCCCTCAAACTGCGAAAAAACGACCCAAAATCGCAATCAAAGCTTCGATCTGTAACAAAAATGGGCCTTGCAGTAGAGATCGGCGCAAAAACATCAGCTTTAAAAGCAAAAAAAACAAAACTCGACACACAAAAAAGTAACAATATAGCACAAAGCGGTAACATATAGGACTATAACCCGAATAAAATCACCACAAAATAATATCTTATCAATGTTTATTCAAATTAATGTCTGTTCGACAATTTCGTACAGGATTCGTCGTCGGAATTCGGGCATGTGTCGTTGGCTGAAGTTTAATGTGGCGCGGCGCGAGACGTATTCGCCCATCCGACAGGTGAAAACGCCGCAATCGAAGCCATTCTTTTGTAACGGGACGTCCTTTAAAACGCGTTTACACAATTTTGAGTTTATAATCGGAAGAAAAAAGGATTTTTTAGAAAAAAACGTATTTTAAATTTTATCCGACTAGTAATAATAACAAAACTTACTTCTTTACTGATCAATATGATACTATCCGCTGATAAACGATGTTCTGGACATTTTACTCGATACTCGTTGACGATATAATCCCTGAAAACTCAAAATTAGTTACTAATAGTAATATACACCAAAAAGCATTAAAAAATAAATCATTCGATGAAACTCATTTTAAGTAAAAAAGAGTGACACGTCCTAAAACTTAAAAAAAAACACAATAAGATTTTACTTCAAAAAGATATTTACCATTTACCCCCAAAATTGGCTATAACTAACGTCAAAAAATGCAAAAAAGTCTCTTTTCTTTCGTCAAAAACAAATTCCTTTTAGCATGAACAACAACACCCCCAACACCTCGTTCTCAAAACAAACACCACACATTTGAAGACAAATAAAAGCCGCACGTGTTAATCTAAGTGTTCGAAAACCAAAAACTTATAGTATGTGCAGTATCATTGCAATCAACAAGCAATAAGAATGTGTTGACCTTATTATTAAAATAACATTTGCATTTTTTTCAGCGAAAGTGTAAATTTACCCGCTTCAATTATTGCACCAAAGGAATAAAAACATACCGTAAAACTTTTAAATGTTGAAACCCGTCCGAACCCATAGAATCTAGAAACCGTAAAGTAGTCGTATTGCAGTCGTATGCCTAAAAACACATTTATTTACTTTCTTAGCAAAAATGCCACAAAATTTTAGTGTTTTAAGTACAAGGTATTAAATAACAGTAAAATATGCGAAAGACTAACATTTCTAAAATAGCCCCTTAAACTAAACTTTAACAATAAACACTGCCTTCTAATAATAACGAAAGTAATGCAAAATACGAAATAACTTTATACGCTTATAAAAAAAAAATTTTCTAAAAACAAAATAATATAAAAACTTACAGCCAAGCACCAATGACATCCTAAATGAATAGGAAATATAACTAAATCGTTTTCAAATATATTCACATTCTTCGTCCACCGCTTAATCCCATCGTATCCTCTTCTACACAACGTTGGAAAGAAAAACGTGTTAAAGCAGTAAACCTGGAAAATAAAAGTAATACTTAGGTGCTATGTTATATTCTACATTCTTAATATATTGTTTCCTTTCGAGCAAAAAACCTTTTTAAAAATAATGTTTGAAAAGTTCATTAAAATTCAAAAAGATACTCCACTTCATAAACCATACCTTAGGATATATTTTGCTTGTCTTTGATCGCTCAGCAATCAGAGAAAAGTAAAAATTTACAATTTCATCATTTAGCCATGTTCCTGGTGCCAAAGTCATTAAATCTTTTCTAGTTACATCAATATTGAACTTAGAAGAAAACACTTCATCAGGATCTTCATATCTGTCCCATATTATACTGCAGAGCTCATTCGCTCGGTGTGGAACAACTAAAATAATCAAATTAACAAAATATTGTAAAATCTAGTTTTTAAGTTAGAAACCAACTAAAAAATATGAAAGTATCTCAAATATTTTAATTAAACAAGTTTTTGACAAAAAAGCTTATCAATGCCGCTTTACACATGCAAACTCACCAGGAAAGTCCTGAATCTCTGGAGGTACATCAACATGAGTCCTCAGTCCTTCCAAAGATAACTTTGATTTTATTCCATCAATAAGTGAGCTCAAAGAGGAAATAGAAGTGCGACTTTGTCTTCGATTAAAATCTGCTTCATGTTCTATACTTCTGCACTTTAGTCGCTGTAGCGATCGATTAAATCCTTCCCTAGACATTCAAATATTAAAATACAATATTAACTTACCTTTCTCCCATTTTAAACAATTCTCCTATGTTTGAGGCACTTTTGGACTTATCAAACGAAGTGGACGAACAAGGCTGATCATAGTTATGATAACATAATTGTTGGGATACGTACTGAAAAGAACTAAAACAATGAAAATCATTAAAAAGTGGCAAAAACACTTAAAAACATAACAGAAAACATATTAAATTTACAAACCCACAGAAACTTACCTTTTCCTTGTTGTTCCTTGTCTTTGATCCAAAGACATAGCGAAAAATTGATCGAAATGACGTCTCCTCACCCATATCAAAACCTATTGTAATATAGTAAGTAAAAAATAAAACTAAAAATGTAAATATAAAGAAGAAAAGCATTAAAACCACATCTCATTTACAATATTTTGTTTTTTGCGGCGAAAAAAGAAAATTAACAAAAGACAATGCCAAAGCAATCAATCGTGGCGAGACCTATGTAGAGCTGGTAAAATACAAAAAATTACCGTAATTTGTAAAAATTAAAATGATGTTCAATATAAAGCACACTTCACGGACGAGTTGAAAAACCAACGTTTGGGACAACTGAAACAAAACCCTTAAAGAAATAATTGTTGGGAGGTGTAAATGATTCAACTACGTACACAACTTTATGGTATGTGCATGGTAGTGTAATCAACTTTCAATCTTGTAACGTAAATCAGATTTGGCTTTGTCCTTTAATTTCACATCAGTTTTTTTAGATCTAACATCAAAAGAACAACAAGTTTGATTTATTTCTTCAACTTTCACCGTCCCAACCGGTTGTTCGTACCCCTGATGAAGACCAGAAAACGTAGCGATGATCTCAGTGCCGACGAAAAAACTGCTCCAAAGCCATCAGTACGTACCCAAGTGTCACAGTATCAAAAGAACAGCGGCGCTTTGAAACTGCTGGAAGATGAACCCTGGTTTCATGGATTCACGCCAAAGCGTGCTGTAGAGTAAGAATTTTCATGTCGAGGTTTTCATGTTTTCTGAATAGCCAGAGTTTTGTCTATAATTTAAACTAAATTTTTTGAAATTTGAATAACTCTAAACCAAGTTATGGCCAAAAAATTAAGACTCATCTATCATTTTTTCATTCTAGGAAAAAATTAGGCAGGCTAGGCGATTGGCTAGTCCGGACCACCGAATCTCGTCGAAAAACTGAAATTGTGATTAGCGTGCTCTCAGATGGAAATAAAATCATCAATTATTCTATTGCCTACTCACGAAGTTCAAAGAAATGGTATCTGGGGATTCTGGAGAAGAAACCGGTCCTGTTCGACACTGTGACAGAACTTATCGAACATTACCGTACTCATCGGCTACCGGGCATTAAATTCAAGTTGAATCGAGAGCGAGTACGTGAGCCATGGCATATTGAAAGAAGCCGGGTGGAGTATGATCCTGACAAGGTGAGTTACAGTGAATATTATGGAGGTTGTAGAGCAAGTTGTAGAATTTAGCAAAAAATTATGAGCAGTTGAAGTTTGTTTAATCCTATAATATTTTTAAATTGACTATAAAATCATGTTTTAATCAACTTTTAGGGTCTTCTTGGAGCCGGAAACTTTGGTCGAGTTTATAAAGGCAAACTGAAAGCGGCTAAAGGTTCAGATCAATGTGAAGAAGTAGCCATCAAGATCTCGGTAGACAACGGTAAAAAAGATCGATTTGAGAACAAAGCCAAGAAAGACCTGCACAAAGAAGGCCTCGTACTATCCAACTTTGACCACGCTAACGTTATTAAAGTAAGTTTAAAATTAGTAGTGGCACATAAAAAATGTGTATGCAAGTTTAAAATTGATTTTAACCAAAACCTTTCAGTTTTACGGAATGATTCTAACAAAGCCCCCATACATGGTAATCCTCGAGTTCTGTCCGGGTGGTGCCTTATTAGACCACCTAACGAAGCAAGAGGATAAGATAACAGTAGGCGAACGAATATTATACCTATATGAAGCGGCAAAAGGTATGAACTACCTTCATCGACACCAATATACTCATCGAGACCTGGCTGCTCGAAACTGTCTAATATCACGTGATGGGACTATCAAGATCGCCGACTTTGGCCTAAGCCAACACATTCAAACAGCGCCGGATAACTACGACAAAGATGTTCAGATTCCGTTGAGATGGATGGCTCCAGAATCTTTGACTAAGAAACCCAAGTTTGGCACGGCTAGCGATGTAAGAACGTTTTAGTATTCGAATTTCTTATCAAAGTGAAACATTGCTTGTCGAACTGGAAAGATGTGATTTTCTGATATTGTACATGACATTTTTCCTAAATTTTATGCCTTAAAGCCTAAATTTAAGTAAAAATCTTAAAATTTTAGATGTGGTCGTACGCAGTTTTCATTTTCGAGGTGTTCAGCAACGGTGCCAAGCCTTGGCCAGAGGAAGAACATCGTCGAATCGCGGGCAAAATCAGAAGATGTCAGATGATGGAGATGCCAAAGTCAGCCCCTGTTGAAGTCGTAAAGTTTGCAAAGACGGTGTGGAAACTTAATCCTATGGAACGGCCAACATTCCCCGAAGCTCTTCCGGTTATGTTCCGACTTCACAACGAGCGATATCCACCACCAGCTCCAGAAGAATGCACGGTGAATAAACTGAAAGGAGTAATCAGGTGTCCCTTCGATAAGGGTCTTGTAAGTTAATTATAAACAATTATAATGTTTTCGATATTATTGTAATCAGTACAATCTTAGCTTCCGATAATTATAAATTTGGTTATTTTCAAATCTGTTAACTATCCAAAAATTCAAATGAATGTGACTATAAATTAATTATGTATAATATTTCAGGAACCCGACTACAATCACCCAGTGAAAAGAAAGGATGCTGAAGACGAGAGTGAACAAGAATCTAAGTTTGGAACTGCTCATGAAAATACGACCACCACTTCAACGTACCAGAGCTCCGAAATGGTATCGAGTGAAGACAAACCGCCTTCTAAAGACTGATGTTATCTGTAAATAAACACCTTTTTTTAAATTCGGCTTTTTAAGAATGTGATTACACTACCTTATAACAAGAGGATACGATATGTGTACCTAATTTTCTAAATATTTCGAAAATGCGACATACCGGATTTAATATAAACAATATACCCGATTAATTATGAGAACAATATTATGAGTATGAGTAAGTATGAGTTAGTCATTGAGGTTTGAGAGAGTGAATCTGATTTGTTCTACATTCATATTGCCCAAAGACAACAACAACTTCTTGGCTTCTTTCTCTTCGTCCGACTTTTCCAATTGTTGTAAAGTGTTCTCGGCTTCCTAAAATGTCATTTTAGTACCATTTTAACCTCAAAATTCCATAAAAATGCATTTTCTTAACCTTGATTGGTCTTACAGATGTTTTAGTACCTTCTTGATCACAAATGCTGCCATAAAAACCCCCCAAAAAACAAAAATCTCTTACCTGAATAACATCTTCTGGGAAATTGACCATCTTAGCAATAGTAATACCGAATGATCTTTCGGTAACACCCGGAGAGAACTGGTATAAAAGCACAATCTGACCATCTTCTTCAGCTACATCAGCTTTCAAATTGAGGACTTTGTCCGGATATTGGACTGAGAGGTGAGCCATTTCGTGAAAATGAGTTGCAAAAATGCAAAAACTGTCTAATCTTGTCACAATATCCCTGAAAATACACATGTTTGTATGTTACAGCATACAATATACCTACATAGTGCCAAAAAAAACAACTTACTCAGCAATAGCCCATGCCAACCCAAACCCATCATATGTTGTAGTACCTCTGCCCAGTTCATCAATAATGATAAATGAATTCGAAGTGGCGTTATCCAGAATTGTCGCAGAATCTGTCATTTCTGACATAAAAGTGGAAACAGCTTTGAACTGACAATCCCCAGCTCCAACTCTCGTAAAGATTCCATCACAAACTGACAATCTGGCTGATTCACATGGTACAAAACATCCAATGTGAGCAAAAAGTACTGTAGTTGCAGCTGATCTCAAGTACGTAGACTTGCCACCCATATTGGCTCCAGTCAATACCATAAACTTTTTGTTTTCTGTGAAAACAATGTCATTTGGAATAAAAGATGAGGTCATCAACATCTTTTCCACCACTGGATGACGGCATTGACGAAGTTCAAAGATGTTAGAACCTAAAGTAACATAATTTAAAATTAGTGTTAATTTTATTAAATTATTATCCAAAAAAGTTATTCTAATTATACAAACTACCTAAAGGATACCTACCCATTTCCAGCATTTCAGGGCGAACAAAAGGAGTACCAGCAGTAATAGAAACCACGGCAAAAGCAACAAGTACATCGATAACAGCAAAAACCTCAGTAAGCTCGGCTAATTCGGCTGTACTTCCAGCAGTGTTGTTCATGATATCAACGGTCAGATCAGTTTGGGCTTGTTCATACTCTTTAATGGCATCGAGAAACTCTTTGTTCAAAGCTTCCATTCTGTTATTGATAAAAGTGATCCCATTCTTTTTTGTGTCCAAAATTGTCACATTTGCACTTCTAATATCCTTTTCGTCCTAAATAAAAAATAAATCCAAAATAATATACATTGCCTACCTTCAGGGTCACTTTCATACAATACCCATCAGTAGGATTACACTCAACCTTCACAGCATCACTTTCAATATCTTCTGACAAAGAATTGGCAATCTTCTCCGCTCGGTTGTTTATCTTGTCCAACTGATCATTCAATTGTCGTAGACGATCGTCAGATTCAGGCTTAATTCTGTAAACCTGAGAAATCGGATCTTGTTCAACATTCTTTTCAATCTGCTCTTCTAAACCACTCAATTTGTCCTTTAAAACAAGCAACGGCTCCTAAAATAAAATTTTTATTGCAATATTTTATGGTAAAATTATACTATCCTATCACCTTCTGTTAAAACTAAAATTAATTTAAAGGCTTTGCCAAGTATAACAATCTCATTGTAAAAAACCTATAAACTCAACAAAATCGAATCAAAGATTTACCGAAACAAGCTTGATAACACTTTCATTGTCGCTGTAATTACCAAAACATTCGACCACAGGACTGATCATCCTCAAAGCTCTGTAAATCTTGTAGACATCTTCAAGATTAGCTGAGTTTTGTTCCAGTTTCTTCGAAACAGCACAAACGTCCGGATATTGCCGTAAATAGTTGTTGTAAAGCTGCTCTCTAGCTTCCACATCGTCAAACAAGATTTCAACAACATCGTGCCGTCGAGTGATTTCATCGTAGTCGTCGGATGGATTTAATAGCCAATCACCTAAAGTAACATGTTACTTATCTTTAAAATAACAAGTCAACAGCTTAGTTTCAAACAACTTTAAATTTTCCTAAATTTTAACACAAAAAGACAAAGGACCTACGTAGAAGACGTTTTCCAAGAGATGTACGGCATTCGTTGAGATATTCATATAAACTTTGGCCTCCATTGGCCGTTCCATTTGTTGTTGTATCAAAAATCTCCAGTGCTGTTAAAGCTGCTTCTTCAAGCTTCATTTTTCTCTATTTCTTGTTAGTATAATTAGCTTGTTCAATCTTGAAGTTGTTTTCCAAACTTTTAGAGATTTCTGTTTTCAAAAAGAAAAAATCTTCAAACTAATCCTTTTTCACCCGCGCCCACCCGCTTGCAAACTGCGGTGTCATTTGATACGCAGACGTTTCTTTCGTTATGAAGTTCTGAAATAAAACGGAAAGCCAATATAACGTCGTATAAAATTGTGCGATGTGGAATTCTGGTCTGCGAATTCCGGGACGGTGGTTAGAATCAGATAACTTCTCGTTTTCACTTATTTCGGTTTCTATTTTTTACTCGATTTACTAGATATTGTTTTAGGTTATAACAAATGACTGACGAATGTCCATCAGCTGCCGATTTGGCCACGGTTTTTCGCAAACTTCGGTCTTTGACTGCCAATAAGGTAAGGAATTTTTTGGAAGTTTATTAGTTTAGGGCTTCCGACATCAGAGATACGAAGTTATTTGTATTTTTGATGTACGATGGCTTATATAAACCTAAATATGAATGTTTTTATCTGTTTTTGAGTGATTTTGTATCTTATTTATAGAGAAACGTCTTGGTTAACATACTAAAATTATTTTTCAATAATATTCTTAAAAGAAGCTTCATTTTTTCAGATTTGTTTTGATTGTGGTGCTAGAAATCCAACATGGTCGTCTGTAACATACGGAGTATTTATATGCATAGATTGTTCTGCCACGCATAGAAACCTTGGAGTCCATATAACATTTGTTAGGTCAACGAATTTGGACACTAACTGGACATGGCTTCAGCTTAGAGCAATGCAAGTTGGAGGTAATGGCAATGCTGTAAGTTTATTTAATTTTTTTTGGTTTTTAGGTAATAAAGTGGGTGCTGAGGTTAGAAAACTATAAATTTGTTCGTTTTTTTGAGGAAAATTTGCTTATCATGAACATTATTAGGTGGATTAATAATAATATTACACAATTTCAGACGACTTTCTTCAAAAAACACGGTGTAGACACTTCTGATGCTCAAAGGAAGTACAAGAGTCGAGCGGCTACGCTTTATAAGGTAATAACTTACATAAATCAAAGGAGAAAATTTACGTAGTTTTTTTTCTGAAATATACATATTTAACCATTTCGGTTAACAATTTTAAATTTTAGAACAAACTGATAGAACTGGCAACTCAAGCGCAACGTCAAAATGGGACTAAGCTATGGATTGATACAGAAGCTGTTGATTCTGTTGAAACTCCAACTAAAGAAGACTTCTTTGAACAAGAGTTTGCTTCAAACAAGCCTGAAGCTGTAATGTCAAACGAAAGTTATGCTGCGGCTTCGCTTGACGAGTCTGACAAGTTGACCAACTTCTCTGCCGCTCCAGTTGTTAAAAAGCCTATTAAGAAGATTACTGTAAGTTTTGTGGTTTGAAATGATAATTTTTGTAATTTTAGTTTTGGGAAGTACAATTTTTGTAAGGAAAATAGATTTAAGCTGAATTTTGTTGATGTGACTATAAATTTGGATATTTTAAGCTTGGAACAAAGAAAGGAGGTCTGGGTGCTCAGAAAATCAAGACCAATTTCGACGAATTTGCTCAAAAAGCAGCGGACTTTGATAAGGAACGAGAAGCTTTCTCGAAGTTGGCTGTTCAAGAACCAGCTCCACAACATCAAGAGGTGGACAAAGCCAAAATAAGTAACAAGTTCTCTGTTCAAGACATTGCTAAACAACGGCAACAGGTTGAAAAGGTATATTTTTATAATGATGGCTATATTTTAGGACTAATGGCTAAAGGTTTTTTAAAATTTTTTTGAAAAGTTTGTGTGTTCTGATTATATTCTAGATGTTTCGACAGTGTTGTTGTGGCATTTTTCATGAAACGTAAACTTTATGTTGAGTTTTTAGAAAATTATGTTTGAAAAAGTGTTGTGTGTATTAAAAATTACTTTTGCAGAAGATCAAGGCCGATCCAAACAAGGCTGATATGTCCGAAAGACTAGGTATTGGTGGATTGGGCCGCGGAGGTGTCAGTCACTCAGTTGGTATGAGAACAATTCAACAAGAAGGTGTTACCAAATTGTCTAATAAGAAAAGCACAGAATCTTTCCAGTCAGACGAATGGGAAGTTGTCAGTGGGGATGATAACAAGTAAGCTTTTTATATGAGGTGTACAAGAATGAACTGGCGTATTTTTTAAAGCCAAAAGCTAGTTTTGATACATGATTAGGCTTTCTTGTATGATATTTATATACTTTGGTTTAAGGTCAAGTGGATTGGATGACTTGTCTGACTTACCTAAATATCAGAAGCCAAGAGAGGACTTCTTGGATGCATGGGAACGTTCTTTGCCAGCTAGGTATGTTACAATATTTTTTTAAAATTGATGATATCATCTGAGTTTTAAAAATTACTTTTTTATTTGTTAAAAAAATTTTAAAATTGTATTTTAACTTATTTTTTTATATTTTGCATTTTATTTTTTAGCAAAACCACTTCATCGTACAAGTCTGCTGCTCCATCTGCTCCAGCTGTTGATGTAGACCCGATGAAGAAGTTTGGAAACGCCAAAGCCATAAGTTCAGATATGTACTTCGGGAAACACGATGATATGGACTTTGAAACGAGAAACAATTTGAGTCGCTTCGAAGGTCAATCTGGCATTGGGTCGGCGGATTTGTTCGGCAATGGACAACAACAACCAGCTAGCTTCTCGTACTCGGACCACGTACCAGAGATGGCTGACATTAAGGATAGTGTACGACAAGGTGCTAGTAAAGTGGCCGAGAAGTTGTCGAACATTAGCAGCTCATTCAGTGCATATCTTGGGGTAAGTATCTTGTGTTTGTGTGTTCAGCTTACTGTAACATGAAGATGAACGTTTGAATGTAAATTTTATGTATGTTCATTTTACAGTAAGTTGAACAGGATAATAGGATTGTGATGTTTGTTACAAGGTGAGGTGAAACTGGTGATGGTAGAATAAAAGATTAATATATTTTACCATAAGCTTTACATAAGTTAAAGTACAACACATATTACATTACTGGCTTTACCAACGTATTAGTCATGTAAAATACCCTATGTAATTATATGTAAACCTATGTGCTTATCCTAACCCACAACTGATTAACAACTCTTTCAGCGGACTAATTAACCCTCGGTTGGGCGATCCGGTTGCTGGTCGATAAAGTAATATTTAGTCGATGTGAGTCGTCGTCGAGCCCCTCCTCTTTCCGCCTACTATCTCTGTCCTTTGTCTGTTAATGTTTCCAAGCATAATTCAATAATCTGTTTGAACATAATGTTATATCATCAGCTGTAGCTTGTTAAAATTAGGGTAACACTACTTTAGCTGTAGCTAAGTAACGTTATGAAAGAGTATGGTATGTAATTTTAAAAGATATGGTATGACATTATTTTGTAGAAGGGTGATTTATCTAAATGAGTTGAAACCTTGTCTTACTGTGATATAAACCATGTTTCAGGACTAAAGGAAGGCGGCGTCATTCGGAAAATATTATTCTTGAATTTTATAACTGCAGAATTGTTTTATATTGTTGTATCTTTGTGGAAATCAAGGCGAAACATGCGGAAATTGAAAAGCTTGGGAGGTCTAGAGGCAGAGTAAAAGGTAATTGGAATTTTTTTAAAAAATGTTAATTTTTTGATTTTTGGTCACTAAAAGACGTTTTTTGGATGAATTTATATCCAAAATGAAACTAAAAAATGTTTTAGAAATGAAAAAAGCTTCATTGAGATGATTTTGATATGAAGAAAGGCAAAAGATGATTTTGTTGCGATTTTTTGAGTTTTGATCAGATAAGATCAGTAAGCTTCTAATTAAGCCTCTTTTCCAATTTCAATCGATGTTTTGTCTTAACTATATATTATATATTCATAATTTATATTGTAGATTAAATAAACTATTTAGTGTAACTGACTAGGCATTTCTTATTTTTGTTTTTTTTATCTTATGGCAATGAATATCAAGGTTAAAATTATGCCGAAAATAGATTGTTTGAGCATATAACACGTAAATACAAAAGTAAAATTTGTACTTGTTTAATTAAAAGATACGGCAACAAGAATTTAAAATTACAAAACAATAGTTATATTATAATCTTTAATGAATCTCCGTAGCAATGATATGTATCGGCTTGATAGGGTTTGTAGCTCCTTTTCTCATGGTACGACTCTGATATGATGAGCATCAACGAACTGTGATCAGCAATTAATTCATTAGACATCTTTCAACATATTATTGTCGTACTGCTTTGATTTGTGGGTCCACGGTGCTATCGTGTACCATCTTCTTTTTGTAAGTGAATCACACTGGCTCAGGATTCACGTAGTCGTACCGTGACAAAACTTGCTCCGTGTTGACCGGGACCTGAGAGCTGTCAACGTTCCAGCTAACATGCTCTAACAAGCGTTCTTCTGGAGCCAAGCGATGAACTGCCGACTTTTTGCTGACACTTCTTTGCATCAGGGCTTGGTGCTTCCACCTGAAGGATTTTTTCATTAACTAGGAAACCGCAAATAATGAAAATCGAGTTATAACTAGTGGTATATATACAAACATAGCGCAAAAAAACTAAGACTTATGGTGTAAAAATTTTTTGCCAACAATCTCTAGTTTTTGAGATATGGCAGGTCAAAGTTTGGTTTTTTAAATACTTTTGTCTCATGTTCGCTTTTTTAGCGCAGAGCATAAGCTCTTCAATGGCAGCGAGCGAGTGAGCCCGACTTGGACTCGGAAGCTCAAGGGTTCGGTTCCCGTCGGCTTCTAAAGGCTAAAACGCCTCAAAAATGTTTTTTGTTTTTTTTTTCTATTTTAAAGTTAATAACTACAGTCTTAAAACTAAACATAAGTAACATTTTGAACATAAGAAAAAAAGAATATAACAAAATTTAAACCTAAATAATTCATAAAAAAAGAAAATTCCAACAATAATTGTTCATAACATTTGTATTATTTCACTTTCACCGTTATGGTGGACATTAATATTATTGGTGGTCAAGTTGACGTCAGTTACTGATATTTCTAAAGCTACTAGAAGAGAAGAGACCTCTTTCCAAATTCTGTACAGTAAGTTGTTAATGTTGAGAGACTCTGATATCTTATTGCCAGAAAATTATGAAAATATGAACGAATTTTGGGATAGTAACGTACAAGAAATGGTGAAGTACACATCATTAATGTCCACCATAACGGTGAAAGTGAAATAATACGAATGTTATGAACAACTATTGTTGAAATTTTCTTTTTTTATGAATTATTTAGTTTTAAATTTTGTTATATTCTTTTTTCTTATGTTCAAAATGTTACTTATGTTTAGTTTTAAGACTGTAGTTATTAACTTTAAAATAGAAAAAAAAAACAAAAAACATTTTTGAGGCGTTTTAGCCTTTAGAAGCCGACGGGAACCGAACCCTTGAGCTTCCGAGTCCAAGTCGGGCTCACTCGCTCGCTGCCATTGAAGAGCTTATGCTCTGCGCTAAAAAAGCGAACATGAGACAAAAGTATTTAAAAAACCAAACTTTGACCTGCCATATCTCAAAAACTAGAGATTGTTGGCAAAAAATTTTTACACCATAAGTCTTAGATTTTTTTGCGCTATGTTTGTATATATACCACTGGTTATAACTCGATTTTCATTATTTGCGGTTTCTTAGTAAAGTTCTAGAGTTAAAGCATTAAGAAAAGTGTTTTTTAATCATAAAAAGCATGTAAATCTGTTGGTATACCTACAGAGGGGGTGTTACATTTAATTTCTTGAAAGTTGGACCCATTAAAACCCGGAAGGATGTCATAATTAGAGGATTCATCGCTGTTACTATATTAGGATTACCAGTATCTTTACTATATCATGATTAATATGGTTACAATGAACAGCTAATCAATGTTACTTTATAAGGATTATTGGCAAGAGACCAACATAATATATTAATGTACCAATGGGTTTACAAGACCATATTACAATGGATTTATAAGACCATATTACCATATGGTATTAGTGTCTACGTTCCTGTGGTAACAATAAGTAGTTACTATTAATATATTTGTATTCCGTAACTATCATGTTAAGTGAATTACAATTAATGACGGATAATCTTTGGAGTCGCGCCTTCAGAATTAATTAATCGCTGGGCCAAAGTCTTCAATTCATGGTTTCCTCGTGGATTCGGATGACATAATTAGGGAGAGACGAGGTTGGAAATGGATACTTTTGGTCATAAATGATGGGTTAAATGGACTTTTTTGGTCATATAGAAAAGATACTTTGGTCATATATGAGGTTGGAAATGGACTTATGACATAATTTAATGCTAGGCTATGAAATGAACTGTTGGTGAGTAAGAGTAAAATAGCAGAAAACTTTAATACATAATGATATAAACCTTGAGGTAGCTTAAAGTCACTGGAGTAACACTAGTTATCAATTATTTTTGAAAAAAGTAAAGCCAAAACTTTAAAAGCTTCAAAACCTTACCGTATGCTCTGCCTCAAGCATTCACTCCACCCTCCGAAGATGTCGCGGATCTGAGCATCGACTTCTGGAATCCGCAACGAGTAAATCAGCGGATTCAGAAGCGACTTCCCCAAGATGAAGGACAATTGAATGCAGCTGAACAAGAACAATACTCGGAAGCGTTGCTCTCGCAACAAGTCGCAGGTGTTGCAGGTAATGGTGAAATGAATCGTGGCTGGGGCCCAGCCGACGAAGAAGCTGGAGCAGATCAAGATGGCAGTCCACAGGGTTTTGTTCTCTCGTGTCATACGATTTTGGGCGGATTTCGAACGCCATTTTGCACTTTGGGTACGGAGAATGCATAACTGAAATATAGAAGGTTATATTAATAGAATTTGTGAAATGAGTGGGTGTTATTATAGGGAATTTATGGTAAAATACGTTTACATGACTTCAAGTGTTTAAAACTTAGAAATTAAATTTTAGATAACGGCATATATTCAAAACAATTAAAAACAACCTAAAAGCATATGTCAACCTACCAACTTGCTGTAGCAGTACATGATCATCAAGAAGATGATCAATAAAAGGACGGAAACACTTGTTCGAAATACTCTACTATGGTAAAATCGCACATTGTAGCAGTTGTAGAAGCCCTGATCTTCAAAAGTCAGTGATAATGCAAACAGTACTGTCAGTGGGAGGATCCACGCGGCTAGGCAGAGGATTAGGGCTGAAAAGAAGGCTTTAAATCCAAGTTTTTTGAGATTTTAAAATTTTTATACTAGAGGTCAAAAATAAAGTTGAAAGTGCAAATTCTCAACTAAAATTTTGCATACCTGTGTTAGATAGTATTAATAATCTATGACCAAAATGATAGCTTATTGTCTCCTATAAACTTGGAAAAAACAAGTATTTTTTCCGTTATACTCAAACTGAAGTATACTTCAATTTAAATTCATCATAACCCTCCAAAAAGCGTTCAAAACATAACCCCATAACATTAAAAAATACCTAAAAACTTATCAAAATACTCACCGACATTTTTGAGCATTTTCTTGTTACTATGTGGCCGCACGATGCTGATGTAATGATGAGCAGCTATCAACAACAACTGTAATGTCCCGGTAATCAGCCCTCCAGTTCGCAACATTTCAAGTAATAACGAGAAACATGGGTTTACTGCGGTTCCCTGGACTGTGGGCAAGTAACTGTTATACAGTAGAGAACAAGCTACAATCGAACTGGTCCACATATCTGATACAGTAAGTGACAATATCAGGGTTACTGTGGCATTCCTGACTTTGGTACCCCGTAACGCCCAAATCACAATTCCATTGGCTAGGACGGCGAAACAGCTGATCAACAAGAAGACTGGGATTACTATCCTGTACATCTGAAAATTGCTTTTTTTATATTTTAAAGTTAAAATTGAAAGAAAAAATCAAAACTGAGTATGTAACGGATTTTATGTCATAACTTTTGCCACTAAACACCAAAATATCTAAAATTTACTGTAGTAACGCCTTGACATGTTAAGAATAACACTATAAAATTTTAAAAATTTACAATTAAATTTAAAAAAGTTATGGTGATATTAACGTACCTGTATTCGGTATTCAACCAGTTGATCTACGCCATTTACACTACTCTCAGCCATCGTCGTATTTTCCATTTGTAATACGATGTGTGTTGTTTTAAGTTACATATACATACCTGCAATCACAACTATTTATTTTAGTATTACTTATATTCATTATGGCAAAACACACGGATATTATCACGATGATTACTTTTTTGTAGCATAATATGTATAATCGAAAAATAAAAAACAAAAAAAAATGTATATGCGCCAAAATGTCTGTTACAAAACTTTACTGATTGTTAGATGTTGTTTTAGTTATATTTGTTGTTAAAATAAATATTTAATTTAATTAAAGTAAAGTAAAACCGTGTAACAAAACTTTTGGCGCACCCTGTAATAATAGAAAAGTTGAACAATGTACTTTATATAATACTAGTAAATTTATTTAAAATAATATTATAAATACCCGTCTTAAAATACACATTACATTATTAATACGTAGTATGTTGAACCCACGACTATTCTAATTAATTACTACGCCTCATGATAATTAAATTGAACGCGTAATCGGTGGTATCTTAACAAAAATTAAAATGTTTTGTGCCGTGTTTAAAGTGTGAAATTTTAAAGTTGAAAAAGCGTGTTAAGTTTCGTTTTTTAAATTAAAATGTAGTGTAACATAAGCAAGTTGAAAAAAAGTTGAGTGTTGTAGCTTTACTTTACTAACAAATATCTTTTAGAAGCTGAAGAGCTTGACAGTGTTAAAAGCAGTTAAAATTAATATATTTTACATTTTTAGACAGTAAAATACGCCCCTTAAAATAATCAGTAGAGCTATAATGGCAAATTAGTGCACTACCTATGAAGACCTACTTTGTACTAATGAAACAGTAGAAACATCTGGTAACATATATGAAGCAATGTAGCATAATGTTCTTTGCGTTATCTTAATATTTCAAAAGATGTCAAGTTATCTTTACTATGTAAAACCAAAGTATACATTCCCCTACACACAATAACACTGAAATATGTTGTCCTTTTCGCATTATAACATAAAACAATGTAAGGATTCCTTTAAGTGCTCGTTAAGAAAGGGCATTTCGTGTAGTCAATATGTATAATATATGTATATCATATGAAATGACACTTTTTGTAACAGGAAGTTGACCATTCATAGACATATAACAAATTAAAGAAGCAATGTTTAAAGTACGATTACGTAAAGGTAAAGTAAGGTAGGGAGCGTCTGAAGGCTAGAACTAAAGCAAAAGCTAAGGCTATAAAACTAATAGCGCTTAAACTAGAGCTAAGGCCTAGGCTATAAACCCAGTATATTAATGTTATATAAGTTGCTTCCTCTATACCACCCAGTAACGTTCCGTGACCTTAACTTAAACTTTTAAAGCTGAACCCAACTTCTTCATCCCATCATGCGGCAAGTCAAGTAAACACTGCCAAAACTGTTAAAAGTGCAAATTGGTTTAAAACGGAATACTTTGAACATGCTCAAACATTATAAACTGTTTGTTGAAGGCCAAAAACGGAAACTCACGCTAAATATTTAAGGCTTTCAGCTGTAAAAACATTACAAGTATCGAGTTATTCGATTATAAATAAACAACGTTAGAGCTCGGTAAACAAGCGAAACCTTAAACCTAATTACAAACATCATATTTATGGGTTAGTGATGTAGAAGTAGGTGGTAGTACAAAACTTTTACTGCTATTGAAAAAATACATCTTTTGTAATACGCTACAAAGCTAAATTTTAAAATGTTACAAAGTAAAAAGTAGTAAAAAAACGTAAATACAACAATATGCAAAGACAAATGCAACCCACAATATACACTTTACAATTGAATAACCGACTATTACTACAAAACCTAGTTCAAAGAAACCCATTACTACAAATGCTAAAACTAATTGTAAAGAAAGTTCTTGCAAAAACAATTTTTTTTTAAATTTGTACTGCAACATACTGAGTATGAAGTACAGTCAGAACTCTTTCCCTCAGACTAAAATCTCTTTCTTCTACTCCGCCTTATGATATTGCTATCGCTCTGATCTCATCTAAATATTAGAGCTAGTGGTAGGCTAAGGCTTAAACCTGACTGCTGAGTTGAATAATAGTCAGGGTTAAGGCTAGGACTACAACTAGGACAAGAGCTAAGACTAGAACTAGAGTTAGACCACCTTACCTTGAAAACTTTGTCTTATTCTGGTCTTTCCGCAGCCTTGACTGCTTTCATTCGACCCTATGGTACCTTCTTCACTACCTACCTTAACACTATCTTGTTTACCTTGACCAACTTTGAATTACTCTAGCTTTTCCTCGAATTATTCATTTATCCTACCTTGCCTATCTTATTTTCCTTAATAATTTTTAAGTTTTCCATTTACTTTTTAACCAAAAAACCATAAATATTAAGCTATAAATTGGAAAAATAAAGATACATTACCCTGTAGCCATGATGAATATAAGGAAAAACAGTCTAAAGCAGAGCAAATGCAGTTTAATGTTTTTACCAAAAGCGGATTAGAACAATGCAGCTGTGATACTTGGTATGTCAAAGAGAAATCCTTTGTTTTACGTCGCAAATTACCATGTTCGGCCGAATCGTCACAAACGAAAATGTGTCATCGGATGTTTGCAAGACTCTTGGGTTTAACCTACGCTTATGTATGTTAAAGTATGCTCAACCTACTCCAGTGTATGTTAAGGTATGCAAGGTAAGGTTATGTTATACAATCTTTTATACTGTAATGTTTAGACGATTCGGCCGAACATGGTATCGTAACAACCACTCAGTAAACATAATATACAAAGCGTCGTAAGAAAAGAATTACTATGTACTCGACTACAGTACAAGCCCCAGTACTGTACTTTTTTAAGTTTCAAGCCCCAGTACTGTACTGTATATATACTCATAAACATAAGCTAAACCATCCTTTGCATATATACTCCTCTAAACCCTAAAATTACCATAACATACACACATAATGGTATATGGCAAGAAACACCCATTTCATATGTCATATACATAAAAGAATGACAATGACTACACACATAGTAAAAAACCATAGTTATAGCTAAAAATGATTATGCTTTTCGTAGTACTCATTTATAAACTGATGTATGTCGTGTCAAGTGTAAAGTAATTAAAACATCATAATGTTATGTACACAACATGCTGTGTATCATAAAGTAACATAGTACAAAATAACATGCAAGTACATACGTAGTATGGGTCTTTATATACCCTACTGTACTCTGCCCTATCTTATTAAAGCCCACCTTATCCTACGTTACAAACCTTATCCTACCCTTACTTATATAATGTGTACTGTGCAATAGTGTTCATTATATATACTAGTACGGTAAGGTCATACCCATCAAACATAAATAGTAACACATGTAGAATCATCATGTAAAACCATGCACGTGTATTCAAAGATTACTATAATCATATGGTACGGTGTCTACGCTATTTAAAACATTTACAAATACATAATGAATGAGTATATGAAGGTTACTCATTCACTAATTTAATGAATGAGTATATGAAGGTTAAGTCCCATAATCTAAGATAAGGCACTATATATTACCCTATAATCATATTTTTTATACTTGTATCAATGTAAGACCTACACCCTGCCTTATAATCATACAAGTAATATACAGTTCAACTCCCGTAACGTCATTTCCGAACTTTTAAGTCGTTGTCTATCACTACACAGTGCGTGGTGTTCAACTGTATAATTGCATAGTACTATAAACAGTAACATATTATAGGTAAATTTCATACCAAGCGTAGTAAAATACCATGTTAAGAACGTAAAATTAAGTCGTATATACACTTAATTGTATGTTCTTGTAAGTTTAAAACTTAATTTACTTTAAATATAGTATGCAACGTACTTAGGAACAATTAGAGAGCATCGACCAGCACAAAACATATTGTATTACACATGATATTATCTATCATAGCCTATACAGACTACTGTATATAAAATTATATAAGACATATATGCTGAAAAAATAGTTTATTAAACTACAACTGATCTCATTTACTTATATTAGACGTATCTTTCCATGATATATTACCGACTAGAATACGGTAATATGTATATCATAATAAAAATTATATATACAGTTATCAAAACACACTACCAAGATCTACCATCACAAACCACTATAAAGCTTTAAAATCTCTCTAAGATACGATTACTTACCACCGCAAAACGCACATACAGCCTTCAAAATATACTACAAAGATATCATATGAAAACCAATATAAACCTTTAAAACATACCATTAATAGACTGTTTTACTTCCCTATAACATAATACTAAAGTAAACCCATGCCACCACCTAACATATAAAATAGACAGTTATGTATGACAGGAAATAAAGTCAAGATAGCATGATGTCTCTGGTCGTAAAATATTAATGCTCATGACATAAACAAAGCACACAAGTTCATGGTCATAACGACAGTTGGCTTTAATCACATTCACTTTTTACATTTTATGATCTAAAGCTTTATTAGTATCATATTAAAGTGACCTTGATATTAATATTACAGTAAAAATAAAGTAAAATCTTCAATGTTTAAAATTTTTTTTTAAATTTAAAAATTCTAAAAAAAAGTAAAAAATTGTACCGTCTAACATTTAAAACAGGTTTTTTCATATATTTCACAATAGCTCCATGCTAACTTGAGTACCACATGCTATGTAGCGTATTGGCTGATATTAACTACAATATTTTATAAATATTATGCAAAAACAAGTCTTTCACAATATTATGCTTAATTGGCTATAAAAAATAACAGAGTACAATATTATCTGTTGCATGTTAAAACTTACAAACTTTATAATGTAGTTTTCATAATTTAGTAAAGTAAAATAACAAGTTTTGTAATTTTTTCTAAATTACAGTAGTAATCATAAAATGAAATAAACTTTTATAGACTTTGAAAAACGTTTTCTTTTAAGCTAAAATTTAAATTGTGGTAGTTATTAATATTTTAATAACTCTGTACTTTTTTTTTTTCAGCCTAATCAATGCTCAAGGCGATTCGTCACAAA